ATAACGAATATTATGGCCATTAGCAACCGTCAAATGCGCTTTGAATAACTTCGCTCGCTTGGCGCATCGCATATGGGTTCATGCCCGTCCGGCGCACTTCGGCGAATGGAGCGACATTCTTCACACAAGTGCTCGACTTGTTTTCTTATAACGGTTTGTGTGTGCGAATGTGCTTATATTATTGTAGGATAACTTTACGCGCATACGCGATATTGAATATTAGTGGAATGCAAGCGGGTAAGGACTTCACTTCGTGCAGTGCTGCGGGGCAGTAGAGATAAGAGATGAGAAGTGTGTTCAAATGGAGCTTTTCAATGGCGCCTCCGAGTTTTGCCTCGCGTACTCAGGCGTATGAAGAGAAACAATAATTGCAAAAAGTAATATTTCGTCTGTGGACGCACGAAACAAAAAACTTCCTGATCAACAACACTAATGTGAAGGCGCGAGCTCGATGTATGCATACTTATTGGTTGCTACAGCTTGTTCATTCGTACACAAGCTGCAAAATCCCCGAGCTTCGCAGCGTCGATATGCCCAGCACTGACTCGTTCACATACCCCGAAACGCTGACAGAAAGGCTCGAGTACAAAAATACAACAAGCATGTGTTAAGACAAGCTATACATGCCTTGCAAGTGATGTCACGCTAGGGAAGGACGGGGTTGACAGTGGTTGACTTGACATTGCGCGGATGCACTTACCAAGGGTAGGATGCCGCTAACTGCCCGTACATGCACTGACGTGCACCATATATTCAACAACGGTACCTAGTTTTGTTACATGTGAACTTGGAAAGATGCGACGAGCTTACGATGATGACATTTAGCCAGTACATGCGGAATTTTTCGGCATTGCGCTACGAGTAGAAACTTTCGATATGCCGCCGACGAAGTTTTAGAACAAAAAGATGTCGCGTCGCAAAAAAAAAAAAAAGCTTTATTGCGCGTTTTAAAATTTGACGAGCACTCTAAGAGTCGCTTGTAGAAACATTTTTACGATTTTGCGCAATACTGTTAAACAACGCAAGGTTACCGTCATAATCTAAACGCTGAGACAAGGGTAAATCAAATATTGAACAAGACAACTCTCAGTGTTTCGGGGTTTATATTATGACGTTTCCTAACCGGCTCGCCTGCATACTTTCGCGGACGGCACAAACCGATGCCGCGCCGGCGGCGGCGTCTCTGCGAGTTGCACATGCGGGGGCCGCCGCCGACCGGTCGCCGTCTGGCCGGGCTCGCGGCGCGACAATCGCCCATACTCGGCCGGGAGCTCTGAAGATGCGCTCGAAGCGTGGAAACGGCGTTATGTAACGAAGGCCAAAGGCAATCTACAAAATGAACGGGCAAAAGCCTTTGCAAAGGCGTGCGCGAACGTAAATAACGGTAGAAAAGTGTCGTCGCTCGGTGCTATGAAATGCGTCCCGCAAACCCGGTAATCCGCGGCCGAATCCCTTTTCTGCCGCTCGTAGTTTCTCTAACTTGACGACTACTCCGTCTCGCGGGCCATGCCGACGAAACGATCGGACGATTGTCGGGACACGGGGTAATTGCTACAGCCGAGTGTGGCGCAGTTTACCATTGCTGTCGCTGCGAAGGGACGCCGAGTCAACCCACCAGCATGGTGGATACCGGTGTTCGACGTCATCATGTGACGTAGGTGCAAGGCATGTATACGTCTCGGGCTTGTGCTAAAGCTTCAAGGCCTGGCGATTTAGGTTAGTTTAGTGACGACAAATGAAGCTCTCTGGACCAGAAAACATAAGATAACGGCCGTTTATAGTCCACGCTCCGAGTATAATCTCTTGTTCACATGTCTATCGAAACCGAAACCATTTGCAACTATCCTCCCTGGCCAACTAGTTCCCAGAGTGCAATGCGCGCCGTGTTGCATGCAGGGATTTATGGAAGTAGTCATCACGTCGAACAGAAAGGCACTAGTTTTGGTTTGAGGTCGGTACTCTTTCTACAACACAGATGGCGACAGCATCACTCACTCGGTGCCTTTGGCAAGTTTGAGGCCACTAATCCGTGCGACACTCTGCGAGTGCGCACAGAGAACACTCTGCGAGTGCAATGCATTAGAAGGGCAGGAGGAATCATAACTATGTCGTTTAAGACTTAGGCTAGGTGGGATCTAACATCCGTCCCCCCGCAAAAAACAGGCACGGGTTTAAATTTATTTACGCCGAATCCTTTACCAATTAACCGGTAACTGCCACATACGATTTTGGTTTCGTTCCAGTTCGGGTTCAATAACAAACATTCAATATCGGTTTCGATCTTGCTTCGGTTCAGTTATTAACAGCGATTTTCATCCACACTGGCACTAAGCGGCCGATTTTGCGGTTCACCTTAAAGGCTCCCGACTACCTTGTTCATGCAACCACGCAACTGCTGCCAAACAGATGTCAGCCGTGATTAGCCAAACCTATAACATGCGTGATAGAAGCGGCTGCAGCACCCCGCACGCCCTGGAATGGAAGGTGAACTCCCAACGCAGGGATCTGAAACCGCAGCCGATCACACATGCCCAGTGGCGTAGGCAGAGGGGGGGGGTTTGGGGGGTCGAGACCCCCCCCCCCCCCCCCCCCCCCCCGAAATGCCAAAGCTACCCCATCCCCATGGGGCCCGCTGGGCCCGCTCGCTCCCCTGCTCACACAGTCGGTTTTGCGGACCATCTCCAACTTTTATGCTTTCGGGAAAATTGTTTGTGGGGTAGGAAATGCTCAAATTAATAAAACTTGCAATATTCCTTCATTTATGTTTATTTGATAGGGTGCGAAACTTGATGTCAGACACATAGAAAACGGGTATTTCGAAACATTTGTGGGGTGAAGGGTGGCAATTTCAAGGCAAACTATAACAAACTATTTTCATTGAAATACAGAATTCAATCAAACCAAAATGAACATAATAAAGTGAAAACACTGTGATAATATAAATCAATGTCAGTGATGTAAGGAATAATAAATGAATTGTAAAAAACGATTGCACTGTAAGCAACGGATGGCACTGCACTCACACACACCTTTTGTGATCAGAATTACATGCTTTTGACTAGAAATTAGCGCGAATAAAAAGGTAACCGTGACTAGTTATTTTAGAAAGAAATTTATAGGTTCTCTTGCTCATCTCATTTATGCCAAGCACCTACACATTATTAAAGTGCAGCCGCCTGTTTTAACGAACATTTCAAAAGCGCTATACTTCCTTTGAGCTTAGGTCCAGACGCAACCGATGCTACAAGCGCAAGCTCCCGGCTTTGAGCGTCCCTGCCAAGCAGGCACGCTCGTGCAGTGCAAGCACTGTTTAGGGCCACATGCTCGCGCTTGTAGCATCGGCTGCGTCTGGACTTAAGCTGAAACGAAGTATAGACCGAGCAGTTGCTCATTCGAAGTGGACGGGGGGATTGGTGGCCGAGTGGGCTAGCGCACACCAGCTTGGAGCACGGGAAGCGAAAGCTCGCGCTGCAGAACAGGGGTTCAAACCCCAATCCCCACCCCTGTCCGTTTCGATCTGGATGAGCATCGTACCGGCGTGCGGTCGTGTATCACTGCTGCATGGTGCACGTTAAAAGCCCCAGGCTAGCGGTTGTACTGTACTGGCTAAATTGCTCATCAACAGCGAGGGACTCTTCGCAACTTTGAAATGGCTGACCAACTACAGCTGTATAAATAATATCCACACAACCCCAATCGAAGTGGACGCTGTATGTTTTGAACCGTCGTGGTGAAGAGAACGAGCGCTCAGCTTCCGACTCTGTTAGGGGCAGAGTCGCTAGGATCTTGAGGAGACGATGGACGTTCTGAAATAGGGCCTCCGGACAAAGGGCAACCGCGCATATACCGCAGACGTGAAGGCCGTTTCACGTTTGTCCCTCTTGCATTGGACGCCTAAAATTTCCCTATTTTTGGCGAAGTTTCCCTCACTTTACGAAAATCGTCGCTCACAGATGCGATGAAGTCCGTCTTGCTTTCTGCTTTGTATGTCGAGCTGGCATCCGATGCAATTTTTCATTAGACTAATCTTTCGTCGCACGGAACATCAGAAACTCTGAAGAGACAAGCCTTTATATTCTCTCTACGCATAGGCACAAGCGTAGTCAAGTTCCTTTCCACGTTCGGCGAGTAGTTTGTGTCTGGCGCGTCATGTCATTTCTCCAAGTGACGGAACGACGAGTAAGGACTGATGACTTCTTACCTCGAAGGTATGCTGCTGCTGCCTTTGGACCATGCTGCATGATAAAGCGGCCTAGCAAAGATAAGACTCTCTTTCCTTCGGCATCTCCCAGACAACCATGTTACGTCTAATGGACATCCAGACAATATCCCCTGCAAGATATTAAATGTCCAGGGGATGTTAAAAAACATTCAATTTATGTCTATAAGATATCCTTAGGATGTGTCTATTGCCTCGAGCTGTACGTCCAGCTGGTTCTGTAGAACGAATTGGTTAAGCCTTTAATAGATAATAAATTTTTGTTTTGTGAATGTTCAGAATTACCCTTGCCCTATATATGGGGCCTAGTGTTTGTGCGTGGTCGGTTGCTCTAAATTTTCAGCGTCGAAATATATTTTTTTTCTTTTTTTTGCTGCTTAATTTTTACTGGTGTTTTGTCTGGCCTTCACGCGTTGGTAATGCAGTGCTACTTCAAAAGCGGACAGAGTTGTGTGCTGTGAAGAAGCTTTAAAAGTTAGTGGGCCGCAACTACGACGACAGCAGAACGGTGAGCCACCAAGGCCGTATTCCTGTAAATGAAGCCAGCTCCGTTTTGAAAAATGACAATGCAGCTTTACCCGTTTTGTCTTAACAGCGCCTCCCTAATCTTTGCCTGAGCGTCCGTACCGGCGAGCTCACCGTGTGTCATTGGGGGGAAGGGGGGGGGGGGGGGGGGGGAGAACGCCCTTAAACCACTCCCGAAATAAAATCCTAGCTACGCCACAGCACATGCCTGAAAGCACCACGGCGAAATCCGGTCTCAAACTCTTGCCCGCCTTACCAGCCTGGCGCCCAACTTGTAGGTGGGCTGGAAGCTTTTGTGGCGATTTCATGCGTTGCCGACACGCTTTGGCAGTCGCCTCTGGATTATCTTGCTGTGGCTTCTTTCGAGAACGGCACGTGGGTTGTCGCTGTGCGTCTGCCTTTCTACCGGACGTTGAAGTCCGCTCCGCCGGCGCTGTAGTCACGGAAGCCATGGCGAGAGACCGGGTCAAGAGCCGACACCGCTGACTGCTTGCATTTGACGTCGAGAGCGATGTTGGCTTGGCGGTGTTTCGATGTGCGTGCGGTACGCTTTGGCCGACGCCGCATACAGGCACACCGGCGCCGTGACGCAAATTGATTGACGCGCCACTGGCGGCGAAGTGTTCACAGCGCCGCCGCCGCCGATATTCAGGGGTCGGGGCGCGTGGCGCCACCTGCGTTTAATTTTCAAAATAGCTCTGAAATGTTTACGTCAGTTTCGGTTTCTCAAGGATAAAGCAGTTGTGATTGCAATCTTGATGGTAAGTGCGACAGAGGCTGAATTATAACTGGATGCAGATTAGCTTCACGATCCAATTTCATGTTTCGAGTCAGCGGTATGAGAAGATTATTACGTCCAACCAACAGATCGATAAAAAGGCCTTGCATTCGACGACTCTCGTGCTCCGCACGACGTCGGCGGTGGCGCCGCCGATTATTTTGCGTCTGGGCGCCGGTGTCCCGGCATGCGGTGGCTCCAAATCCTTCGGCGGCGCCGCCGAGACCGTACCGACCGTACTACCGTACGAAGAGGTTGTGCACCGCCGGTTGTGCACCGAACTGCGGTGCACAGCACATACATCGTGCACTTCGACCCCTGTTCTCGCCATGTCTTCCGTGACTACAGCGACTACAGTGCCGGGGAAGCAGACTACAACGTCGGGTGTTGATGGTGCTATTGCTACTGGTGTTAAAAAGACAGCCGCACAGCGACAACGCAAGCGTCGTTCACGTAAGAAACAGCAAGAGGCGAGTGAAGAGGTCAAGAAGCAGAGATACGAGTACTTGAAGGCATATCGTCAAGGGATGACCGATGAAATGAAGCAGCGGAGAGCGGAGAAAGCCAAAGCGTATCGGCAACGGATGACCGATGAGATGAAGAAGCGGAGAGCCGAAAACTGCAAAGCGTATCGCGAACGCAGGAAATCGCGACAAAAGCTTCAAGCCAAACCAGAAGTTCCACGCCAGGCTGGTAAGGCCGACAAGAGTCTGAGACTTAGCCGCGGTGCTTTCGGGCATGTGTCATAGGCTGTGGTTCGAGTTCCCTACGTTGGGAGGTCACCTCATCCATTCCGGGGTATGTGGGACATACCTCGGCAAACCTCACTCATGAGGGCCCTCACTCACCCTTATCTTCACAGGTGAGGTGAGGGTGAGTGAGTTTCCCAACAAGGAAAATTCATGAGTGTGAGGGTGAATGAGGACCGTGAGGGCCATGAGGGCGGTGAGTGCGTGAGGGGTGTGAGGACCATGAGTGCATGAGGGGCGATGAGTGCGTGAGGGCGGTAGCTGTGTGAGGGCCATGAGTGCGTGAGGGAGGTGAGTGGCATGAGGGCCGTGAGGTGTATGAGTGCGTGAGGGCGGTGAGTGCGTGAGGGGCGTGAAGGGCGGTGAGTATGTGGCCCCCTTCAGACGGACCAACTTTCTCAGCAGTTTTGGCGTTGCTGGCGGGTTGTTCTCTAGCTCTCGCTAGATCGACACGAATTGCTGAGATTGTGTCCGGCTCGAAACAAGTGAGCAACTCGGAGCAATTCGAAGACATTTGAAGCGGCTGCATCCAATCAGGGACGCGATATTTTCACGTGATACCTCGTGCCGGTGATAAAGACAACAAAAGACTTAGTTCTGGTTTGAAATTGATAGTTTTTGGAAATAAACTGTTTCAGAAAAATGCATTAGTATTCTCAAGGAGATTTAAACCCATAAAAACACGTTTATAACCCGCAATTGTTTGTCTAAATAGTGCAAGAAAAATAAAATTTCATGATGATGGCAAATTGCAGCAGTTTGTTGCTGCGTGTTAAGGCGGGTGGCCCGTGTTGCTGGTGTTGCGACATCAAGTTTCTGGGCGAAATTGCTCCGTCTCAAGCGGGCCTGAGTGGCGTGAGGGCGGTGAGTGCGTGAAGGGTGTGAGGGCGGTGGGTGGCGTGAGGGCCATGAGTCCGTAAGGGCCATGAGTGGCGCGATGCCCATGAGGGCGGTGAGTGGCGTGAGGGCGGTGAGTGGCGTGAGGGCCATGAGTGCGTGGGGGGCGTGAGGGCTGTGAGTGGCGTGAGGGCGGTGGGTGGCGTGAGAGCTGTGAGGTTCAGTGAGGGTGAGTGAGGGGCTAGGGTGAGCGTAGCTAAGAGGGTGAGTGTGAGTGAGGGGTTCAGGGTGAGTGTAGCTGTGTGGGTGAGTGAGGGCAACCTAAAATGCCGACCTCTGGTGTGGCGTGCAGTAGCCACGGCTGCCGCAACCGATGTTACAAGCACGATGTCCGGGCTGTCAGCGTCCTGCCAAGCACGCGCGGTCATGCAGTGCAGGCGCCGTTCAGGGCCACATGCTCGCGCTTGTAGCATTGTCTGTCTGTACTTCAGTTGAAACGAAATATAGTTGCATGGTTGCATAAGCGACGCAGTCGAGAGCCTTTAAAATGAATCTCGGAACCGGGTTAGGGCCAGGGTGTCGAACCGATTCAGAACCGAAAACCTGATCAAAATTACTGTTTATGACCGAACCGAAGAAGATGGAAACCGATATTGAACGTTTGTTATGGAACCTGAACTTGAACGAAGCCAAAATCGCACCTTGCGTTTCCCGGTTGATTGGTAAACGGTTCGGCGTAATTAAATTTAAGCCGTGCCTGTCGTTGCGGGTCAGTTTTGGCGTTCGCTGTGACAGCGTCAGTGGCGTACAGTTGTTGCCCAAATAAACGCAGCGGCGTAAGGACGGCATAGAGTCCACGTCTCTGTGCAGCACAATGTTAGGAACTGATTGTTTCTGAGCTTTTGGTTTGACATTTCTTTGTTTTGTATTGTTTCCCCAAACCAGACATATTTGTGTCAAAGGTGTTTACTTTCAAAATTTCAAGCTTCCTCAAAACTTGCCACTAATATAAGAAAGCATGCATTCTATGCACAGTGAATGAGGCAGTACCATGCAAACAGAAACATTGCGTTGTATGCATGTCCGTCTTCAAAATCACTATATAAGCGAGCGCTAATATATGCTTGACTTGTTTGAGCACAGAGCGCTTAATGCAACGCCACATGCATGCTTTCAATTACAAACTTTGACAGTAGCTAACGTTCGTAGCAAAAACAAAGATGGTCATGCTACAGAAAATGATCTATAATACACTCTAATCACAGGCAGCATGAGAGGCATATGCTGTGCTAATGCTTGATCTTATCGACTTGCTAGTGACTTCCGTAATATCCCGAAAGACCTGAAATGGGGTGAAAATAAGGAGTGCGCTAACTTTCGGTGTGCAATAAAAAAACAGTTGAAAAAATGCTACTTTTATATTTTTTTGACATGCGAAACTTGTAATTGCAGGGAGGGGCGATGAACTGAAGACGACTGTCCTTTCCAGTCAGCAATTTTCGCTCATCTCCCGCCGTAGCTAAGTACTACCATTTCAGCCGAGGTCTCCGTGGGCCAGGGCCCTGCAATGACTATAAGTGGGCTATATTTTGGTATTTTTAAAGAAAAAGCAATCCGTGCCAAAAATAGGGGGCGGGTTATCTTTCGGGGTTGGAGCATCTCTCAGGATTTTCTGGTATATATTTTGTGCTATCAGCTACTGCAAAACGGTTGTGGCACTCAAAAATGAAACTTGCTCTCTACATAGCGTAAAAACAAACACTAGGCCCTGGCACTAGGCACTAGGCATCCGTTAAATCCTAGACTTGGTCGCTAAACCATTGGCTTCCACCAATAATTCATATAAACAAAAATGAAACTTTATAGATCCCAGCCGCTAACAAGAAAAGTGTGTTTGATTCGTCGCCATCTGCGTTAAAAGTACTACAAAAAGAAAATATTGTAGTCGTCTTAGCCTTGTTACGGAGACGGGGTCAGCGAGACAAATATACTCTTAATTTTGTTTGGTGAACTCGACGTCTTGCTGCAAACACCACCCTATGCCAATGCGAAGAGCAGGTCCGTCTGCTTCTTGCACAGCAGTTGCGGTGACGTCAGAACGACGCCGAGCTTTGATTGGCTTTGATTGAGAGGATAGTGGGTAGACCTCAATGCTAGACGCCTCAAGGTCTACCCACTATTTTTTTTTTTTTTTTTTTTTCAATCAGCCAATAAGAGTTTGGTGTTCTGACATCATTGCAACCCCAGCGCAAGAAGCAGGTGAGCTTGCGCTCAGCATTATGTGGTCATAGTGGGGATCGAAAAGAAAACCATAGTAGCCAGGACACACCGAGCTCACAAACTATCCGTTTCGAATTACTGAGATGCTGGGTTCAAGACGTGAGAGACCGCAAAAAGAAATCAACAGTTGATAAGAAAACAGAACAAAAAAAAAAACGACTGAAAAGATTTTTTAAGCAGTGCCCAGCTACAATTATTTTCTATATTCCTAACGAGCGTGTTGGTAAAATATACTAGGTAACAGAAATAATAAAACAGAGGACGAAACACTCGTCTATGTTTCGTCCTCTTTGTGTTTTATTTTTTCTGTTATCTAGAATCCTTTTCCCCTTGTGACGGACGGTAGCGCTAGCTATAGGCTCCTTGCACTGACGTCGCATCACATACTTCTGAACACCATATAAAAGGGGGAGAGGGAAGCTGTTTTTGTAAGAATTTTGAGTGACGGGTTAATCTTCTATAATCCTCTGGGAGGAGAATAGCGACGCCTGTGCAAATCTGGGAGGCTCCTGATAAGAGGGGAGCTCCTTTTTCCCCCTTTTCTCTGGAGGTCATCGGAAATGACTACATGTGCAAGCCACATGATGTCATTTCCGATGACCTCCAGAGAAAAGGGGACGAAGGAGCTCCCCTGTTATCAGGATCCTCCTTTGTGCCTCCCGGATATGCACAGACGTCGCTATTCTCCTCCCAGAAGATTATACACAGACTCATCTCTGTTACGTCACGGCACGGTGGTGGCGCGTCGGGCGCACTTCCGGTCGGGCTGTGGGCAGAAGTCCCCATGTGAAACGTGTATTTTTGCGTTGTTTTAAAAAGAACAAGACAAAAACCTGCCTTCTCGTCAAAAGCCGCGACTGGGACTGTACAAAAAGAGTCGAGAAAAATTTGAAGGTCAGTTTTCATGTGCTCGTTTCGTCCGAGAACGTGGATATGTGCCGTGAAAAGGGAAAACCAGACGCCGTCGAACCAGGATTGCTTGGGCAGAGCACTTTTGGTTGAATTCACGGATACTTGTGGTTATTAGATTTATTTCTTTTGTTGCAACATGAACGCCGGAAAACCATTGAGTCGTACAAATTACCTGCGGACTACGTTCAGTGTGTCTTCAAGTTCAAATGGCCGCCTGATCGTTCGAACTGTCGTCTGCTCTTTCAAATGTTTCTGTTTGTCGTCTGCTCTTTTAGACGACACCGGCCCGTAGGCCAAATGCTGGCCCGGTACTTGCGATAAGAAGTAAGTGCAGGGATTAAAGGTTGGTAAGCAGGCTCGATGTAAACAGTAGAAACAAGGAGATGTTGATCGTGTTACCAGTGGTCATCACTGACTTGTTATGCCTGATTCACTTGGTCCGATTCTGCTTGCGATTTTCAGTATCGACGTAGACCATCTCAGCTACGGTTCATGCTTTTGCAGCCCGAGTGGCGTTGCAACTGAAAATTGCGAGCGAAATCTCGTCATACGAATCAGGCTTAGCGTCCATTCTGCGGCATCCACACGGAAGGAATCGCCGCGTGCCACTCGTGCCAATCCAATCCTGCCGTCGCGGCCGCTGTCGCTTTGCTTGCGCGGCCTGTTCAAACACCCTGCCGTCGCGTCCCTGCCCCGGCATGCTCCCGTGACGGTGCCGGGATGGGAGAGACGCCGGCTGTGTGAATGAGGCCTTAGAAGGACTTGATATTTTATCTATTGGGTAGCATCGAGAAATTGAAACCCGGTTTTTCAGCACGTACTATAAGTAAATTATGCGTCAACGAAAGCTGACTTACGTGAGGATGTAATGCTAGCGGTGGAGATAAAATGCGAAAGTTCAAGGACGTGATGTTACGTGGATCAAAAGATACAAAAGTCCACTTGTGATATTAGAGGCCACTCAGGAAGTTCAATTCAGTGCCGCCATCTGGCAGCAAGATTCGAAACATACTGAAACACAGAGCCAGATGGCAGCTAGTGCAATGTCAGATGCTTGCAGCAACTTTGACATTACAGCTCATTGTTAAGTCAAAACGTGCGAACTGGCTGCATGATTTATTTGCTAGACATATCATGGACGAATCTGTGGGACAGGCCTTGAACCAAAAGAATGGTGGATTGAAATGACAATCGTACCTCTGTTTCCACAGTGCCTACTGTAACAAGAATGCACACCTGTGAAATCTTACTTGGGGGAAGTTCCCATCTGACAATTGTCTGTTGTCTATGGCCAGCGCAGCTACAAGAGCACGAGTGTGCTCCTTTTATTAGTGTTGACCATATGAACGGTGATTTAGAGCAGAAAGCCGGCCAGGTGAACATACTTTCTTATCAAACGTGTGCTCACTTGTCGTTTGAGCCATGTCGGTATAGATGAACCGGCGTGTCTAGGTGCACGTTTCCTGTACAAAAAGGTGTCGGGCAGTTTGATGACCAGACATTCACACACACTCATTAATGTGTAAAATTGTGTCTATAGCCATTTAATTGCGGTTGTTTGTGTCCTTTGTCTTTCATAATATACATGGTGATGTCTATTTGTGTAGGTGATGGAGGTGCATGCTCGAAGACAGAGATCCTCTTCAAGTGCTGTTTCTGCACACATGCCACCAAGGATCAGCGTGAACTCCTCGGTCACCTGGTTGTCCATGGTGACGAACAACAACTCGAGTGCCAGCACTGCCCAGAGTCGTCTTCCAAGGCGGAAGATTTAAGATGTCACACTGAGCGACAAAGATTTCTTGACTGTCAACCGATTGATCACATTCCATTGCGCACATGTGAAAAGCCTTTCAGGTGTAAGCAATGTTTCCAAGCCTTTACTTGGAATAAGCCTTTCAAATGTGCCAGCTGCCCGAAGGTATTCGCCCAAGGCGTAGAGTGTATAGCCCACATTCGAAGACACACAGGCGGGAAGTCATTCAAATGCGAGCAATGTCCCAAAGCCTATAGATCGCGTGCAAACTTGATGCGCCACGTGCGAACACATACGGGGGCGAGAACTTTGAAGTGCATGTATTGTTCCAAGGAATTTACTCATATTTCCCTTCTTACGTCCCACATGCGATCACACTCACGCGAGAGGCCCCACAAATGCGAGCAATGTCACAAAGCCTTTCATGAGAAAGCGAGACTGAAGCGGCACATGTTAATACACACGGGCGAAAGGCCTTACAAATGCCATCAATGTCCTAAAGCGTTTACTGTGTACGGGAACCTGACGCAGCACCTTCAAACGCACGTGGGCACTAGGCCTTTCCAATGCGAGCTATGTCCTGAAGCCTTTAGTACACGTGGCACCCTGACCAAGCACATTCGAATTCACAGTGGCGAGAAACCTTACAAATGCGAGAAATGTTCCAAAGCCTTTAAGGCATGTGGGAGCCTGACGAAGCACATTCGAATTCACACGGGTGAGAGACCTTACAAATGCGACAAATGTCCCAAAGCCTTTTGTGCACTTGGGACACTGAAACAGCACATTCGGACGCACACGGGTGAGAGACCTTACAAATGCAAGAAATGTTTCAAAGCTTTTGGTGCGCCTGGGACCCTGACGGATCACATGAAAACGCACACGGGTGAGAGGCCTTTTAAATGCGACCAGTGTCCCAAAGCCTTTAGCGTGCGTGCGAACCTGAAGCAGCACACTCGAGCGCATCATACAATGTCGTACAATGGCACATCTGATCACTTGCCATAGTCAGCCGACCCGAGCAGAGGGGAGTGATACGTACGAAAAAGGAACAGCCTGGGTATTGGGAGCATGCGACAGGACAGTGGCATCACGGTGTGGCTCCTAACAGAAATGTCCCATATAGACATTGGGTGTAGCGGCTGACCTAAGTTCATAATCATTGCTATCTTGCATAGGCACAGAGCAATACAAAACGTTCAAGGCCACAGTTGGCACTAACGTTTTTTTACACGAGACCCGGAAATTAAGAACAAGTCCCCTCCATGTGCTGGTGAAAACAGATCTCAATCCCAGTTTGTCTACTCAATTTGCATTCTAAGTGCCGGCTGTACCAAGACCGCTGAGCGCAAATCCTCGAAAACCTAAGCTCAGTTTCGGTTTCGTTCTCTTGCACCGAAATTGCTTATCGCTCAACCTGTCACTAAACCATGCCTATCATAAGTGCTCAACATTAGGCGCTTCGCTTTTGGTTGTTTTAATGCGTTAGCATTAGAACGCTCGTTTTGACGAAAACCCAACGACGTCTTTTGTGTGCGAACGTCGGGAAGAGAGGGAGAAGGAGGGGGAGAGGACGACACATGCGACGCTCCCATTGGTCTGAAGTGCTGACATCAGCATGCGTCAACCCCTCCCTCTCTCCCCGGCGCTGACAAACTGACAGACACTGCCGGGTTTTCGTCAAAACGAGCCCCTTCGTTTTCGGTTAAGTCATGCGGACAGCTGGCACGGAGCCAGAGAGGCGGAGGCACCACGCAACACCTCCGAGATAGCAAAGCTGTAGTGCTGAATGTGATAGCGTCATCAGAGAAGGCCAACGTTCGACACAGATTGCAAACGAGTGCTGCGTTTCGAGTCAGGTTTGAGCCGAACGTTGATGCAATCGTCGTATCCAATTTGTGTCCAGGGTTAGCCATCTCTGGTGACCATCTCATCTAGCACTACAGCATTGTTATCTATAAGGTGTTGCCTTGCAGTGCGGTGGAATGCAGGCGTGCTCAGTTGCCGCTCTGCCATCGCTGGTTGTTCTCCGCTCTGGGTTTTCCCTCCAGCACAGAAAATTAAGATGGCTTGGACTTCAGTTTTTGAATAAAGTTTTCCTCCTCTGGGTTTTCATAGTAGTGGCGCGTGGGCTGTGATGTCTGTTTGTAGGTAAAACAGTGGATGCGGTTCCCTTCACGAGTGATATGGATATGGTTGCTTTCACGGGCGACATGGATGACCGTAGTACCCAAGGGCGTCAACATACTATGGACAAGCAGAGTACAGAAAATGGGTGGAAAAATTTACATTAAGATCCATTGGTGGATTCTTAAGGAATTCGTTAGCATGACCGTCAGGAAACACCACATACGTCCCCCTTTGGGAAACGCTAACACTGACCCCGTAACGAGGCCAAAAAGTGGCAGCGAAAAATAGAGGAAGCAAAAGAGAAAAGTGAAGGGGTCAGTGTTAGCGTTTCCCAAAGGGGAACTTGTGTGGCGTTTCCAAGGGTCATGCTAACGCATTCCTTAATCCACCACTGGATCATCCTGTATTTTTTTAATCCTGGATTTAAAACACGGCGAATGGTTTGTGGCGATCAACGTGGTGGACAAAAGTGGTTGTAATAAATGTTTTACGCTGCAACAGCATGAAAGTGTCGACAGAATGACTTTTGATAATGACAAGGATGCAAACTATTGTCATGTGAAGTGTTTATAGACTCCTTTTTTCAAATTAGCTCTCCACTGAGAGTGCGTGTTAAGCTTAACCCGGGATGGTATGCAGCTGTGGGGCTCACGTCAGTCTTCCCGTTGGTTTTTCCATCAACGTGCTTATTCGTATGTATTTGTGCATATCTGTAACGTATTGCTATTTACAACCTTGTTTATTTTTACTTTCAACACATTTCATTCAGTACATTTCTGCCGTTCGCGTCAGATTGCGGCGAACAACTCGTTTAAATAATAAAACGGCGAAAAATGTCATTTTGTTTGTTTTTAGACCCTTGGGACAATTTGCATTCAAGTTCCCTTGTCTTGAGGTGAGAATTTTAGCTTCAGAAAACTGTCGCTCTACAATTTTAACTTTTCTGGCGATCGCACCTTGTGGAGATATTTGTGTTTATACCTTTCCTTCGTGGCGACAACAAATCAAAACAACTATGATGCGAGATTTGTTCAGCACTGTATTGGGGCAGGCTGTGGCAGGTGGTGCAAAAAGACTATTGCTCTCGTCGACACAATGTGATGAACTAGTAGCAGTCTTCGCATTTATCGCTGCTGTCTGTTCAGCTAGGTAGAGAACTGCATTATCTACAGTGAACACCAGATCTGCCTGTTACCACTTGCAAACGAGCTCATGGCTGTTCTCTATTGGCAGGAATAACAAAAAAACTAGTCTGAGCGACCTCTGGATGTTCATAAATTGACAACCTCTACGATCATCAAGGGATCCACTGGTGGTATCACTTTGATGTATGCGGAGTTATACCTTCTTTACCCCATCACCAAAAATAAAAGCAGTTTCATTACAGAAGAATTTGACAAGCCATTTCAAAGTGTCATTTGTGTGGTTGACTGCACACACATACCTATGCAGTACCAACAGTAGAACATGTAGATCTCATTTGTAATGTGCAGACAATGTTGGGCCACCAGCTGCTCATCCAGCAATTTGGCACGGTGACCAGGTCAGTTGATGGCGGCATTGTTTTTTTGTAAACTGGGTTTTAAGGCATATGTTGACAGCGATCAGGTCTCAGGAGAGCGGTCTTTTTCTGGGAGATGAAGGCTTCGCTTGTTCACCCGACATCATAACACTAGTTACCATACCTCGGCAAACCTCACTCATGAGGGCCCTCACTCACCCTCATCTTCACAGGTGAGGTGAGGGTGAGCGAGTTTCTGAACCAGGAAAATTCATGAGTGTGAGGGTGAGTGAGGGCCGCGAGGACTGTGAGGGCCGTGAGGGGGGTGAGGGCCGTGAGGGCTGTGAGGGCGGTGAGGGCCATGAGGGCGGTAAGGGGTATGAGGGCCATGCGTGCGTGAGGGCGGTGAGTGGCGTGAGGGCCATGAGTGCGTGAGTGGTGTGAGGGCGGTGAGTGCGTGAGGGGTGTGAGGGCCATGAGTGCGGTGAGGGCAGCGAGTGGCATGAGAGGCGTGAGGGCCGTGAGGGTGGTCAGCGCATGAGGTGTGTGAGGGCCGTGAGTGCGTGAGGCCCCCTTCAGATCGAGCATCTTTCTCAGCAATTTTGGTGTTAATGGCGGGTTGTTCTCTAGTTTTCCCTAGATCGACACGAATTGCTGAGATCAGGTGCGGCTCAGAATAAGCAAGCAACTTGGAGCAATTTGAATGCGTTTGAAGCGGCTGCATCCAATCAGGGACGCAAAATTTTCATGTGATACCTCGTGCCGGTGATGATGACACCGAAAGATTTGGTTCTGGTTTGAAATCAATCGTTTCTTTTTTTTAATAAACTGTTTCAGAAAGGTGCATTAGTATTCCTAACGAGATGTAAATGCATAAAAACATGTTTATAACGCGTAATTGTGTCTAAATAGTGCAAGAAAAATAAAATTTTATTATGACGATGGCAAATTGCAGCAATTGGTTGCTGCGTGTGATCGCGGGCGGCCCGTGTTGCTGGTGTTGTGACGTCAGGTTTCTGGGCGAATTTGCCCTCTCTGAAGCTGGCCTGAGTGGCGTGAGGGCCATCGTGCGTGAGGGGTGTGAGGGCCGCAAGGGCGGTGAGTGGCGTGAGGGCGGTGAGTGGCGTGAGGGCGGTGAGTAGGCGTGAGTGGCGTGAGGGCAGTGAGTGGCGTGAGGGCAATGAGTGGGCGTGAGGGCGGTGAGTGGCGTGAGGGCGGTGAGTGGCGTGAGGGCGGTGAGTGGCGTGAGGGCCGTGAGTAGCGTGAAGGCCGTGCGTGTGTGAGGGCGGTGAGGCGCGTGAGGGCCGTGAGTGGCGTGAGGGCAGTGAGTTGGCGTGAGGGCAGTGAATGGGCGTGGGATGCGGTGAGTGGCGTGAGGGCAGTGAGGGCGGTGAGTAGCATGAGGGCTATGAGTGCGTGAGGGCCGTAAGGGCGGTGAGTGGCGTGAGGGCGGTGAGTGGGCGAGAGGGCGGTGAGTGGCGTGAGGGCGGTGAGTGGCGTGAGGGCGGTGAGTGGGCGCGAGGGCAGTGAGTGGGCGTGAGGGCGGTGAGTGGCGTGAGGGCGGTGAGTGGCGTGAGGGCAGTGAGGGCTATGAGTGCGTGAGTGGTGTGAGGGCGGTGAGTGCGTGAGGGGTGTGAGGGCCATGAGTGTGGTGAGGGCAGCGAGTGGCATGAGAGGCGTGAGGGTGGTCAGCGCATGAGGTGTGTGAGGGCCATGAGTGCGCGAGTGCGTGAGGCCCCCTTCAGATCGAGCATCTTTCTCAGCAATTTTGGTGTTAATGGCGGGTTGTTCTCTAGTTTTCCCTAGATCGACACGAATTGCTGAGATCAGGTGCGGCTCAGAATAAGCAAGCAACTCGGAGCAATTTGAATGCGTTTGAAGCGGCTGCATCCAATCAGGGACGCAAAATTTTCATGTGATACCTCGTGCCGGTGATGATGACACCGAAAGACTTGGTTCTGGTTTGAAATCGATCGTTTCTTTTTTTTAATAAACTGTTTCAGAAAGGTGCATTAGTATTCCTAACGAGATTTAAATGCATAAAAACATGTTTATAACGTGTAATTGTGTCTAAATAGTGCAAGAAAAATAAAATTTTATTATGACGATGGCAAATTGCAGCAATTGGTTGCTGCGTGTGATCGCGGGCGGCCCGTGTTGCTGGTGTTGTGACGTCAGGTTTCTGGGCGAATTTGCCCTCTCTGAAGCTGGCCTGAGTGGCGTGAGGGCCATCGTGCGTGAGGGGTGTGAGGGCCGCAAGGGCGGTGAGTGGCGTGAGGGCAGTGAGTGGCGTGAGGGCGGTGAGTGGCGTGAGGGCGGTGAGTGGGCGTGAGGGCAGTGAGTGGCGTGAGGGCGATGAGTGGGCGTGAGGGCGGTGAGTGGGCGTGAGGGCGGTGAGTGGCGTGAGGGCGATGAGTGGCGTGAGGGCGGTGAGTAGCGTGAGGGCCGTGCGTGTGTGAGGGCGGTGAGGCGCGTGAGGGCCGTGAGTGGCGTGAGGGCAGTGAGTGGGCGTGAGGGCAGTGAGTGGGCGTGAGGGCGGTGAGTGGCGTGAGCGCAGTGAGGGCGGTGAGTAGCGTGAGGGCTATGAGTGCGTGAGGGCCGTAAGGGCGGTGAGTGGCATGAGGGCGGTGAGTGGGCGAGAGGGCGGTGAGTGGCGCGAGGGCAGTGAGTGGCGTGAGGGCGGTGAGTGGGCGCGAGGGCAGTGAGTGGGCGTGAGGGTGGTGAGTGGCGTGAGGGCGGTGAGTGGCGTGAGGGCGGTGAGTGGCGTGAGGGCGGTGAGTGGCGTGAGGGCAGTGAGGGCTATGAGTGCGTGAGGGCGGTGAGTGGCGTGAGGGCGGTGAGTGGCGTGAGGGCGGTGAGTGGCGTGAGGGCCATGAGTGAGTGAGGGGCGTGAGGGCGGTGAGGGGCGTGAGGGTGGTGACTGCGTGAGGGCCGTGAGGTTCAGTGAGGGTGACTGAAGGGCTGAAGGTGACTGTGACTGTGAGGGTGAGTGAGGGGCTGAAGGTGAGTGTAGCTGTGAGGGTGAGGGTGAGTGAGGGGCTTAGGTGAGTGTAGCTGTGAGGGTGAGGGAGGGCAACCTAAAATGCCGACCTCTGCTAGTTACAGCACCAGAGACAATTGCCAAAAGAAGGTAAGACAGGACTGATATTTGCATCTTCATGTTGGTGGTTTCAGACTCTCCTTGAACAGCTGCCTGCTGTCGCCATCATATGCATTAAGGTTTCTTTCAACATCCTTTTAACAATGCACTTCCATTTGGTATGGTTAAAATGCTCTGTGAATGACAAAAGCTACACATAGACATATTCACGTTACGGAAGGATGTTCATTTGAATAAACCACGGTGGTCACGAGCAGTATCGATAAAGAGGTAGCGCCATCTATCGATACAAGCTCCAAACGTGCACCGCCACTCAACTTGGTCATCTGCATCACCGCCCTTTGTTGACCTAAGCAAGTTTCTTGGCCCTATTTTTTACAAAAAGGAAGCTACGCTTTGTAATTTTACAAGAAAAAAAGACGAGTGAAATACACCTCTGACGAAAAGTTTACCTTGCTATGTGCAGGCATCTATTTTTACGGTCCATTTTAGATTGAGCCTGGTGACTTCAGGCACCCTATTTATATGATGTCTGGAAATGGAGTTCGTAAATAATTTAGGTTTGAGCAACAATGTTGATGAACAACTGTAGAAGGAACATAGAAGCTGTTCACACTGAATTGAAAAGTCGGGAGCCTATACGTCGTTACTAGTATATGGCAGAGCATTCCTGATGGATGCACCATAGTGATGCAAACTTATCGATAATGTTCATTTTTGCATTTTGAGACATTGTAGAGAAGCTAAAATCCCAGGAAAAGGGTGGTTTTTAATAATGGGGGTAAAGTTTAGAAAGATCTCAAGCAATCTCGGACTTCAAAAAGCATCTGCATTATAACATTCCATGCCAAAAATGTGTAAATTAAGTTGACTTTCTGAAATTTGTTGAGAATGTCAGTTTAACATAATAGGAGAGTACTGAGGAATATGATATAAATCGTTGTGGAGAAAAAGTCATGTCTAATAACTTGGTAACTAACTGGGTTTACCTTGTGTAAATAGAGGGTGGAATGATATTAATGCGAAAGCATTAACTGTCTCATAGATCGAGCTGACGTCATCAGTTTGAAGCGCGAAAACGGCTCCTGGCTTCCGGCGCCTTCGGTTCCATTGGCTGCCACGCGTCGACGGGGGCTCCCATTGGTCGCTGCGCTATGGCCTCCGAGATCCCGAAGCGCGCATGCGCTAGTACGCAGCAGACGACAAAGGGAGCGGACGAGCGGCTTGCATGCTTTCGCTTTCCCAACTCGTAAGAAATGCTTAGGTATACCTCAAGCTTTTTTTTTACACAGGATAACAAAAACTTTTCGACCTGGAAGTACAATGTTCTATTTCCATTTTATAGGCTTTAAGTTCTGGATATCCAGTACTAGGAATATGTCGAGTGGAGAACAACCTAGAACGAAAGGGGCAATGGCCCTCCTCTGAATAATGTCTATATTGCCTTTCAAATATTGAGCAAAAAACTCGCCACTGTAACCTCATGCAAGGTGTCTGGTAGAGACACTCTCCGATTAGTGGGCTACCATCGCCATTTTATTCTCATTTTATTCTCAGTCTGTTGCTCAAGGTGAACAAAACTGCTCATTTGATTTTTCATCTCAATTTTTGTCTAATTTTCTAGATCCAGATTGTGGATTTCTAGTGAAATTTGGCCTTGAAGCTTACCTTTGTTGCCATTATATGCACATTAGTTTATGTATCAAAAAGAATAAGATATGGGTATGTGGTGTAGCCAGGGGGGAAGCTTATGAAGCTCTAGCCCTCCCCCCCCCGCCGAAATCCAGCCAATCCTACAATACACACATGTGCTTTGACCCTTCCCCCCCTCCCCACACCCCAAGTCATTGACATCCCAGCCACCTCAACCAAACCCCTCTCCAAAAAAAAAAAACAATTTCTGGCTATGCTAGGATAGGCTTACGGGGTGGAATCTCACGTTGACCAGTACAATTCCATGCCAGGCTTGTCGATCACTCCTTGCAAAATTGCCTGTGGAGCCCCAAATAACTAACATAACTAAAATCATATTTTCCAGTCTGCGAGTTGCACACCCCTCTAAACGACCATTTTCACGAGAGTTGGTATATAACACTTGGTTGGCATGGTAAAACTCCTTTAAAAGCCTGTACAGGGTTTGGACCATCTTTGGACCGCTGGATGTTTTGTGCATTGGCTGGTGCTCTGCCATTCCTGCTTTGTTGTAAATGCCAATACTGCCAATATATTGTGCAGTAAAAAGGCTGATGTACACTAGGTGCTTTCCATTCTTGCCCTCCACCTCCTCTGCTATATTCTCTCCAGTTTTTGCCTTCCCCTCGCACTTTAGGGGAAGAGGTTTATCTTTCCTGCGGAAAACCTAGAGGTCTCACTGCCGTACGAGACAGGAAATCAGAAGAAAGCAACTGCGACTTAGGCACCAGAAGATACAGTACAGCGTGAAACACATGTAAGACGAAACCGTCCAATCCGACGTCCGATCAGGCGATACGACGGTCGGAGACGAGGGTTTTCAACGCTCTCCGTTGCTGCGAAAACCCTCGCCCCCCCCAAGGTCATTCCGGCAGTCCGCACGTCGGATCGGACGGTTTAGTTGTACATGTGTTTCGCACTTACGTCCTGAAGTCACCCCATTTGCAGAAGCGAGGTGTATTTGGGAGTTTACGTACCAAACCAACGAGCGAGCATGTGGCACATCCCAGCAGGGGACTGAGGATTCATTTCAACCTACTGGGGACCTTCCGACGCACAACCGAAGCTCAGGTTACCATGGTGCCTTTTCTACAATAATCTTCCATCAGATTGCAGGTGCCTTGACCACATTTGCAAAAGCTTAGAGCTGAAAGAAAAGCAAGCGCACAGGTGGAGCCAGTGAATCGGAAAATACTAACTAAAACCTGCGACCAAAAGAGTGGCCCTGTGCAGGGTTTTCTGGTAGGCAAAAGGCTGGCTTGCACATTTGCGTCCGAGCCTGGTTGACCGCAGTACGACCGTTTACGACTCCTAAAGGCGAGAGAACAGACTGGTGCCATCTATCTGACGGCCCTGAAACACTTCAACTTTGCATATTTTCTCATTTTTGTACGCATCATGCTTTCACCGTCGATTTGAAATAATCCCGACAATCTTATAAGTGACCATTTCTCATAGTGCATAGATTTGGTCTAGCATATATTGCAAAACCTTCAGTCTAGTCTTACGTAGATCAGGAAAGCTCCCAGGGCTACCCGACAGAGGTCACCAGTGCATTCTCTCGTCGTAAGCATGTTGTAAGCAGTCACTAGCCGTTGCAATGCAGTCGATCACGCTGGAACGCAAATTATACCTTGGAAGAAAAATCTTTTTGGAGCAATATTTTTGTTGTTAAATGCAATTTAGGTGGAGAGGGTGGAGGTAGCATCCTGCTAAGCAAGCCCCACCCTATGCTTACATCTCTCATTGGCTGGAGAGTTGATCGACGTGTGAAATGTTGGTTGTAAAATTGTTTCTTCATACCGCAATAGTATTTTAACCGACAATACCTTGTGTTTGAGAAAAATGATCTAGGTAGTGTCATCGTTTCCAAAAATATCTCGAGATTGACTTTTCCCCTTCGGTTTAAAACAATAAAAAAACATTGTTGCTGGCGTTTGCGGCATGCTCAACGAGCGCAGCTTCTTTTCCATTTTTACGAGTGTGAGTCGTTTTGTGTTCACCAAGGTGTTTAGAGGAAGATGTCCTCAACTGACATAGCAGCAAACCATCTCAAGAACGTGCCTTCGGAAGCGCTGTGTGGGTGCTTGTTTTATAGCGGAACTGGCCTAAGCCTAGCATCCCCTGTCAACTATTTTGCTTGATCTGGCTTCATTCATTAAGGTGAAAGCCTTATATGTCTCATCGTTCAGCCGACCTTAAAGTCCTTGAGCGAAAACACATCGGCGACACGAAAGGTACAAAAACACGTCAGCGACATAAAAGGTACCACAACCCACGGTTCGCCACTGGACCATGAGATGACATTATCTGTGCCAGAATCGGCGGAGGTGCGCGCGTAGTGCAAACCCAGCGGGAGAGGAGCACACTCTCGCTCGGGCAGCGGTGAGCAGCGGGCATGCAACACTCCACTTGGGCTTTTGCCTTTGTGTGTGTTTATGCTGATTAAATTTGTTGATTCCCATAGAAGCGGCCCCCCGCTCCTCTGTGAATGATGTAACCATCGTGATTGCAACCAGTGTTCCAAAGCCTAGAAGATACCTGCACAGGTAAAAATTTGCGAGCCATTTAAAAGGAGGCAATCAAGTGTTCGCCTTGCATCAAGTTTGTCCAAGTATGTTCCTATCATTTCGTTTTAAAAAGCAAGTAGTAAATAATTTTAGGTCGCATGTTAATTTTGCATCACAAAGCTTACCCACATTGCTCGCAAATGGCATGCAAAAAGAAAAAAGAAGTTGAAAGAATGTTTAATTTATTTTGTTGATCTTTTAATCCTATGGGTCGCTTTTTACCGCACATCTACAGATGCTGACAAGTGCTTGCATTGCACCATGGTTTGTGCATGATAAAACGATACAATGCTGCTTTCGTGATCACATCTTAGGAGCATTGCAGACCGTTTTAGATGGGTGCGGAATAGCAGACGGACCCAGGCGATGGTAGACGCCGAAATGCCTCTTTCATGGCCACATCTTAGCATTTCAGACGATAGATAGTGGCGAAATAGCAGACAACACCGGAGGCTGCTGCGCGTCTGCTCTATGAACCAGCAGGCGGTGTAAACGCCAGATTAAATGCACCGGACATTGCGAGAGGGAGATACTAAGCTTGTGAGCATGTTCAGCTGAGCAGCCAAGCCAATCCAGTAATATTTGGCAAGGCCACTGACCTCAGCCCAATTTGCGTCTAACAGCAAGAGAAAAAAAAAAATTGTTAAGTGAAAAATTTAAATAAAAACTATGTGTCCCATTTAAGCCCTTTAACCCCTTGCCTACTCATTTTGTTCTCCATGGAACATACAGCAAAATTTTATTTTAAAAAGGAAATATGCATTAAAATAACATGTGCTCAACTTCCAGGTGTCATATGTTCCTCTAAATCACGAGTTCTGGTTCGAGTCCCACTGACGTGGAGATGCCGAAGTTGATGGAGTGCTTGCAGGATTCACATTGTTTTCATCACTCCTGTCACTGCCCATCAAACTATCGTCTGATCCCTTAAAATCTGAAAGGCGGTAGGATTCGTCATCACATATGCATGAGCATTAATCCCTTTCAAAAATAAGGCTTTGTATCTCTTTGTCGGCTAAAGTGGACCTCTGTGCCAAAGTCATGTTGTTTTAGCGTAAACGCTCGCGAGCAACTACTACTTTTTTTTTTGTGCTAAATGGAGCATTTTTTTCTTTTAAAGAGCAAAACAAACAAACAAACTACCCAAGGTAAATGGAGCAACAGGGGTGGTCTTGCCATCTGCTAGAGCGCGCACTAAACAACTGCCGAAACTGAAACGTGAGTCACGCTCGTGGTTGGGCTTTATGGTCCGTAGGGGGTGGCACGAGTGACATGTGTTGTTAATAGGCACGGGGTTAAAAAGTATTTTTTTCCCATTTCAATCCTTTTAAGGGACGTATCTATAAAAAAAAGAATGGGTGTTAAATAAAGTCTCAGGTGCCTGTGTTCCTTCTGCTTCCTTGGTCCCTGGTATTAGTTACGTCGGCCTAGAGCTCCCTAAGGTGCCCTTGCCGCAGTCTACTGAAAATCCCCACGCCCTCGACAAAAGCGTGGCAATGAATTTGGAACAACAATGCTTAAACAAATGTGCAACGGAGATTTACTTCTCTGCACAGTAGGACGGAAGTACAAAACAGTGATTGCCCGCACTCGGTAATAAAAGGACTATACAATTCAGGCAGCAAAACAAGTAACTATGAACATCTAACGAGCGTGCAGGCAGGTCTCGGAGAAGTGGGTCGCACAGTGGCACCTGCTTCTATGTGTTCGGTGCTCTAGCAACGTACACCGTGAGAGGTGATTCACATGCTTGCATTTGGTTGCGACTGAGTGTATCATGCTCTGTTGTAACCGCTAACACAGTGGTGCCTTTGACAGGTGGTTCTGAAACATTTCCAATCTGACTACATAGAAGGTTTTGAACTATTTGCCAGGTCAAATCCACTCTTGGCAGCAGTCGCTTCAAACATCATTGAAATTATTTAAAAAATAAAAAATAACCCGAAAAAGGGAAATATATACGCAAATTGGAAGTGTTTCGGGGCTGCTGGTAGATGGCGCCAGAGTGGTTTCTAGTCGTAAGCGGCTGCAAGCGTGCACGATGCAGACGGTCATCGCACCCAAAAGCGAGCGTGGGAACCAGCCTTAAAAGCAGACTGCCGAAGCATTGGCTGTTGTCGATCAGTGGGCCTCACGACCTGCTAGTCGAGAGGCTCTCCGCATTCGAACCGCTCGAAGTCCATGACGTCGATGTGGTTGTCGGCCACTAGCGTGCCGACCTTGATGTCAGGATCCAGCACATAGTCCTGGAAGAGCAGCCGCTTCTCTTCCTTCTCTTCCTCCTCCTTACTGACGATCTCTTCTCCCTCTCCCTCCTCCTTCTCTTCTTCCCCCTCCTTCTTTTCTTCTCCCTCCTCCTGCAGAGGAAGAGGCACTCATCACAGAGCACCCGGTGGAGGGGCAGAGCACCCTGCTCTCGTTCAACAGTCTTACTATTCCAGCGGCAAATCACTTTTTTTTTTCTGCCGTTTCCACCCAACTGTGGTCCCCTTACATCGGACCTTCTAAGTTTTGGCTATGTACACTGTGCAACACTGTTAACATGAGCATGACGTCGGCACCTCTTCTCATTGCGCTTCGAAAGGGTACAGCCGGGCATCAAATATTAACCGCTAAATTAGTGCCCCAAATTTGTACTTTCCACCACACCTCGGATGACAACCTTTCAATTCTTATAGACAGACAAACAGACAGAACTTTATTGAGGTCCTGAGAAGCGCTGTAGAGCAGCACTGCATTCCCCGCTCCCAAGTGGGGGTGGGGAGGCCTAGCCTCACCACCGCATTGTGGGCTCTCTGGAGAGCCCGGAGACTTTTTAGAAAGAATAATAATAATAATAAAAAACGGCTACCTCTTGTTTGTGCTACCAGTGTTGCACAGTGTACTCCTGTGTACATCTCAAGTTGAAAGAAACACAAATTTCAAAACTGCAGCAAAAAAAAAATAAAAGGAGGGTGGGGGCTGTGTAGTCACCCATTCAATATCCCTGTCCCTATCTGTATTACTGTCTTTTTGTGCATGTGAACTAGCATTATGATGGTCTATTACATAAATAGTGTCTCTTCTTTCTGCTATCAGCACCACCCCCGTCGTTACTGCCACTGCCCCCCCCCCCCCCCCCCCCCCCCCGCCCAGATGACGGGAAGTACTGGTCGTCAATCATTTCTAAAGGAGTGCAACCGTTAAATAAGGGCTGGCAGTAACAGCAGCTTATTTCCCAAAGAAGTGATTTGATGGTTAGAGAAGCTTCTTGCAAAGTACCACCCACCTTTTGATGTACAAATTAAAAATATCCCCAAAAAACACAACTAAACGAGGACGGAAAAAGAACACACGCGACACACCAGCACCAATCTGTAACCGATTTGCATCCCGAAAGAAGGAACGGGAATAACCACAGAAAAGAATGCATGCACTACTACAGTGGGAAACACGTGCCACATCAGAAAATGGGTGTCTTGTAGTAGTACTATGCTCAACACCCTTTAAGGTAATTCACAAATATGCGTCTGAGTGCATTTGGGTGTGTTGGGCTTTCTTGCGACTACTTACGGCAAGAGAGCATGCTAGCACCATCTATCGGTAGCCCTGGAGCTAATTTTTGATGCAACATACTAACAAAATATTTCTGACAGACCATTTTTCGTAGATGGCATGCAGATTTGATCCCGCAACAACTGCAATATCTTCAGACCAGTTCTACACAGATGGAAAAGAGTTCCAGGGTCACCGGGTAGATGGCGTCAATGTGTTTGTTGCCTCATCGCAAGTGGTCACAAGGAAATGCAATGCATTCAAGCGTGCTCAAAATGTCAACCAGCCTTTACCCTAGATTTATTCCGTCTGCAAGGCAAGATACCCCAAACATCTGTGCACCCTGCATCCCCGTGGAATGCTCCAAAATCGTAAACCATCTCGGTTTTTTGACATTTCAAAGATAAACTCTCCTTCCTCAACTAGAGTGAGAGGGTGTGCCAATTCCTGTTACTCATCCGACAGACTTCTCGCTAAACTAGCCAAGCACCGAGCAGCGTGCTGTAAGTGTGCCAACAGGGTGTGTGAGTGGCTGTCTGGAGCTACGTGATGAGAATGCTCCAGGCCTCCACCAAGGACACAAGTGGAGGGAAACTTTCCCCCGGTAAAAGAAACAAAAAAAAAAACAGACGGAAACAGATTGGCGTACGCCATGTGGCAGCAAGGTGTCGCTTTACGCCATTTGAAAAGTCCCATTTAAGCAGACCTTTACAAGTTTCTACTGAACATATTGCACCACTGTCCTCATTGCCAGCAGCCAACAAGGTAACCCCACAGGTTCACACAATGAGGTGTTGAACGTTAGGCGTTCAGGTTCGACATGCGACTCAATTTGGACGAAATACACGTAGGGATGGATGTTTACAGGTTTTATATATTTCTCAGATAGACGGGTAAAAGCAGAGTTTTATTCTGGTTTGAGAAAAACTGGGAGACCGCTTTCATTGATTTCAGTTTTCAGATATGAAATTCAGAAAAGCTGGCAATGCAGCCTATAGACCGACACGCGGGCTTGACGTCACGGAGCTGTGTTGGCGCTGCGATCACGCCGGAGCCGGGTGACGTGGGCAGAAAGGAGCACGTTTCGCATGGGCGTCATAGCATTTCAGCATACTGCGAAGCTGTGTTGCCATTAATTGCACCGAAAGGTACAAAGAAAGTAGCGGGGTGAGTTTCCACAAGTTCCCGGCAGACTCTAAAGGGCACAGAAGGTGGATAATATCCGTAGATCGAAAAGAATGGTCGCCTTGCATGAACGACCGTTTGTGCGGCAAGCACTTTCTTGAAGGCAAGTGTGGCTTCCACTTCAATCTCCGTCCCGAGGCTTGCTTATGTGCAGGGAAACTGTCGTCTGATAGAGACTACCCGGAATTTGTTCCCACGGTGTTCGCGCACAAAGCATCGGCCAAGCGTTTGTTGGAGGCTATACTCCGTTTCACCTTACGTTGGACCCCGAGCCAAAGCTACGGACCGCCAGAGCCAATCAAGCGCATGTTTAGAAGTGACGTCGGCTTGCTCCTCAAGCGTGTATCAGCGGTATCAGTGCGCGGGTTGCAATGGCGCTGGCAGGAAGGTTTAGGCGGGCTCACTGGGGATGAACTGATCGCATCCGCTGTTTTTGATTATCATACCTGACTTTGTGTAATGTTCTTCGCTTATTACGGAACGCTGGAGCATTCTGGAGTTGTGAGATCGACGCGCGACGGTTTCGTCACATTTCTGTGTGGGATAGGCTTACGCAGATAGCTTTACCCGTCAAGCAGAGGGAGGGTCTGCAAAAGCCTTTCGCTCTACTTGTGGCACACAGAAACCCATCTACACGTTTTAAGTCACTCAACAATTCAGGTAAGCGGTAACAATCGAACCTTGACTTTAACCGAAACGCTCTTGCTTGCTTGGAAGTTCACCGCATACTCCTGCTCGCATGCAGAACGCGCAAGCCAGGGTTTTATAAATCGGTAAATAAAAGTGAAAGAGCAAGCAAAGTGAGTGCTTTAATTCATAGTTTTTGCTGCAAAACCATGCGTGCGTTTAACAAGAACTCCTAATGTGACTGCCACGACGTAGGGGGAACGCTCTCTGAGAGCGAGTGACAAATCACGCACAGCGGTATGAAGCTATTTTGTTTCTTTTCTCCAATTCCGCAAAAACCATGCGGCATCGACGAACGAATCTCCGCTTCACGGCGCAAGCAGACATGTTGTCAATGGATGTTTTCTGTTCCATTCACTACGATGGCCTACCAGCTCGTCCGTCTTAATCCCGGTGAACACAGCCTTCTGAATCCACGAACGTTTCCGAGTGGCACCAACATGCGAAGGCCCCTTGAGCTTCGAACTGCTGCGAATTCATACCTAGCGATGTTGGCCCCAATTATTGTAGTAAACGTTCAGCTCAACTTGGCGCGCCTCTTTTCCAAACGAGGTTTTAGCAAATGTCATCTGGAAGCAAGCTGGTAATTGAAGTACCGGCGCCTTTGACGGAGACATGCTTGACGATGCCACAGCCATTACGCAAACAACGACGATTTGTCACGTGACATCTGAAACATGGGCAAAAAGTATTTGTAAAGTTGAAATGATTGCTTCCAATAAACATTTATCAGAGTTTTACAGGGTGTACCAATAACTGTTAAATAAAAAAACTTCTCTTTGGAAGAAACATTTTTTTAAGATCACGTCACGAAATGGAAAGCAAACCTGAACCAAACGCATGAAGAAACAAACACAACGGCAGCGTTGCCAACTAAAAGTTTAATTTCTCCGTACATGCTACCTAATTATGTATTAAATATCACGTTTGAAAGCTCTTCTTGAATACAAAAGTTGTTTTTGTGTTGATGGTACACGACACAAAAATATTAAACTAAGGCTAAAGTGTATCCACGCTTCTTACAGCCCAAGGTCTTTGACGCACTACTTCGCGATGCGTAGGAACAACTTGTCTGGGTCGCGTCACAGCCCCCAGCCTTCCGCTGCGGTCCTACGTAAGGTGAAACGGAGTATAGCTACGCCCGTGCTACCAAGCAGAAGGGGACTGGCGACAGAACGGCAGTGTTGTAGGCGTTACCGAAAAAAAAGTAATGAAATATGTTACTCGTTACTAGCAAGTAAAACGTACGCGCTACCGAGCTACATTACCTAAAAATAAAAAGAATGCGTTACCGCTACCGATAAAAAGTAACGCACGTTACTTCTGCGTTACTTTTTAAATTATGATCTAGCACGTTTTACTGTTTCGGCGATACAGTTATGCATAAGCTCATATATCAAGAAACATTATGTTCATGCAGCAATTGAACATAATTACTTTATCTCTTTTTACGGTTTCACCTAAACACTCCCGGAAAAAAACGCAAAGAAAAACGCAGAAAACTCAGAAATTCACGTGGCTTGACGCCTAAAAACACGGAAACAAGTGAAGTGTAATTTCTTTAAGACTTGGGAAGCAGTAATGAGTTACGTAACTGCCTTACCCGTTACTGTGTCCAAAAAGTAACGTGTAGGTTACTATGTTACTAAAAAAGTACCTGGTAATGCCGCTACTTGTAACGTGTCACTGCCAAGACAGCAGAACGGACAAAGCGTTACTACTTGTCATGCCTTGTGGTCATGAGGGTAGAAAAAATATCATACCTTGACTTCAAGACGCCGTGTGTATTTAATCAATTAATACATACACTACCGCAGACACAGTCTGCTGATCCCGCCGGCGGTGCGGCAACCAACTCGAAGTAATCGTAGGCCTCGAGGGACTTGTACACCTGCACCGTGTCGGCCGTGAACTGGCTTGGCGAAAAAAACTAAATAAACGACGACGTGAGCCGTCGACTTCTATGGCAGCAATTTTACGTCAAAAGTCTAGCAGGCCTTGTTTACGGTGTACGGATCCTCGAAGGCAACGCCGTCTTTGCACAGTCTGTTTCGATACCGATGCCGTTCAGGTTCGGGTAGCGAGCTCAAATAGTTGGGCATAGCATACCACATAGGTTGGCAGGAAATACAACGCACAAATAAAGCTAGAAGCATCCCTACAACGTCAACAACGAGCGCACGCCACACAACGCAATGGCGAAAACACGGAGAGCTGGGCTGCTTTCCCACATAGCTTCCGCGCATGCGTGGCCTTCCGACCGTGTTGGTAAACAGAGCCGCTCCGCGTGTCGGTCTATAAATATCCACGTGACATAACGCCACGCGTGTCTCCGAGCGAGTGTGCCGTGGCCAAATGGTTATCGTGCTTGAATCCTGTTGTACTTATGGACGTCAGTTCGCTTGCAGCGTTTACTAACTCGTATATGCCGAAGATATTTACAAGACCATAGCGTTCTACATGCTTCACATCGTCGTCATCGTTCCTTCACACTCCAGTCCAAGCACGCGCAACCACACAACAAACCCAAGTAAAGAGCATCACTATAAGTCACCAGTTTTATTGTCCGACTGTGAACACAAAGTGCGACCAGAGCTAAGGCAAGACTCAAATTCAAGTGACATTTTAATAAGCTCAATCTTTGAGCCACTTAATTTTAGGGGTGTGCGAATACCGAATAGTAGTTCTCGAATCGAATACCGAATCGAATCAAGAAAAAAAAGCCGAATATCGAATCGAATATCGAATAGTGATTTTATTTGTAGGAATTTCTCAAAGTGTGCTGCGAATGAGACTATATATGTGCAGAGTATGCGCCTGGTGTAGAATATGCATCTTGTACAGAACAATAGCAAAAATGTAAAAAAGTTCTGGTGAAAAAAAAAAAAAAGCAGTTGCTGTTGGACCTTGGGCACTAAAGATCCAATTTTATGTCGCAAACATAATCTATCTACCCTAAACGTCACACACAGAAAAGAAAAACAAGAAAAGTTACAGCCACGCGTGCCTTTTTTTTTTCTCGTTAAAAGCACAATTTAACACCGCGACTTTTTTTATATATATATATATATTTGTGTATCTCAGAAAAGGGGCATTTTGCGAGATTTGGTCTCCATTTTAAAGAAGAAAAAGGACACCGGCGATTTTATTTCCCATAAATAAACATATAGGTGTTAAATCTGAGTAAACAGGCTTAAACAATATAATCTGAAGCAAGAAAACAAAACGTGGTTAGGTGGCGCAAGTCACCGTCAGACTGCCTCTATGCATCCATTTTTCCGTCGTATCTCTCCTGTTTTAGAGAGCCTTGATTTAAAAGAGGAAGCAAGCGAAACTGAAATTACGGAGACGGCTCCAGCGCAGATTGGTCGTAAGTGCGCATCTGTTGTGTTGTTGCGTGGAAAGAGGGCGAGCAAACAAAAGAGCGACGACGCCTGCCGTGCCTGCCCGATCCCGATCGACGCTTTCGTCTTTTCGTCACCTTCTCGCAGTTCAAAATTCAAACGCGAACGGTTGGAAACCCTCTCAAATCTAGGCACACTATTTTTCCGTTCCGTTTCGTTCCGAAAAATTTGCGGCTTTCGGCGCTTGCGGTTCCAAAAGAACGACGACGATAACTCGGCTCAGAGCCTGACTCGGCTGGTTTCATCGGCGTGGTTAACGTAGTTTTCTTTGTGTGATCGTGCAGTCGCCGATTTCTGTGAATGCGGCAAGTGTGTTCTACATCGGCGCTTCAATTTGAAACGAGGGGCTTTACTGGTCAAAAGAATTAGGCATGGCGCGGAATTCCGGCTTCTCTGTTTCGGTTGTGATTAAATGGAAGATTGTGTCACGATCGTGAGTAAATCTGCGTGCTATAAAGTTCATGGCGTTCGTTACTTTTCTTTTTTCTAACCTGTGCGTTAGATTTTTGTGGAATGGTAGGACCAAGAGGTGTTTCTCGCATCGTCTGTCTAATATCACGGCGCTTACATCGGGAGAAAAAACGGCTTTTTTGTCAGCTCCGCGCCGACCGCGCGTCTTTGGCCGAATATATCGAATATTCGAGTGACCGAATACTAGGAATTCGATTCGCGAATCGAATTATTCGGGATCTTTCTATTCGATTCGAATTCGTATATTCGAGTATTCGCACACCCCTACTTAATTTGTCAACGTGGGCACTGGAGGAGCGGCATTATAAGCCTTATAAAACCCCTAAAAAGAAAAAAAAAAGTTTTTTTTTTTAACAGTTTGGTTGGGACACGCGTGTCAGAAAATTAATTTAATGCGAAATTGTTTTTGGAGCAATATTGACAGCACGAGACGCGATTTAGTTGGTAGTCATCTTCTTTCCACTTGCTTTCTCTCTCGGCATTTCGGGCGCGTGGAGGAGAGGTGGATCGGCTACGCCTTCACGACTGAGATAGTCGTTCCGGAATGACCTGTGATAAATTTTCCGCGCAATTAAAATAAATCTCTCGCCGTCAATATTGCTGTAAACATCTTTTTTTTTTCGCGTAAAATTTATTTTTTGACACGCGTGTCCCAACTAATCTGTTAAAATTTTTTTTTTCTTTCCAGGGGTTTTTTAATGGTAGCAGTGTGCGAATATCGCTTCAAATCCAATACGTAGCACAACGCCATCCTAGTTTCAACACTCTAAAGAGCCAGTATATGGCCTTCCTTTGCATTGTGAAGGCTATGAGTGATGCAAACTAATTTTCTTTCTTCATCAAACATACTATCAAGTTTAATTTGAAAAATTTTAAAGAGATGTTCACTTGGCTCTTATATACTGTTTGTTGCTGTCACCATTTATTGTTGGCCGTCTGATGTGTCCACTCGGTAGTTCACTGTTTGATAGTGTTGGAAACATTCAAGTAGGTGGAGGTTAATAAACAACATCTGGAGGCCAAGTGAATGTTTCATAAATTTCCACTTTGCGCAAATTTTTGACTTTACATAAAATTTCCGAGTCGTCAGGGAGGTGGTACGACTCGTCGTCGGAAATGGTAAAGCACTCGTCACATTCAAATAAAAGCTGCCGTATTTCTTCATCACCTGGAACGAACCTCCGTGATGAGGCCATGTGACCCTGTCACCTTTCCCAGACATTGAACATTCTTTTTCCCCGGAGAAATGGAGCCTTTTCTTGTCAAAACTTCAAAACAAGGAAACAAAATATCCCAAAGGGGGCGGAGCAACGGGGGTGAGGCTACCATCTGTCCGAGAGCGCACAAAACATGCTTCGAAACCGAAACGTGAGCCAGACTCGTGGGCGGGCCCTAGTCCTTAACGGAGGGTGCGAGACACACTCGTAATTAGTATAGTCACCGACCAAATGTGAACGGTGGAGTGTGTCTTTCGCACACCTGCCTCCAGCCAGTGCTCCAAGCCTTCTGCCACGCCTTGACTGCACACGCGCGCTCGAGGTGCACAAGACATTAAAGCGTCGTCGAAAGTACGAAGCTCACACTGGAGGCGGGAACAACTGAAACCCCTCCCTGCTGTCCTCACCTTGTCGGTTACTACAGTAACAACGTCGCTGTGCGCAGATGCCACTCACCGCGTCTTTGTCCAGCTGGGCGTCCCTCTTGGCCTGCTCCTCCTGCTCCCTGAGGAAGTCCTCAAGCAGCCCCACAGAGGAGGGCCTCATCCCCACCACCTGCTGGCAGAGGCCCCTCCCCAGCTGCTCCAGCTCCTCCTCGGACAGCATGCACTCGCTCAGGGCGCGGTACGTCACCAGGGCGCCGTACTTGCCTGCGGGGGATGGGCACGGAGAACAATCCTCGGTAAAAAGGAGCGTACAGGCATAGCCTCCTCTATACTGACAAAGCCTGGCAGATCGGCATGAGATGCGGCCGCCGAAAGTGAAAAGGTAGAGCGGCAAACAACGGATCAGAGGAGGGTCATGCAACATGCGCCCCGCTGCGGCGAGACGCCGAAACACACTTCTCCCGAGCGGTGGAATGTCCGCTTGTGCTCCTCGCGTTCCTCGCGCTACCGTTTTTCTCGTCGGGTCTGAAAACCATGTTTCAGGTCCTCGCCACTGCAAAAGCTGTGCGCTGAATACCAGCTTCCCCGAGAAATGCTCTTTGCTACCAGATCCTCATGCTCCAAATCTGCGACTGGGCACTCTATGGCTCCGTCGTCGAACTGCCAGGCTTTGTGAGTATAGAGGAGGCTATGGTACAGGGCACCGAACTGATGGAAAAATCAAGTATGATTCGACGGGCAGTGCCACCTCACGCGGAACGGAACTTTTTTCGAGCAAAGGGCACACTGTCCGGTGGGTTGTCCGCAAATTACGAACGAAGGGTAGCCCAACGTGACTCCGCACGTCGAAACGCGTTGGCATTGTGCTGCTGTGTCGGTTTTCACTGCTTTCTATGCCCTATACTACTGATATCCAAAAAAAAAAAAAAAAAAAAAATAAGGCATTGTAAAGTTTCGAGAGATTGCCCATCCTGTTTTTCTGGCTAAATGTCTGTAACATAGTAATTCCAAAACATTGCCCACCCCCGACTCCCGTCGGACGTCACGGGATGCCCAACAAGAATTGCATCAACCGCCCAATTTGCTGCATTGGCACATCTGACCAAGCGAGTTCATAGCGGGTTCCCGCGTCTTTGTCCGCCATTTGCATGCGCAATATCGATTCCACGCGAGTTGGTCCCGTGTGTATATTGCATCGTGAAATATGATTCTGCTGCGTTCGCGATCTGCGGCATTTGTTCCCGTACCATACAGGTTTGTAGCGGATTCCTGCATTTTTGTGCGCAACCTGTGCATGCGATATCGGTTCCCATGACAGGCAAGTTTGTGGTGGGTTTCCGCATGTTAATTGCACCATAAAACTTGAATATGCTGCATCTGCGATTTGCGGTATTCATTCTCGTGAGATGCGAGTTCTTGCGGGTCCTTCACACCGTAAAACGCGAATCTGCCGCGTCCGCAACCTGCGATATCCTTTCCCGTAGCACAAGAGTTCGTAGCAAATTCCCGTGTGTCTATTGCGTCATGAAACACAAACTTCCGGTGTCCGCAATCTGCGGTATCAGATCCTACATCACATGGTTTGTGGCTTGTGCTAGGGCATTTATTATAAATTTTTTATAAAGTTTTGCTATGGCATCCCCAAAGATAGCTCACCCCATGCTTTTCACCATTTATCTCTTCATTTTGGGTGGTCGTTTTTTCGGAATTTTACGGTAATATGAGCAAAAATAGGTGTAGACAATGGTGGTCCTGCGGGATGGTGCCCTCCAAAATGGCGACAGCGGGAAGTAAAGTCGGGGGAAAAGGTGTATGCATGCGCGGAAGCTTACTGGAAAAAAAAAAACTTTCAGACTTTACGCTCTCGTGAAGGAAGACCAGTGAAGCTGTACTACGGTGGGAATGTAGTATTTGGTATAAATGTAAGTATTAAGGTGTGATGATGCAATTGGTATTTGAACGAATAAAGAATCAGACATATATATAACGATCCAGGGTTGTTATTTATTTCGTAACCACGAAGACGATGTCCTTGCGGTTACGAACGAGGAGGATGAGTTCTTGGATGACCTCAAGGACGACCTCTAGGTCAACGCCTAGGACAGCCTCAAAGACGATGTCTAGGACGACCTCAAGGACTTCAGGACGACCTCGAGGACGTCTAGAAGGACCTCGAGGACGTCTAGAAGGACCTTGAGGACAATGTCTAGGACTACCTCAAGGATGACTTCTAGAACGACCACAAGTACGACTTTTAGGACGAAGCCTAGAGAAATTCAGCCTTTTCACTCTGGTGAAAACCAGAGTGGAAAGGCTGGAAAGGTTGCCGCCATCTATGAGCAATGGCGGCAACCATACAACCGGCTTGTCTGGAGTTTTGTGTCGACATCTGTTTGTCGACGGACACGATACTGGAGAAACTAGCCCTTAAAAGCTCCGCTGTAAAAGGCCCATTCTCGCAACTCCGGGATGGCCTGCAGCCGCAGTTGTTGGACCCGACCTCGAACATCCGAGTGTCCTGCCAAACATCGCCGCGGCGCTTCTGTTCAATCGTTTGGTGGCCCAGTCTTCTCGAAGTTTCCCTCTTTTGGCCATTAGCCGCGCCGACTATAGTTGATCACAGAACAAGGAGAGCAGGGAGGAGTTGCAGCTGTCCCACACTAAGCGCAAGTTTCCTACCTTCGACGGCGCTTCGGCATCTCGTGAGCTTCGAGTGTGCGCGCACAGTCAAAGCGCAGCAGAAATTGTGTACATATTCCGTCACTAACCGGAATGGAAGTGTTCTAGAATGACGAGCGACGGCGACAGTCCTCTTTTCCGCCACCCCATCTTACGGGTCTGTTTCTCCGATACAACAACTATGGCGGCCGATTGAGGCACCCCTCGTTTGGTGCCCCGGGGGCTACGACCTAGCCCTAAGGGGCGCGAGCAGGAGTGGTAAAAATCCTGCCTTTGGGGGAGAGATTGGAAAGGACCGCCACAAATTTGTGCATGCGAGATGTTGGTCGAGTCAATGAGCCGCACCATCTACCGCAAACTTCGTACCTCTCTCTATCTACTCGTCAAGCGAGCTGTCAATGCCGATGCAATGTTTTGCAAAGTCGCACACCAATTAGTTTTTTTTTTTTTTTTTCTCTTGTTGCGTTCAAGATGGCAAATAAGTATCTTGTTTGCGGTGGATGCACGACTTGTCGATTCAACCGGCGGCCCTTGTGCATGAATTTGTGGGAGTACTTCCAATCTCGCTCCCAAAGAGTTAATGTGCTTGGGGCACCTTATCCGGGATTTTATTCTTTTACCGGTTCAGCCTAAACATTTACGTTTTCAAATAAACCTAAAAAAAAATCACTGGGTAACGTTTTTTTTGTTAAAAACACTCTTTAAATTTTTTGAAGAATTTTCTCCGAAAGCACGGAATCCTATACATATCTCATGAAATTAACTGCTTCCATACACTTTCCTGACTTCTTCCTGGCCGAGCGCTGAACCGTGGGTTGTTAAACTGGGTTCCTAAGAACCTAGGAGTTCCCCAGGGTTCAGGGGTTCCTCATTGATCAAGCTCCCAAATTTCCTCAACCATCCCTGTCCCTCAAGCAAAGAGTCTTTGCACTTTAAACGCTATTTTAGCATATACATGAATGCATAACTCATACAGGAGGAATCTACCCAGAAAAAAAAGTTTTCTGCAAAAAAAGTTTATCTGGGAAAATGCCATACAGTGTAGACCGCATATAAAGTATGTCGCGGGAGTCGCGAAAATTTGCACTATAAGCGGTACCGCACTATAACCAAAACATCAATTTTTCAGGCCAAAATGGATGCCATCAGACAACTTACCTTTGTAAAAGAATTTATTTTATGTTAGATGAAAAATAAAGCTTAGTTTGAGAAAAGTCTTTATTTCACCAGACTAGTACACTTCTCTCTCAAGTGTTTCACACATTTTGAAAGAAATGAGTGACTTTTGCCTGGCGCAGCCTTGTAACGGCGTCGCGGGTTGCGGACGGACGTTGCGAGCGTTCAGGATTGCTAACCCTAATCACTTTTCTCCGGAGATGAAATGCGTGAAAATTCGCATCCTTTATATGGAACGCGCCAGTAATACCTTCAACTTGAGCACAGGCATGAAATGCTCCAAATAAGAAATCCGGGCGATGTTCGAAAACACAAATGCTTAGAAAGCACCACTGTAGTCGAAGTCTACGTCGACAATCAAAACCGACGCCATGTTTGCGGATAGAAGCACCCGGCCGGCCGGCCCGCGACCAGCATGCAACGCGCGCGAACACTTCTCTTCGACCTGCGATTGGTCTGTCGTTGCAGTTGTTTCTAACCGGAAGGACGCACGCACGTGAACGACACGTGCGTGCGTCCCTCCGTCGCTATGGCAACTGAAGCCTCTCTCTTCGCTTCTCCCCGATTCTTCGAGCAACCTCCTTGTCCCGCGAGTGCCGCTTGCGGCTTGCGCCGTTATCTAGTGTCGCACAGGGAAGCGTGCTCTCTGCGTCGGTCAGACGGCGCGGTCGCCGGGCCGTTCCGAAAACCGCACTATAACCGGCATTTCCCTTCGCGCGCCTGCATTTTAAGCGGTATGTAATTACATGGAGCTCTATGGGAGGCGAACCGGTGGTTTAAAAAAGCCGCATTATACCCGGTCCTGCACTATAAGCGGTTACGTTGTAAGTGGTCTATAGACCTTTTTATTTCAGTAGTTGCCTGACCGGCGGGTAGAGGGCGCTGGCGCACTCGGCGCCATTAGGTTGCTTCAATTTGGCCGGTTTCAGTTTCAACGTACACGCGATTGTGATGCTGTTTCATGCCACTTTCGATTAATTTTGCGATATGAATTTCTTGTAGCACACAGCGAATGAAACAATAATATTGAGCCACCTGGCAAACCACGAAGTGGTTTCGAGCCTAAATTGCGATCTTTTTTTACGAACACTATATGCGTCTGATTCCGTCCATCACTAATTTCGGCCAGGTTCGGCGGTGAAACAACTGCGCTGATGCACAGGGAAAAGTACCATTGTCCACGGCCGTACCCGCGGACACTAATTTCAAGAAAAAAAAAATAAAGAGCAGGACAAGCTTCGCCTGCAGCGTGCGCTCGTTGCCTGCCGCCGTGCTTTGGCTGTGCGTGCACCGAGCGGTACGCAAGTAGATAGCTCGTGCTCAAGCCAGATATTGAACTGATCATCTTATATTGCAACAGACTATATTGCATGAGTGCTTAGTGAAAAATCAGGTCGACAACATGATTAACAATCTGCTGAATCACCAAGAACAAATGAACTGACAAGTTTACTGTTCGATGTTTGGTTTCCGTACACCAACCTTTTCTAACTTCGAGACTGGAAGCGTTTATTTATAATGACTAGAAAATTTTAATATAATCACGTAGATAATATAAAAAATGATATTGTCTCGGCCTGTTTTATTTAAAGAAATTAAGCGCTCGAGAAATATTTTGATAGACCAGCCTAGGCTGACTAGAAAATTTCTTTAACTAAAGTACTCATTTACAGCATTTCAAAATATTGGCCTCATGAAATAAACTTTTTGTTATATGGAGATTTGCTTACGACGTTCTAAATTTATGAGAATGGTCAGATAAGTGAATGCCAGACTTCAAATAAAGTCTGATATTCATCTTCCGTAAAATTTGCCGAATGAAATTAAAGGGCGCAAAAGAAATAATCTCCGATAAGTTCGGCTGAAGTCGAACGCCAGGCGCCACCCAATGGACCTTTGTAGAAAGCTGTTCACTGATTTGAAACGATGCTCTTTGCACATTTTGACGTCGCCACCGATTCGAAGTCGACAACCGGCTGCATTTGGGTGATTTTCATGCAGAAGGATTCTTTTCGGCGTCACATTTTATGAATCATAGGCACTACCAAGCTGTCTGTGAGTTTCTTACGCGGGGAGTTCAAATATTTGTGTTGAAATAAATTAATTGAAACTGCATGGTTATATTAAAAAAAATGACTTAAGCAACTGAAAGACTATGGACATGGGACCAAGCACGATATACAATTCCGCGGAATTCATAAATAAACCGATAAAGCGAATGCTTCTATCACACACGCGATTAAGAACGTAAAACAGATATAGGCGTGATATTGCGAACAAACAAGTTGCCTAATGTTAAGGTACCATTATTTCTAGCATAAAAAATAATTCAAACTAAATGTTTGTTCCCGCGCCTTGTCCACTAGTTCCCTAGTGTAATCAAAAGAAACTGTTTTCGAGCTGTTGGAACTACAAAACCCCATGTTTTTAGGAAAAACACGTGGCTAATTACGCTGAGTGCTTTTGTCTTCTTCCTTGACACCAATGCCCACTCATATATATGATAACATTGGGCTTCCTACTGCAAATGTTTCGCCCTTATTAGTAACCAAACCTCAGTTCCCATAAGTTATGGGTATTTAAACCCTCGAGGCTCTCTTCAAGTCATATATGTATTCAATGTGCGCAAGTGCTAACGCTGATTTCTGTTCCTATAAAACCTTTTCACACGTATCCCACATGCCGACGGTAAAAAAAAAAAAAAATATTAAAAACGTGTTACAAAATTAACTACAGAAGATTTGCGCAGAATGATGTAATGGAATTGCATGGTAAGTATAATTATGGAACGACACTTTACGGAGTAAGGCAAGAGACGCGGTGAAACGCGACGAAAACACGAATTCAACGCATCCGCCAAGGCGCGGACTGGAGAGCGGAGCAACAAGTTGAAGCAACCTAATGGCGGCCGCATCACGTGATTCCAAGATGGCAGCGCCCATGCGGCGGAGGGTGAAAAGGTCTATACTGTATTTACACTTACAATGCCTGGAACAGAGGTGGCCAAGCTGCGGCTTTTCGCTTGTTGAAGTGCGGCTCGCGGCTCCCTTCCCCCCCCCCCCCCTTGCCAACACTCCCGCGCCCCCCTCCCGGTCACAAGAGCACTTCCCCAAAAAGAGAAATGGAACATGTTTTGAATTGAAAGACAGGTTGCCGTTTGGTAGTCTTGTGCTACTCCTACCTTACGTACAGTTGGATTGCTTTTGACTTGGATAGATTGAAAGTTGTTCGAGTTTTGTGTATTGCTCTAAACAAAAGTCCCCCACCCTTTGCGGCTTGCTCTTGGAGGTTTCATGATTTTGTTTGCGGCTCTTAGGCCGGGTCAGGCTGGCCACCCCTGATCTAGAGTATTCCCAGAAAGCTGCATTAGCTTACACTGCATAGTTATTTTTTAGAAATTATTTTTGGTCCACTGATGCTAAAGAAAAGGCAAAGGTTGAAGCACCTTGAAAGCGTTTTTCTCCGTTCCACTTTTTGGCATAAATTTCACTTTAGGAAAACTATTGTTTGGTAATGGGAAAAAAGGAAAGACTCACTCAATATTTTTTTCTAACTAGAATTTTATGGGCCATACAACTGTGGAATTGTTTTCTTTTACTGTCTTTTATTTAATATGTTAAGATTTTATCGACAACTTAAAAGGCAAAATATTTATTTGATTTTTCGCCGTGATGTTAGCATAAAATAAATTAATTTATAAAATTTTTGTTCTCATAGTTGCACTCTCCAGGCATTTTGCTGAAAATCCAGTGAAGAAAAACGTTGGGTATTACATTAGTTTCCTTTTAACTATAGTTTTCCTCAACAATGTCAGCGTGTTCCCGAGAAAAATGACTATAATTTCTTTAACAATTCATGTACACAGATGAAACTTGGCACTGCATTCTGCCTCGCAACTGCCATTATATACTGTAAATTTCATTCGTATTGAGCCAAAGGTTCAAAAGATGACCCTTTTATAATAGTGTCTCCCCTTAATGTTTACGAGTTCCGCAGGTGTTTGCACTGCCTCATCAGCGCAAAAACTGGAACGGGTCCCTAGTCGCCATTCAAGGTATAGGGTGTTCTCAATCCCGCAACTCACTTTAAAATCGGCCAGAAAAATCGGTGCCTGCGCGGAGCGATCTCGAATTTTTGTCGAATATATATTTTAGTGGTGGCCCTTACCTCGTGACGTTGGAGGCGGAGCTCCCTTCCCGCGAAAAATGAGAACACCACCTATACCCCAAAGTTGACAACGGACAATGACGCAGACGACAGAGTTGGTGAGCATTGCACTTGTGGTGCCATCTCCCGACGGGCAAGGCGATCGGACAACGCGCTCAGTTGAAAACAGGCGAAGCCGCCATCCACTCGCTGCACCTGCCGGGAGCCGGCACCACAAACACAATCATCTACAACACGAGTCCGTGTCGTCATCGAACGTTGACCGAGGCAAGGGTGGTGGTCTCTATTTTCGTGGGAAAGAAACTACGCTTTGCAATTTGACGAGGTACAATGCACCGCTAAAATACACCTTCCACTAAAATGTGACACCAATTCGTGCAGGCGCCATTAGAGTGAGCTCCGGGATTCAAAGAGTCATACGGATAGGGGCTGGTCGAGACCAAAGAGTTTGAGGACCGCTGCCCCGGACGACTCTCCGACAATCCCACGTCTTCCCCGTTCCTGCGCGGCACGAACAGACCGGCAGAGAGGGAGAGTCTTGGTCTGGACCAACCGCCCTGGACTCACCGAAGCAGGGGTAGGTCTGCGGCGCCTGGTCCCCGTGGCAGAAGCCGGCCAGCAGGGCGGCCTCAGACCGGAGGCACAGCACCCTCCGCACCGCCACATCCTCTCCCAGTCGCCCCACAAGCAGGGCACGCGCCTCCCCAACCGCGCCTCCGTCTCGCACCCGCAGTTTCTCCACCTCCGCACTGGCCAACGACACCTGGAAAAAAACAATGAATTAGTCGTTCGTTGTACGGACAGAGGGAGTTTAGTCTGCCAGAGTGACACTGTTCCCCACTGTAGATGAGAAATTTAGCCAGTGCGATATGACAGCTAGCCTCGGGTCTTTAACATGCATCGTGCAGGAATGATGATGCACGACTGCACGCCGTAACGGTGCTCATCCGGATCGAAACAAGCGGGGGCGGGGATGGAAACCGGGATCCTCGGGTTCTGCAGAGCGAGCTTTCACTCCACGTGCTCAGAGCTGAGATGCGCTAACACGCTGGGCCGCCGATTCCCCCCCGATGACGCCTGCACACGCGAGCGACGATGTGGGTGCTAATAAAAAAGACCACCAGGCAAGAAGTGGTAGCGGTCGCAGCAAGTCAGAGACGACCAGGAGCAACGTCGCTGGGTCTGGATGCCCGGATGCCGAGTAGAGCGGAAGCAATAACAGGATGGGAAGAAGCCACCGACAAGCAGCACGAGAACGACGAAACGCAGAGCGATAAGACGCTTTTAATCGTTGGACGTTTTCGCGCCATACCGGACCCCCCGGATGTATTAGAGATTCTTCTTCCAAATCGCAAAACCTGCTTAAGGGCTCCTGGTCCACCCTTTCACTTCGCTCCACAACAAACACCTCCCAAGACATTCTGGCAACTGTCTCCGTGCGAGCGCATGTCCGACCGGCGCACTATGTCCTTATTTTCTATCCCTCGATGTTCGCCCAATGACGTTGCATGAGCTTCATGCCGCCATGATCCCGGTGGTGCCGCAGCAACGGAGGTGGATACGGTAGATCGCTGTTCTGCTGTAAGTTGATATCTAGCGTGACTGTCTAAAAAAATGCCAGTCGCCACAAGGTGGGTCAAAGCGACGACAGTGACGGTTGCATTTACTCCTCCTCGCTGCTGGAACTTCCTAGATCCAACCACAGGGATTGCGACATCTGACAGCATGAAACGCAGACCCTGCAATGTAATTTGCTGCCACTTCCAGACCACTTTTTATACATAGCGCCCCAGACGCACGAGTCGAAGGCGCATTCTATACAACGAAACACCAAAATGCAGTTTGGCCAACGTCTCGATCCAGCCGTCCGAAGCCTCCTTTCCCGAATGTGACACGGTGCACCCCGTGCGATCCAACTGCCTTACGATAAAGCCACTTCATAATAGAAATAGCGTACTGCAAATCAAAAGGAACTGATTCACTGTAACTGCCGGCGGGTGAGTGACGACTTGCTAAACTGAACATCCACCAACAACCGAACGCGAGTACAACGTTAACTTAACTCGCGAACTTGTACTGTCACAAAATAAAAACTCGGAACGCAAATATATAGCTGCTCACGATCAAATCTGCAGCTGCATGTTCGGGAAACGAGAGCAGCTGTTTGAGCTCGTCTCAAATAATGATAACGCCGCAGGCGTCAGAGACGGATGGTGCAGAAGCAGAGTCACTGTCGCATCTGTTGGTAGTGGCTAGCTCTGGCCCACGTTGCTCGCTCTACGTTGTTTGTCACCCCAGCAACAGACACTTTGGCTGTTGTCGGCAATTTGTAAACCTAAAATGTTGCTTCTCACAGTCTTATAATCGATGGCCTAAGGGTCTACACAGAAACTCGGTTGGAACGAGTCTTCAAAGAAGCTGGTCACTGCCTTCTCCTAAGCCACGGTCTCTGCTGTCTCCCGTGTGTGCCGATTCGTGAAGGTACACTTCGGCGTCACAATCTCCGAATGCAACACTGCACACACGATTAGCATGAAAGTCTGCTTGTTATAAAATCTAGTAGAAAGAATCATGAGTCGACATTCCTTCGCAAATGCCCGGGCGATGGCAACTGTTGTTGATGACGACATCTGCGGTCGTTGTGACCTTTTTGGCGCATGCACCTGTTGAGCGAGTACATACATTTTGGGGCAGCAGATAGAAGGGCACAGACACGGAAACCCTATTGTAGTCATTTTCAGAAAAACTAGGGCTGGAAATTCACTTTATACAGTCTAAGCTCATTACAACAGACCTGGCTACAACAGACATTTGGATATAACATAGTGATTCGTGAAGTTCGGTTGGTTTTCCTGTACATACCATTGACTCAACTTCATATCTGCATACAACAAATTCCTCTTACAACAGACCGAAATCTTGGTCGAAATCAAGGACTGTTATAACGAGCTTAAACTGTACGGGCTCTCTGCAAACGATGGCCAATCTTCCTGCTGAATACACGAGGAAGATGCTATTGTAGAGCACTTTTTTACCTTTGTTTTCTAGGAAGTTAAAGCGTAGAGGACTATATTGTTAGGAAAAGGAAAAATTAAACATAAGATACAAACAAACACAGAAAAATTACTCAAAGGCAACAAAAATACAAGACCAGTGCTTGCTGGTTGCCTGGCCTATGTTGCACATTAAGCCCTGCAAGCAATGACTGAAAACCTATTTTTGTACCTCAACAATGCTTACCGTAATTCAAACATTATATACGTCGGTAAAATGAATTCAACACGCGGAATATGTCCAGACACTCACACCCTGTACAGGTCTGGGGCATGGGGGGACTGCATTGTTATTCACGAGGGGACTGCAATAATGAGGCTGCAATCCGAATTGTCAGCTCCTGCATGCGATCAGTCCAATGCCCAGTGAAAGCAGACGCACGGCACAAATAGCTCACCCTTGTGACGCCCGTCTCCAGAGAAGGCAGCTTCTTGGCATGGCTCGTGCACGCCCGCACCAGCTTGTCCACAAAGGTTCGGAAGTCCTCCGTGCGCGCCACGAAATCTGTCTCACAGTTCACCTGCAATGGGGACTCACGTGACGCACACCCAAGGAACAAATGAAAGCGCGAGCCCTATGTCAATTCGTCGGATCATCGGATCTCTCAAAAATCCTGCACAGAGTGGAGATCTAAGCACCTGGCGAAATTAGGCGACAACAGGATCTGTCATTAGAGAGACACAGTTTCGGTCAGCATTCTGCTCGGCAACGCTCAGTGACTGCACGCCAGGCAGGGCACTCGGCTCGATGGCCATTGTGCACAAACTTCTCTTTCCTCTTCCAGGCGAGCAGTTTAGAGTGTGCCTTGTGATCAATCGAACTTTCAGCAAATATTCTAGGATGTTCATGCGATGCCCTGATGAGGAGCCTTGTCACTATGCAGCATAGCGTTGCTGTTGCTAATGTTGCCATGACAAAAGACATAGGGGCCATTAGTAGTTGCCAAAATTTAGACATGGCACATACAAGTGAGGAATACTTTTGAGCTTGAAAATTGCACTGGCTGTCAGATAAGATACACATAGCGAAATTCACGAGTTGTCTGACAATATCAGGGCAGTCTGAACTTCATTTCAGTTACATTTTGTGTGATAGTCACTGGTGTTAGTGCTTGCATTGGTTGTTCAGTCGATTTGTGGAGCCAGAAAGTGTATCCGGTTTAACCTAGCATTGCCTGTGCACTGATAACTGGATGAAAGTGTAAAATCAAGTAAAGCGATCAAAAGTGAAACAGGAGGGAAGTATAAAATCAGGCAAAACGACTATCAAAAGTGGAACATAAGAAAGTTCCAAACCTCGGATAGATAAGTTTCTTTTACACACAAAAATTCACAGGGGTCATGCCATCTAAGAAAGTCTGAAAATTTGCTGACACCCCCCCCCCCCCCCAATTGTTCTTGTTCTTTTTTTTTGGGGGGGGGGGGGGGGAGGGGGGGGGGGGGTGTGTGTGTGTGCGTGTGGGGGGGGGGGGTGGAAGCATTTTTAGTGTTTTAACGTGGTAGGACGAGCAGGCGTCCGGATCGCACCTCGGCCATGGCAGCGAAGGGTCCATCTCGATGCACGGCCACGAGTCCCTGACCCCTGGCCCTGCCAGTGACCTTCGACGCCTTGGCCCACCCTTGCTCCTGGGCCTGCTGGTGCAGCCAGCGCTCCGCCTACGCGGCAAGGCATCCAGGTGCGTGAGAACACATCGGGCGGCCCACGTGCCGCGATCGTCCCACCTTGCTGACGTCGTTGTCGCTCAGCTGCAGAGCCTTCTTGCAGTTGGAGAAGGTGTAGCCAGTCTTGTTGCGCAGCTCGAGGAGCGCCGCTTTCTCGACGGGCGCGCCGGCGGACGTCTGAAGGCACCTGGTCAGTAGCCGGCCGAACATTCTGCAGGAACACGGATATGGCTCGCACTTGCTGGAGTGCCAAGGGCTCAGGGAGCGACTTGGGGCCCTTACCTCGGACTGTCAGTGCCGCTCGCTGAGTCCGACTCGGCGCCGAGCTAAAAAGACGGTCGCCCAACAGCAGTCAATCAGCTACGAAAAGGACAAACGCGTCGAAAACGTCGAAAAGTGAACACTGACCGAAGCGATCGTCAGCGAACCGAAGCGAAGGAGTGGTTGGAGTGGTCAGGGAACGCTCGCCAGCTTGCTAGGCTTCATGCTCGGCTTGCTGCTATGGCTTGCTGCAAGGATGGATGGATCAGGCTACGCACTACAAAATATGGCAGTTTATGAGGGCAGACATTAGAAAAAGAATAAACTCTACTAGATCTACCAGTTAGTGCATTTAATAGTTTTACTTAAAAGAAAAAAAGAGGTAAGTTAGCCGGATTTTTTTAAAGAATGTTGTTACCAATTCTCAATATTAAATTGACTTCCACCTGAAATGTGACCCTACCGAAATGTAGAAAGGATGTCTACTGAAATGGTGTGCAACTCGCGCCCTCTTGTGAAACAAGGCAAGGCTTAATTTATGACGTCACGACGCGCGCGTTTCGTACGTACCAACGTTACTAGATTACCTCAGTTGTGGAACTCCCGCGGAGGGGAGTACCCCTCCTCATTCACTTCAATCCGCCAGCCGTCGTTCGAAGCGCCATCTATATTTTCTTTTCATAACTGTGTGTTCCAAAGAGCACAGCTGGAACGACAAATGGCGATCACAACACTGCCATTTCTCCCGCAGCGGTCACTCGAGGAACTGCACGTGACATCTATTTTGGCTTCAATCGGCCATTTCGGAGCCGAAACAGATACGGTGGAAAGGGTTACAGGGGTGCCACCCCCCCGACTCCCCAGCGGATGCGCCGCGGAATTCCACGCACCTAGGTCGGGACGCGCTACCTGAAATCACCGCTGAGGCATGGTTGTATAAAAACAATATTAATTGTGCTGCAAAACCTTGCAAGCTAAAGATTTTAGAAAACATCACGCGCCCCTCATTTTGCACTAAACTCCAATAAAAGTTACCACAAAAAGAGTTTATCCGTTGGTTTTTTCGTTTCTAGTGACGTTGAAACTAGGGGTGTCACAAACTTTTGTCGAACCGGATTTTTAGGTCGAGTTTTCGCGGTTCGAACGAACCTTCGAACTTTTCACCGAAATCGACAGGTTCGACTTTGTAGAAAGTGTGGCCAGACCTTGATAAAAGCATGTCTATGTTTGGAGAATTTTTTTTTTATGCAAAGGGTTATTTTATTTTATGAACAGTTGCAATTAAAAGAAACCAATTCTAATCACTGAAGAAGTTAATAACTTAATTTTTTGTAGTGTATTAACTGAAATAACCAATCAGCGCTGCCCTTAATTAATTCCTTAGCCATTACCATCCAATCCGAAGCCAACTGGCCAGCCTGTCGCTCATGCGCACATGAGTCGAACCTCAATACAAGGTTCGTCGAACATTCCACTAAAAGTTCGAAAAAGTCGAACCTAAACGAACTCGAACCTCAGCCAGTTCGCGACACCCCTAGTTGAAACGTACGTATCCCGATTCAGTTACCAAAGCAGCCGTCTAGCGGCACGTCGAGCGACACCGGGCGAGTCGTGGTGAGTGAGGGGGGGTACTGTTCGTGCATGCAGCAGTTCCGTAACTGAGCTAATCTAATAACGTTGGTACGGACTGGATTTCTTTACACCGCGACCGGAATTCTCGCACTTGCACTGAACACGCCTCAAGTACTTGTACATGCATGAAGTTCCACAAGCTTGCCTGTACACTTCCCATCTTTTTGTGTAACTCCAAAGATTTGTCGCTCTCTTGGCTCAGCTGCAGATCTGTGAATCTGCAGTCAACAGCGTGGTATGCAGAGAGCAAGTCGTCTGCTTGTTACGCAGGAGCAACGTTATTAGATTAGCTCAGTTACGGAACTGCTCATAGACGCCTGCATGGCCCCTCTCACTCACCACGACTCGCTTCCCGTCGTTCGATATACCAGACAGCTGCTGTGGTAACTGCAGTGCATACTATGGGATACATACGTTTCGAAGCGCAGCGTCTAGATGGCGTTCCACCATACTCTGAGCACACAGTTCGTAAACGAAAATCTAGATGGCGCTTCGAACGACGGGAGGTGGACTGAAGTGAGTGAGTGGACCCCCTGTCGGGGGAATTTCACAACTGAGGTAGTAGTAGTATGCATTGTAGGTGAAAACGGTGGGGGGAGGGGGGGGAAATAGAGAGACAATCGTGTATGTCTCTCTATATCCCCCCCCCCCCCCCGTTTTCACCTCCACACAAACTATACCACTACCTCAGTTGTGGTAATCTAGTAATGTTGCGCAGGAGATGCGGCGACATCAAAAAGACACCGAGCTCAGATTGGCTCTGATTGAAGGATAGTGGGCAGACCTCAAAGCAAGCTCTTGAGGTCTACCCACTATCCTTCATTCAGAACCAATCAGAGCTCGGCGTTTTGACGTCACCACAACCCCTGCAAAAGAAGCAGACAAACTTAGCACAGTGCAGGGGCGATTCAGCTCGCTGTTGAAGCCAGCTAGCCAGGGCCGGGGTAGAGGGAATGGAAAGGCACATATGGTAGGGTAGGGCAGGGTGGGTTCATATCACATGACCGGATGTCCTCTTAGCCAACAGCGACATTGAGCGAATCGACGTTTCAGCGAATAACGGGGGCGTGTGTTAACCCACACCCCCGCACTTACGCCGCTTCGTGGCGACAGTCTGCGGCGGCTCATTACAAAAATGTGAACCCACTTGGCCCACCCGTAAATGCCGCTTCACTGCGACCGACTATTCGCTAAGGTGTCATTCGGTGAAACGTGGGTGTTTGCTAAAACGTCATTCGATCAAGTGAGTTCCTCCCGAGCAGGGTACTCCTTTGCAGCTGAACCACTTTCGTCAAACCTGCTTTGCGCCGGCATTCTTGCATCCCGTTAAAGGGATACTGACAGGGTATTTATGCTCACCAAGGTTTTTATTTTTACACGACATATGAGAGCCGAACTACCCAGAAAACAATTCCCAGCTCGAAATTCGTTTCGTTTCTGCCCGAAAACCGCCGATCGAGAACTGGCCGGTCTGAGCCGCACTGACTCTCTTCTCTGTGGTCACATGCCGTTTTCTATGGTCTAGACACAACCACCAAAGATAGTCATAGAACATCGAAGGCACAAACACAATATTAAAAATCTAAAATGAATATGAAAACCATTTTTCGTGGCTTCTCAAAAGCTGCAAATACGTTGATTTGAAGAAAAAAGTTGCATGGCCACGTGACTTCCGCCAACTCTCTCCTCCTATATATTTCTTCTTCCTCTCCAGTGCAGTTGCATTTTCTGACTTTATTAAAAATATATGTTGCGTTAGAGCAAAATATTGATTGGGTATAGTCTTCTGACACCATAACAAATTGCCTAGCAAATAAATAAAAAAGAAAAGTGAAAGCTGTTCACAACTCCCTGTAATGCCGAATTAGAGCGCAGCTCTTGAGGAGGAGGAGGGAAGGGTACTGAGGGCCACGTGTTCTCAAGGGGGGGTCACGTGACCCCCCCCCCCCCCTTTCCCGAGGTCACACGACACCCCCACATGACTTCGGGGAGGGCTGTCACGTGACCTCAGGGGGGGGTCACGTGACCCTCCAGAGGAATTTTTCCACTGGATTTAGCGGGAAACCTTTCCGCTGGATTTAGCGGGGAAATTTTTCCGCTAGATTTAGCAGGGAAATTTTTCCACTAGATTTAGCGGGGAAATTTTTCCGCTAGATCTAGCGGGGAAATTTTTACGCTAGATTTAGCGGGCAATTTACCCATAATGCACCGCACGGTTACGCCGACGGCGACACCACTCAAGCTGGAAATGGGCGCCTAAGAGTTGCGCTCTAAAAAAAAATGGAGCTTTATTGCTTTAGTGACAACTGTGACGCATAGCACTGCACTGCTTCCGGTTTTTCAGAGGAGCAGCTGATGTGGAGGGAAACCTCGGTAGCTCAGTGGTCTCGGAAGTTTGCTGGAGTATGCGCTTGATACGTCCTTTGCTTATGTTTCGCAAGTAGGGGCTGGGCAGTGGCGTAGCCAGGGGAGGTGGAGCGTCTTCGGTTCTCTCTTTGCTCGTGACCAACATGAGACACAAGTAGCTTATCTTGGCAGCACCCAGCCGAAACAAGTATTTGCCGTGCTGGCCGGAAGCGAGTACGGCCGGCACGGCAAATGAAGATTGGAAAAGGGGGCAGGACGGGGCATCTCCTCCTCTCTCTCTCTCTTCCCCCCTCGACATAAAAAATATTTAATGTAAAGAGAACAAGGGAGGAGAAACCCCCACCACCCATCCTTCAAACAGTTGCGATACTTCTAACATGTAGTCTGTGGTTCACTTTCAGACAGTGGAACTGTGGGAGTGGCTAAGCCTAAAAAACAATGCAGTCACTTTTTCCGTGCCAAGCACCGAAATAGACATAGAGATCAGTGGTGCAAAGTGACAGAGTGCCATTTATGAGGAAACTGCGTGTGCCACCCACTGATCTCCACTAGGGTGCTAGATGGCGCGTTCGGCAAACAGGTATAAAGCCACCGGGAGCGGCTTGTCCCGGGAGTGACCGCTTGAGAGGTTTTTCAGCTCTGCCAAGTGCTGGTTTGAACAGCGTCCAGCATGCTGAATTTTTCGTTGTAATCCCGAGGGCTTGCTTGTTGCACAGTTACAGTGCATACACACCATTGGAAGTGAAACTTTTGAGATTCTAGTTGATCAAGTGTTCCTTATCTCCCACGTTTAAATGCCTTATTCTCGGGATTCAATTAGAAATGGGATTATTAAAACCCACTCAGACACAAGAAAGCATAAAGCAAAACATTGACTGAATGCACTACGAAGCCCAGCAGACGCCTGACTTCGGGGACAAGCATCAAACTTCCAGAGGCTTAACTTGTGCCAGGCTCTGAGAGCAGCTATGTGTGATACAGCCCCCTATAGTAGAGATCAGGGGTGCCACCACACAAGTATTTTTTCGTGTTTTCCTCGGTGAAAGAACTGCTGAAGACCCCCGAGAAAGGTTTTCAATTTGCAAAGCATAGTTATGGCACTAAATCTCCCTTAGTGAGGGCAAGCAAAAACCAGCAACTTAACCCAAATGAATTCCAAATAAAACAAAAAAACGAGTACATTTCTTATTATTTAGTAGTTTGCTTAGTTGAGCTTTGAATTTTTTAGTTGACTGTAATAAGAAAAACAATTTTCCACGTTTGGGCCTTTGTATGAAAGGCACAATCAGTTGGCACAAGAAACAATCTGGCCAGCTAGTCCGTTAAAACAATCGCACCAAACTTTGCATCTCTTTACTGCCAGTGACCCTTGGCCTTTAGTGTCATAAGAAAAACCCTTTTCGATCGCTTAGCAAGGGTTCCAAAGCCGAGAAGTATAGGACAGAAATTTCCAACAATTGTTAGGAGGCAGTAGCTCACAAAACCAAAAGGCTTCTTTTACTTTTCCGTTAAAAGTTGTATTCACGATCGTGTCTATTACTCCGACTCCTTTGTATTGTCCCACTGTACCGGGGTTTAACTCGACACCTTCTCTGGTGCCCGAGTTCTCAAACTGGGTTCGTAGGAACCCAGGGGTTGCCGAGAGCACCCACACGGGTTGTCCAAAGTACCCTCACAGGTTCTTCCAGCTCCCAAACCTCTTCTACCATCTCGCCCTTACGCAAATTGTTCTCTCAGTTCAATATTTGAGCAGGTCCGTGCCTCCCATTGATGCGCAACTGTGTGTCGAACACTCCCTGGTGTGTGCATTAAAGCTTAAAAGGTCTGTAGTTGTCTACACCGCTTCATTGCATCAAGATGAGATTGGTCTTCAAGGTCAAAAACCCCGACTCTGGTGGATAGCAGCGGCTCTATTTTCTGGGGTGCAGACTAAGCGCATCGCTCGACGCGTAACGAATGTCGCGGAGGGCGGGGGCAAATGCTGCACCCACAGCACGCCACTGAAGGGCGGGTCAGACGTCGCACGTTTATTTCCAATTTGAAGAACCTAAGACCCCTTCAAGGCGCGTGCAGCCTCCGCCTGGGGCTCAGCGGCCCACTTTGCCCAGCCGGGTGTCGGTCTTGGGGTTCGCCGTGATGGCCTGCACGGCCACGATGGCCTCGTTGATGCGCGTCTGCAGGTCCCGCAGGTCGTGCACATAGAGCAGGCGGAGAACCTTGGCCGCCTGGTTCAGCACGGGGTCTGCAGCGAGGTGTGAGTTTTCTTTAGTGCTCTGCCTCCACGCTCGCCTTTCTGACTCGAGAGTAGTCTTGGCCAATAAGAAAGGCCCCGCCAGCCAGGACTGGGTCTTTCATTTTGTTGGAGTCTCTACATAGATCACCGAGTGTGCGCAAGATGAAAATGTTCTAAAACACTCGGCAGAAAGGTAATCTATGCCAAGGAAACTATACTGAGTGTTTCAAAGAAGAGTGGCAAAGAAGAAAACAGTATTTTTCTCCCAACCACCCTATATGCTAGGCTTCGATGAAACACCCAGTACATGCCGCAAAAATATCGAGCAAGCACCCACCCGAAATTTGGAGATATTCTTAAAACACGGAGGGATGGGCGCTTGTTACGTCGGAGTGTAAAAATGCAGAAGGGACACGCGATAGTGAGGGCTTCACTGCTTTGCGCTTGGATACTTGGACAAGCGGCTGAGGGAGAAAGCGTCTCGGTTAGTTTACAAGCTTGGGGCGGGTGAGCGATATGTCCTTTGCTTAGTTTTCAAATGTTTTGCAAACAGGGGTTGGGTGCTTAATGCGGCGTGGGTGCAAGCCTGGTATATTTCAAGTTAGAAAGGGGGTGCTGCATTGTCACAGACAAACCGCAACTATCGCAGACTTCTGTGCATGTGCTGAGCTTGGCAGTCCAACCCAGTTATAATCAAGGCGACGTGAACAAAAAATATGCTTGCTACAATATCCATACTTCGTTATATCTCGAATTTGTAAAAGATAGTTTTTCTTATGCACGCAGCACATCGAGGTAACACAGCTTATAGCAATGGGCTCGCTGAATACCGACCACTCTAGTTTTGTTGCAGAATCTGTCATATGACTGGCACCTAACCACATCCGGCTAGGTGCCAGGAATGGGAGTTGACAGGCCGACTGCCGGCCGCACTCCGACGCAGCGCTCGTCCCCTCACCGATTGGACGCCAGTGCCAGCCAAACCTCTTCCTTGAGAGCCTCCGCGTAACTTTTGGCGGGGGAAAAACATCACGTGTTCAGACATACAGTGGCGTTCTGCTCCGTGAAACGAGCACGCCCCGGACTTCTCCGAAGAAAGAGCGAAAAACAGAGCAACAGAAAAGCAGAAAAACAAAAAAGCAGACTCCTTTGTTGCAACGATTTGAGGCAGATTAGGGAGTTTGGTTCTCTTGCCGCGAGCTGGTGCCTGAAGTCTGCTAGGCTGCATCAATATCATCTGTTGGGCTAGTTGGTTAGACATGATCAGATAAAATTAGCGCAAACGACAAGAGAAGAGAAAGGTAAGACAGGACAGGACAGAGCGCTTTGTCCTGTCCTGTCTTACCTTTCTCTTCTCTTGTCGTTTGCGCTAATTTTATCTGATCATCTGCTAGGCGCTGCCACATTCCAATTGTTTCGTTTTCCACACACTCCGTCTAATGCTTCTCACACTGCAATTGGCTGAGACAGTTGCATTTACACTGCAACCGCAGAAGAAGGCATCTACAAGTTAAAAGGTTGAGGTACACCTAAGCATTCCTTATGAGTTGTGAATGCGAAAGCATGCAAGCCGCTCATCCGCTTCCTTTTTCGCCTGCTGCATACTTTTCGTCGCTGGTCAGCGCGTGTGCTCCCCTGGTGACCTTGGACGCTCCGCGCTGAATGACACGCAGCGCCATGGGGTGAGCGGTCGTGAAAACTGACAAGCGCAGCGACCAATGGAAGCCCCGTCGACGCGCGCCAGCCAATGGAACCGAAGGAAACTATCTGCCGTTTTCGCGCTTCAGACTGATGACGTCCGCTTGCTCCATGAGACCCCCAGTTAATGCTTTCGCATTAAGAAATCTATGTAGCGCTCACGCGCTCACCTCGCACAACACGAGGCCACTTCCTGCCATCCAGTCGCCACATGCGTACACAGTTTCTCCACACTAACACATCAGATTCTGCTTTACCAGTGCCTTTGCCACACTAATATGTCAAAAGGGGCGACTTTTTTCAGTGCTAAGCAGTTACAATGAAGGCCATATTCACATTTATTAAAATACCTGGCAAGCACACCTACGTGTTAATGTGCAAGAATGTGCGACTGCGTGCGCGTGTGTGTGTGTGGGGGGGGGGGGGTGCATCTCCCTATGTAGTGTACAGGCTCCACCAATATGAAAGACTCTTTTGCCGAGGCGCAAGCCCATGCGGCGGTGCCATGCACACTTCGGCTAGAGCCACTTCAATTTCAGAGAGAGCATAGAGCAGATGTTCTATCGTTTCCTCATGCCAAGCAATGTGGGCCTAGACAAAGGGACTCCAACACAGCCATCTGAAGCTGCCTCGTCAAATGGGTCTTTCATATTGTTTGAGACTGTACTTATGTGCAGAACCAGTGGGGGGGAGGAACCGCATTCATGCAAGGTGCACAGCTTGCGGCCGGTGCGAGTAAAGAGCATGTCTTGGCAAACACCGTAAAAACCAAAATTTAAAGGGACACTGACAGGGTATTTGTGCTTGCCGAGGTTTTTAGTTGTACATGACATATGAGAGCCCAAGTACCCATAACACAATTTGCAGCTCAAAATTCGGTTTCTTTCCGCCCAAAGACTGCCGAATGAGAACTGGTCGGTTTGAGTTGCGCTCACTCTACTGCGGGACGTGTTTTCGTACTTTTCTTGTTGTCGACGTGTTTTCGCTCAAGGACCTTGAAGGTCGACTGAACGATGAGTTATAGAGGGCTTTCGCCTTAATAGAGGTGTTGGTTCCCGTAAGAGACGGCCCGCAGTATTGCGAGCAGTATTGTGAGTATTGTGTATTGTGGCGTGGGCCGTTTTCTAAGGTTTAGACACAACCACTAAATATAATCAAAGTCATGGATCATTGAAGGCACACACTCAATATTAAAAATAGAAAAATATGAAACCTACTTTTTGTGGCTTTTAAAAGGCTGCAAATACGTTGGTTGAAAAAAAAGTTGCACAGACAACCGGAAGCATTCTGTGCGTTCACTGCGTAATTCTGAACATGGCGTCGTATCGCCGCTCCAATGGGAGCTGTTCCACTGGGAAAAGCATTGGGAGAGATAATGACTGCAGATGAAACGAAATTTCATTGTGTCTATAATAGACGAGCGACGTTACCAGCCATTTGATGCAATGCTCATGGTGGAAAAATCTACACACCATAACTTAAACCCCCCCCCCCCCAGAGAATGCCAAAGATTTGCCAAAAAAACAAAAAGAAAACACAAACCATATGGAACTTTTGTGGGTTTGAATCATATTGAATGTGTGCAACCGGGAGCGTGAAACGAACATTAGTCAGTTACACGTGATATTTCTCTATTTTCGGGTTTGTTATAAGTGGGTACAAGTTTATTCTGTCACTAATTAAACTACAGAAACCGGTAGACGGACAAAGACAAACCTCTAAAAAATATTCCAGACGAGTTTCAGAATACGTATTTGCAAGGCTCGAAATGGCGGGATGTGGCAAATGGTTTCCTGGCTGGCTCGAGTGGCTACCAGTGCTTACCTCCAGAGTCAAAGCCCAGAGCGCTCTCCTTGAGCGGATACGGTTTGCCCTGCAAGGAAATGTTTGCAAACATGATTTCACTGTCAGCTTTGCTGACCAGTTGGCGCCTTCCATGCATTAAAAAAATACTTATGCTAAGGTGCTTGTGGGTGCACGCTAACTTGACCTCCTATAGTGGAAATAAAAACAGCTCGAATAGACGAGGACCAGACAAAAAAGTGACACGGACGCAGCGCTGCGTCCGTGTCACTTCTTTGTCTGGTCCTCGTCTTTTCGCGCTGTTTTTAATTCCGAAGTATGTACCAACTCGCCCAAGCCTCAACTTTCTATAGTGGCTTCTATAGTGGGTTGCATTATGTTTGCTAAAAGTCTCTTGGTGGCAACTTTCATCTCAGGGACACTAGCATCAAGACTATACAATTTTCTAACTATGCTCCCCTCTTGGTTAGTACTCGAATGTGAATATTTGATAGAAATCTGTCTGGTTGGGGCAAGACCAATTAAGAAGGGGGGATGTCCAAGCAAGCCCTAATTTGGGACGTAACGTTTCGAGGTCTACTCGGCCTTTTGATGCTTGATGCCCATTGATGCTTTACCATCAGCCTACATCAACAGGTTTTGCAATATCACAAACCCAAATGGAAATGCACCACCATAGAAAAAGACAAAAACTAAAAAAAAAAAGCCGTGCATACTGCTTTTTAACGGCCATCACCAAAGTCACCCCCGAAGAAGAGGTTGAGGAGGCCACAAAACGTTGGGTCCCTAATTTGGGCTTGGTTGAAAGCCCCTCTCTAATTGGTCGGTACTGCGTCGACTCCACCAAAGGTGAAAAAACGACAGTTCAAATAAAAGGGTAAAAAAATTGCAGGCCGCTTGCTGCAATCTAGCAGCCAATGCAGATGCAGCAGCAGCCGCCGTTCCTCCAGACAAGCCCACTCCTTTCTAACACCACTGCAACTCGGTTCGTCGTCTTCAAATGGGCACGTTCAGCAAGTGAGCGACCATTTGCAATGAGAATATCGAAGCAGCTGCAGCAGTCTTTGCCTGGTTTGCGTGGCAACAACTGCACGATGCCTGTACCGGGCACCGTCTTCCTTCGTGGTGGTCGAACATTCCACTGGTCACCTAGTGCGGCACCTCCCGATAGCCGTAGTGGTGGCCATTCTACGTCCCCTATTGAAGGCCAGCGCTGGACACGAGAGCTGTGTCGGTGTTCGGCCGGAACTCGCATTCTTGGCAGGTGCAGTGCACACAACCGTTCTCGATCTACGAGTGCAGCCCGTCTTAAAAGACGCACCGGAAGTACACTCCACGACACTGTTAGCGATAACAAGCCGTCGCCGGTTTTCTTTGTTTTTCTCTTGGTACTGAAAGACTGCCGTTGAGACTGTCATAACGGTAGAAAGTGCTCGTAAATTTTGAGGCCTGCCAGTATCTTTTCAAAGCAAAATGGGGAAAAAGCGCCGGAGTCACGTTTGCACTAACAGTGTCGTGCAATGTATGTCGCCCTGCACCGGTGTATGTTGCTGCGGGTGAATCGAATAGGCCCACCGATTAAACGCGAATCCCGGTCGAACGCTGCCACACAGCACTCTTGTAAGATCTGTGCCCCACGCCGAGCTCCAATGGGTGACGTTGAAAACCCGGCCTACGGCTTTGCCGTCCAAGGACGCAGCGACGGGTGGTCCCACTCCTCACCTGCTGGCCAGCCTGCTTCTTGCCGGGGGCCAGCTTGTCCTGCACCATGCTGCACACTGCCTGCAGGGTCACCAGGTGGTCCGGGTGGGGGCTGATGTTGAGCAGCTGTGCGAGGGCGGCCACTCCCTGCCGGAACTCCGTGCTCTCGACTGAAAGCGCCCACAAGATGCCACACTCAGAGTTACAAAGAGCCGCGAGGAAGCCGATAAAACCTTGAACGGTGCCGATTGTTGTACAAATTCGTGTTGAATATCAGAATACCCGGTAGCGATAGAAAACTAGGACAGAAAGGACGACAACTGGACACCGCCGAGTGAAAAGTTAGCGCACGGCGGTGCCCAGTTTTCCTCCCCTTTGTCCTTGTCTTCAAGCACCATCGTGCGTTCTTCATAAAACCCCCTGCCTGCAAGCACCGGGATGATGTTGAGTCGGATAAAATTATTTTTTCGCTCGTTAAATAGTCTTACTTTATTAATATTTGCAAATATGTTATGTATGTAAAATGTGGTGATGCAACTAGAACTAAGCAGAACAAATGTATTAATCCTTTCGTGGTTAAAGTTTTTTTTCTCCAAAAGGTGTGCCCCAGTTGTTGGATTTGTTTTCCAAAGAGGGAGTACAAAGAAAGAATCAATGCACATGTTTTTGTAGTTACCCAATGGGAGCACGGAGAGTGCTTGCAAACTGTCCAGATCAAGAAGCATTAGAGAACAATGCTGAAGGTGAAAAATTGTCACCTTCCTTCCATCTTTTTTTATTTTTTAGTTTACTTTTGAAACTTTTTGGCGGTCTCGGACTCTGAACCGAAGGTACTTTACGAAGTTTTTCCATCGGATGATGGACCTTTCAACCTCTTTCTGTCCCCCTATTCGCTTGTCAGCACATGGTTCCTGCGATTAAGTGCATAGAAGAATAAAGGACAACTCCGCTTCATGTTTGCTTGCGCAAAAACAATGTGGTCCTCTTCAGCATCACATAGTAAAACCACATGTCAAACATTACGATTTAGTTCTGTCTAAATGTTTGTTAAACGGTATGCAAACTTTGGAATGCGCCAAGTTGCCATTTTGGGGTGCAAGTATCAATTTGTTGCTAATTGTGCGTCAATTAGGAACACAGTAAAGAAAGTTTACTGGTTGGTTTATAAACATAAACGACAGAAAAAATATGTCTCACAAACTCACGCTCTGGGGGGGAGGTTTCGATTTTAAAACTCACATCCCCCTTAAGGACAAGAATGAGCAATGCAAATATGCTGCATCTGTGGTAACGGTTCCCGCATTGCGCAAGTTTGCAGAGGGTGTCGGAAGGTTAATTGCACAACATGGCAGAAAGTTGGGTGGGTTCGTCGATCGTTGTACAAGATGGGAACACTGCAATTTGACAAAGGATAAGAAACAAGAAGTGCACAGACACAGCACTGACTATCAACTGAAAGCTTATTCTCCAGCGAGTAGCGATTGCTCTTTCTAAATTGCTTACGAACTGTACCTATACTAGTAAAGTTATGTTCAAATGTGCTGGAAAATAAACCTTCAGCTGATAGTCAACGCTGTGTCCGTGCACTCCTTTCTTGTCCTTTGTCGAATTGCACTGTTCCCACCCTGTTCATTGCACATTTTAGTACATTTTTTGTTTTTTCTCGGAAAATTGCTTACCCATGTTTTTTGTCTTTTATCTTTTCATGCTTAAGTGGGTGTTCTTTCAAAACTTTAAGGTATAGTAAAGGCTGCTTGGCACATTTGCGTGTGCAGTCGAGTGGGTCAATTCCCTTGGAGTCCTTTACGATGAGAGAATGCAGTTGCACACGAGCAGGTGACTACACTTTTTTTCAAATTTCTTAATATCATTGTGCTAAAAAAAAAAACAAGAAATAAAAACAGTGCGAATTCGCAGAAAGCAGTTTTAGAGGTTCAAACGATACACGTAATTAAAAAGACGGCTCTATCGAAAGGCGAAAACGTCACGTTCCTCTGAAGGTTACTTCATAAAATAAGCACTTAACAGGGGTCACCATTTAATGCATTATAAAGTTAGCATCCTGCACCCATTTTTACTCATTTCCAGGGTCACTTTGCGAGTCAAGGCTGCACAATATAGGCTGACCCCAAGAAAAAAAAAAAAGAAAACCAAAACGAGGTATTTGCATTTAAATGGTGCAAGGTCAATCTGTTATTGAACTGTGTCGACGTTGTCACACGCTGTGGATGAGATGCGTAAGCCACTACAAGGCTTACGCCTGCCAAACGGAATCAGCTGGAATGCAAGGCACTTTCTCAGCACGGAGCCGGTGACACAACCCCGAAATCTCTTTTGCACCCATTTTAACCGTCGGGAGAGACGCCCGCATTTGCCGGCCAACCAGCCGGAGACTCTCGCAATCAGGGAGGGTGAAGGACCGAGCGAAGGCGGCCGGCGTGCCCGCCGAAGGAACGACAACTCACAGTCCATGCCGTCCAACGGGTTGCTGTGCACCAAGGTGGGTCCCTTGGAGTCCGGCTGCTCGCAGTCCACCGCAAACTTGTCGGCTGCGTCGGACAAACAGTGCTCTATGGTCCTCCCTATAATGCCTGGAGGCACCCTATCTCTCATCCGTGCATCGAAAGTTGTCCCGAAGTGGCAACAGATGACGCCGCAGAAGACTGCGTGTCGTGTTGTCGGATGTCGCGACCCTGGCACCGTAGTCCTGCCCTAGCAATGGGCCTGAGGGACGGCGGCAACGGTTCAGTGGTCACACGCAACGACTGGTCGACTGGTTTTCAACGGACGCTGCACTCTCGAGAAATGTGTATTTTAACCCCTTGGCCGCCAATCACGAGTGTCGCTCGTGCCCTCCGGCATCATTCCGACAGTACCACACAGAGAAGAACTCTTGAATGGACGCGTCGGATAGCCGGGAATTAATAGTGACTGCAACAAACAACAGCTGAAGACCAAAATGAAGGTTTAGATTGACTTTCATCCAAATTGCCAGTTTTAAATAAAATCTTGCTGTGTTTTATGAAAAAAAAAGTCTACAGTCGGTGACAGGAGGAACCTCCTCCCGCCCCTCTCTCCTTTGGCAGGGAAAACTCTGGAGAGGAGGTTGCCTCTTCTCCAGCATTCGCTCTGCTAAAGTGGAAAGAGGGGGAGGAGCCTCCACTTTATTCTTAACCTGTCACCGACTATAGTTTTCAATGGGTTGAACCTGCGTGACACATACATACTAAACCACATTTTCCCCCAAAACAAGAAATCAATGAGCTCAGTATTTCTCTTGCAAGGTGCAATTCAACAGAACCACATGTGTCAGTCCAGTCCCCTTTTGCATTTTGTCGCAACATGTGTAGGAGGGTATGTGAAGGCATGCATAAAAACAAATGGGCGTAGCTGTCATCCATGCTCCTTCCCTCCTATGGGAAGAGGCCATACAAAGTGGCTCCTATTCTGAGGTCGCTGTGACGTTGACCTTGAAACAAAAAGCTACTTTTGAGGTGGCACATGCGAGCAGAAGTCACTCTAAACTAACGTGCATATCACAAGCTAAATAGTGCATTTTCTTGACGTTTCTTTTTTTGTAGGGGGGAGGGGGAAGCATTTTGACATATGTGGCCTATTTATGCAGTTCGTAAAAGAATGTTTTTTAAGAGCAGAGTCTTTATAGAGAGTGGCTACTTCAACCTTTTTTGCAATGTTTCGTCCCGCTACTGTAAACAGCTTGCACTTTGCAGCAACCTCATTCTTACAAATCGAATACAACTGCGAGAAATTGATTGCACAAAGGCATCCCCCACACTAATTAAAACAGAGGGCTCACAAACCACTTGACTGCAGACTGCCAACTTTAGTTTAGAAAAAGCAGCATTTGGCAAATTCACAAAACAATTAAGCCTCAAAGCATATGCCCATTCACGGTACCACATTTCTCGTTTTGCAAACAATACATCAACACAAAAACCTCACTCCACCTCTCCTGCGCATAACCATACCACCGTCGCTCAACTCCAGAAAGGAATGCCATTTTACACATGCCTCATTTTTGCATTAGGCTCCCCAATTACATTGCAGCGTGTGCGGTGGAGTGGGAAATTTGCATGGCTGCTGTGCAGACAAACGAGGTGTGAACCCTACTAGGCCTGGGGATTAATTTTATTGAAGCTTGCTCTTCTGGAAAGTTTCAGCCAATTCTCGGCTGTCGTCGTGTGTTGAGAACATTCCAGGACATAGCGCGTGTGTAAAACACATGGTAACGGGCTGCTCAGGGTAAGTTGCCCTTCCGTCACTGACACCGGATGCTCTATACCAGGGATGGCCAGAGTGACCCGGCCTAAGAGCAGCAAACAAAACCACGAAACTTCCAAGAGCTGCGGGAGGTGGGGGCAAACTTTTTTCCTGAGCAATACACGAAACTCAAACTACTTTCAATCTATCAGAGTCAAAAGCAGTCCAACTGTGCGTAAGGTAGCAGTAGCACAAGACTACTAAACTGCAACCTGTCTTTCGACTTAAAATGCGTTCCATTTCTCTTTTTGGGAAAGTGGTCGTGTGACCGGGAGGGAGGCGGGGAAGTGGGAAGGAGGGAGCCGCGAGCCATACTTTAATATGCAAACAGCCGTATGCGGCTCGCGAGCCGCATCTTGGCCACCCCTGCTCTATACCTTTCATTTTAGTTTGTAGGCACGAATTGGCCTTGGCTTGAACATTCGGCTTGATTTCCTACTTTTCTTTAAACACCGAAAGATTGCTTACTTCTAGTAATCGTAGTGCTGGGGTCAATGACAACCTCGATGTAAATGTCTCTAGTGTGCTATGGCTGGACATAAGCAAACATTGTTGACTGGGAAGTACAGTCATCTTTGCTTCATTGCCCCTTGCCGCGATAACAAGATTGGCATGAACACATTATTTAAAAATATTATACTTTCAACTTTTCTTGATTGCACACCGGAAGTTAGCCCACTCCTTACTTTCACCAAATTTTTTCTCGATTCTAGGTGGGCTATTTTTCGAGGTATTATGGTAGTACCCTCAATTTATGATGCAGAGGCAGGAGCACGTAATAGCATGTGAACACTTATCAGATGTGTAAGCTACGAGATATAATACGAGAGTGAAGCCACATTATTCAATCAATGTCAAAAAAAGAAAATAACGAAAAAAAGGACATGGTATACGGCAGTCGACATAAAAATCCCATTTTCCACAAAGGGTAAGAAAAAAGAAAGGAGAACAATGAAACTTGCCTAATTCGGACACTAATGGTGTAAGCCAGGCCAGGTAAGGTAACATTCAACTGAGAAATGATTTTTAATAATTAGAGACTACTAAAAATATATATATTTTTTAAATAAGTAAATAAATAAATTAATAAATAAAACATACATCTTTAAAAAAAATTACCTAAAACAAAATATCGTGCAATATTTATGCTGCCAAACACAATTTAGGTCGAGGTAGCCCTGCTCTATGGCCCCACTTTTAATAAAAGGTGCTTAGGCAACTAAGCACCGTTTCTAGGTTTTCATTGGTTGGAGAGATGATTGACAAGTGAAATGTTTGTTGCAAAATTGTTTCTGCTGTGGTAACCTTTTATTTGACATGCTTTCATGTTTGAGAAATAGACGATATAAATAGAGTCATTAGGGTTTCAAAAATATCAGGAGAGAGTCATTAGGGTTTCAAAAATATCAGGAGATTGCCTTATCCTCTTCGATTTCAAACGATAACAAACATGGCTGCCAGCAGCATCTGCATTGAGTAGTTTCTCACATTGCCTAACTCGTTGAGTTTGTCTATTTCTATGAGTGCGAGTTGCTTCACGTTCGTTGAGATGTTCAGAGGAAGATCTCCACTGACGTAGTTTGCAGCAAACAACTGTTGCCAGTACACACGTCCCACGTCAACTATTTTGCTGGATCTGGCTTCATTCATTCATTTGTGCATTTTGATGCTGAATACAGATTTCCGTTCTCATAAAAGTGTCCCTGCTACTCTGAGAATCCTGCAACCGTCGTGAGTACATAGAGGTAACCTACACAGGTACAAATTTGCAAGCCATTTTGCTGGAAGCAATTGAAGGTTCACATTGCTTCAGGTTTGTCCAGCTATGTTTCCGTCGTTTCACTTTGAAAGGCCCGTAGCTCTCAAGTTTTGAAAAGTGCACCTGGCTTGCTGGAGCCACTATTTTTGAGTTGTGTTTTACTTGTGCGTCATGACGCTCACCCACCTTGCTCGCGAACGATATGCAAGAAAACACAAACAAAAAAACTGGAAGAACTGCATTTTTTTGTTGATATTTTTTTAGTGTTTTCGGCTGCTTTTTAGAGCACGACGACGGATGCTTGTATTGGAATGTGGCTCACACATGATGCAATGCTATACCTTGTTCTCTGCTAAGCTGACAAGGCGATGGAAACTGCGTGTTTATCGGTCCGATCCACCGCCTGCTTTTTATTGTTTGACCCGAGAGTACTATGTGTAAAAGGTGTGATCATATGGTGCAAGACCGACATTTGACTGGTAGAACCAGCATGTAGCTTTCACTTCCTTGTGAGCTTAGCAGTGGAGTATAGGACGCCGTTTTCATGGTTGCGTCCTTCGAGCATCGCAGACGGTTTTAGACGGGAGCAGAATAGCAGACGGACGCAGGCGATAGTAGATGCCGAGTGCCGCTTTCATGACCACGTCTTAGCATTGTAGACGACAATAGACGGTGGCGAAATAGCAGACAATATCGGAGGCTGCTGCGCGTCTTCTCGCACAACTAGCAGGTGGTGCCGTATGCCAGACTAGACGCACCAGACGTTGCAAAAGGGAGACACTAGGCTTGCGAGCATGTTCGGCTGAGCAACCAAGACAATCCAGTAGTAATGGGCAGGGCCAGTGATCTGTGGGCGGGGCGGAACTTAGAGAGGGTCGTGACCTCCAACTAAATTGCATCTAACAACAAATACCGAGTGGAAAAAAAGTTTGCCATGGAAAAATGAGCAAACAGATATGTGACCCATCCACCTTTTAAAAATATTTATATTTTCAAATTTCAGTGTTTTTTTTAAAAAGAACTGAACTCTCAAAAAATTTCTTTTTAAGTGCCGTAATAAGACATCTATACTCATTCTCACTTCAAAAACCGAAGTAAAATAAGTATGGCTTCTCACGGAGCATCACTAATTTCCCTCTTTATGCTGAGGATTAAGACATGTGTAGGTGCATTTTAGATTAGATGTATGTTACTTTATCAAGACGTACACTTTTCAAATGCCAAAAGCGTCACTTCTGGCTTCGACAACCAAATCTTGTAAGAACTACATTGCGCAGCGTACAAAGAAGGAGCAAAACTTTCTTTTTCTTGAGGTGAAAACTGGTATAATATGTAAAACAAAAAAAAAATCTTTCCCCTAAAAAATAAAAAATACAGTGCAATATTTATGGAAATCGCAAGTTGGGCTAGTTGGTTCAGAGTCATACTCAGGATTTACGCCATAAAACACAGGGCCAATACAAACACTGTATTGTCCCTCAGTTTATGTCTCAGTTTTTATGGCGAAATCCTTGGTAGCAATGCTGATGTTGCGAAACTCATTCGAGCGATTCTTGAACGTGTTCTTACTCGGGGTCAACGTCTCAAAATAGAAGCACACCGTAAATGACTTATTTTTTGCGAGCTCAATATTTCGCGATTTAGGTCAAAGCTGAAGTTTTTGGAATAATTTGCAGGTTCTAATTTTCGCGAAGCGGTGGGATTTCCAAATTCCATCCAAAGTGTTTACAGTTCACCGGAATTGTTCGCGGGACCTATTTTTCGCAAACTGTAGGCAACTCGTGAAATTTAGGTCCCCGCAAAAATGAGGTTGTTTACAATATTTTGGAATCGCTTCTAGCTCAAAATGAGACATACAACATAAATATGGCAATAAATTATGTTTTTTCTTTTAGGCATTTTATTTGCGACTTAAATTGCCACTCCAGGCAGTTAACTCTTTCCCAACCATGGGGAAAATGCCTGTCTTGTGTGGCTTTTAGAGCGCAGCTTTTAGGCGCTTGTTTCCTTGTTGAGCGGCGTCGCCATCAGCGTAACTGCCCCGCTAAATTTAGCGGGAAATTGAATTGGTGTTGAGGTCATGTGATGTCGATTTTACCACTAAATTTAGCAGGAAAATTTAACGGTGGGAGGAGAGGAGGAGGAGGAGGAAAGGAGGACGAGGAGGGGCATACCCTCCCCTCCTTTTCCTCCTCCTCAAGAGCTGCACTCTAGTTTCACATTACAGAGATTTGTAAACATTCTTCAATTTTTTGTTACTTTTTTTCCTGAGGGATCTATAATGTTTACAACATGATGCTATACATATAAATGAAGCTATATAAATGGGCTTTTGAATTATGGAATTGGCGAAGCAGAGATCTAAATTTAATGCCATATTTCAATTGTCAAACACAGCTGCGCTTAGCCCAACATGCCATTGGGCTAAGCGGTAGTTTCTCAATATGGTGAAGCATGGATCAGAACTGATGACAATCTGGCTCCATTATCAGACCTACCACTGCTGTCTGAATAAAAAAAAAATTGAGGGAGGATTTACGAGGATTACCAAATTCGTGGAGGCACGCCGGACCGATGGAAGTGCCCATGGCCGCCCCAAATGACGACATGCCACCAGTTTCACACTCAGCTTCAAGATTGCTACCATATAGAAGGAGGAAGAGAAACACGGAAACCAACACAATAGTTTTCAAACTACCTACGAGATGGTGCAGTGGGTGTGAGAACTCCGTCAGCGTTTTGAAATGGGCCTCCGTACCCGTCAATCATGGGTCGATACCTTACGGGTGCGGTCAGAAAAGAGTTATAAAACAACAGTACAAACGCTATCATCATCATCCCTGTGGGATGATGATGATAGTGTTTGTACTTGACTATATGCGCTACGAGTTTGATAGACCAGTGCGCACATTACATGGGTACAAACACTATCATCATCATTTCACAGAGGTACAATTTTGGTTCTGTCTGCAAATTGAAAAATTTGTATTGTAACATAAATACTGGAAAAAACCTTTTCTTTCTTTTTTTACGAACATTCATTTCGAGCCATGCCTGTCCTAACCAGATAGGAAAAAAATAAACATGTTTCTAGGTTCAGTGTGTTTTTTTAACAGGAACTGACTCTGACAGTGGAGCAAGTTATGCCCACTACACCACGGGCTCGGCACTCACGGGTGTCCGAGTACTCGAGGTGCACGGCGAGTCCCAACAGCCAGTCGAGTACTGCACGCTCGTCCGCAGGGTCGTGGGGGCAGCCAAGGTCCCGCAGGTACTGCAATGGACGGACCACACTCCCTTTGAGCCCACGCTCCCAAAAGCAGAACCAGAATGCGGCTGTACTTCAAAATCCACTTATAACGCGAAAACCCGAAAATTCAATCATTATAACCGATTATCGTTGTATCTGGACTGGAAACTGAGTGTTTCTAGTCTAGAAACTGATCGTTATAAGCAGTGCATCGTTATATGCGGTATTGTTACAAGTGGTATGCACTGTAGTCGCCGACGGGACGAGAACGGCGGGTCGTCTTCTTCGACTGTCCGGCCTCCAGCATTGATTGACCAAACGCCGACGAGAGCGCGCCATACCGCGTGAAAGGCCTGCACCCAACCGGGGTCCTCGATCTGCCTCAGGGTGCCACGCTGTTCGAGTTTGTAGTGGCGGATCTTCTGGTCCTCCAGCCAGGCCACCAAGCTGCGCAGCTGGCCGATGCCTGGAGGAGAAGCACCACTTCAGTTTGTGCCATCGTGGGCAACACATATGCCGTCGTAGAGCCCCCACAATTCGCACCACCGCTGCGATACCCCTAGAGGAGAACTACCAGGTGTTCAGAGCAGAGAAGAAAGCCAGTTTTTTTTTTCCACCGTAAAGGTAAACTGCGTCGCCGACTGCTCACTGCTGCTTCCACCGAAATGCAGCGCTAGTGATCAAGGCCGGGTGTGGAGAGCATGCCGTGATTTGATTAAAAAGTTATAAGCAATTGTCAATGACAGAACGGGGGCCCTATAAGTCCACAAACACAGGGAACAAACAATGTCTGACACTGGGAATAGGCACCAATTTTTCACTGAAAATTTCTGATCTCACACTAGAAAACTCTAGCAATGTGTCATTTTGCTCTCACAGGCTGTTTTAATGAGCAGATAGACAGAAACAGCTTCTGTGCTTTCATTCCGAGAGCCGGAAAAGCTCATGACGACTTCCAGCAATACGACTCCAGAGACGGCACAAAAAGAATTTATTTAGTGCAACCGACACACTTCTATAAAGATAGGCCAGATATGCAAGACATAGCAGAAAGGAAGCTGCCCAAATATCTCTGACGTGCAGTGCACGATGGTTCAATCTCCACCTTTGTCCGTTTCTATTTGGATGAGCATCGTACTGGCGTGCAGTGGTATCACTACTGCGTGGTACACGTTAAAGACCCCAGGATGGCAGTGGTACTTCACTGGCTATAATTTTTATTTACATTTGATATACCAGATGCCCACTGAGACTGCCTAACTTCTGGCATTTCTAAACATACACAACACAGGGACGGAACTAGAGCTAACTAGCAACTCTCAGTTTACTGCACACGAAAAAGATGAGGAGGTCGTGAGTAGTGTAGACATCAGATTACCCCGAGACTGCCGGTAAGCAAAGAATGACATATGGACGAAAGGTCTCACACACAGCTGTGATTGAGACTTCTAGTGCGTTCACCAGCTCGCTAGCGCCCTGTTCTGTGAGTTGTGCCTTTTTTGTGCGCAATAAATCACCAGTCGCTTGTTAGAGCTTGTCCACACCACTTCTTCAACTTGGTCCTCGTTCATAGAGTTGTTTTTGTGTTTTTTGTGTGTTTACCCATTAAGTTTAAGTCTCACTCACTCACTCTCTCTCACTCACACTCACACACACACGCACACGCGCGCGTGCGCACGCACGCACGCACGCACGCACGCACGCACGCACGCACGCACGCACGCATATGAAAAAAAAAAAAAAATAACACATGGCCAGGGAGGGCATGCGAGACCGATTCCTCACTTTGGACGTTGAAGGTGTCTGGGCTGTGGAAGCCAAGTGCGGTCAGTTTGCGCCGGAACATGGTCCTGTGTCGTGCAACGGGGTTCCGAGCGTCGCAGCGGTCAGTCACACTTGTCGCTCAGCGGTACAGAAGCCGCGCCAAACCAACGCCGAACCCGGCGCCCACGCGAAATGACAGCGAGTGCACCTCGCCAAACACCAAGCTCGGCGTCGGTCAAGGTACAGTGCCTCGAAGCCCAACAGTGAGCCGTCAAGTTACGATGGCGAGCAGAGATCAGTGTGGAGGCGAAAACCTACGATAAACAACGCAATATCGCTTGTAAGGCTGTGAAGGTTCGGTGAAATCAGATTCCACTGTATCGTCCACGAGTTCGAGTCTCCTAGTTGGGAACACAGGTTGGGGATGTTGATCTCTTGTGGATTGGATCAGATTGGATTGGATTAGGCTCGTGAACATCGAACCTCTTCCACACCTCCGCTACAAAGGCTAGATATTCAAAAGGTTATTTATCCAAAATGTTTAAATAACATTGTTTTAGGTTTAAGTACTAAAGTAAGTTTCTATATTATTATAACGCTTCTATTTTATGTTTTAATTACTGGTAACTAGCACGTTGGCATGGATTGAAGACTGGCTAGACGGCTAGACTCTTGACTTGGCTTGCGGCCCTTCCTCGTTTCGAATCTGTTACGTTTTGCGCGGGTTTATGATTCGTATGTCGTAATGCCCAGTTCCAAATCTGTTGCAATGAAAAACTACGCTTAAAAAAAGGCTACATAGCCTGTCGTTTCTTTTTAATTATCCTTGGAATCACTGTTGTTGCGAAAGGCGTAGCGGCACGGCAGAAAACCGAGGTAAGTCGTCGAGACCGTCCTCGTGTTAATCGGCCCTCGCAGTGGTTGCAGTGGAGCAAAGCTGCGCTACAATCAACTAGCGAAGTATCTTGGCCAAACGGGCTTTGACTTTTAATATATGTGACCCGTGGCCTCCCAAGTTCTGAATTTGTGGGCAAAATGTTAACAAACCGGCGAGCTGCCGTCTCTGGTTTCTAGCATGTGTGACATGTCATTGGGTGCTTTCAATGTTCGCAAGAAACCACAGTCCAGCGTATACTTTCTTGCTAGCACTTGTGAGTCCGGAACGTACAGCTTGAAGCCCACGGCCGCCGAGTATCAATAGGTCTATCGTGTAAAAGGTGCCTCAAAAATGTACCTTTCTTGCACCAAAACGTCATTGTGCCACTTATTTAAAGAGACGGTTTCAGTTTCTTGTTTTACCTACCGAAAGAGACAGTTATGGTTGATTGCGCCAAAATGTACTTAAGATAGCTGCAGTTACCCATGCCGAAATACAAAATATGCAGGTGCAAACGGCTGGTGGATATATACATACCTTTTTGCATGTGTTATTCTTCTATATACAAGGTTTCTGTGAGCAATATTTGGTCATAAAAAGGGCCATATGAATAACCCAATGAATGGAGTGCGGTAAAACCTTGTGCATGCCTCGGGTTTCCTTGTTGTCAGTTCCCCATAGTTTGGTATTCTACAATCCTGTGCAGTATACAGATCATACTCGCAAAGTTGCCATTCTCGTCTTTTTGTGGGGCGCATACCCATGCCGAGCATTAGTGCACAGCGAACGACAGCAGCAGTCGAAGTGCAGAATACGCCCTTACGGAGAGTCTGCTCCTATTGAGCAATTATTGAGGTGCTAGACCATAGGCTGAAATGATAGTTTTGATTGGCCGTATATGCTGTGTAAAATTTCCATCTTTTACGGTGTTTGGCTTTACTACCATTATACGACATGTCTGAATATAGTACCTACCATGTGCTGGTCGCTTTGGAAAGGAGTCTATGTTGTTTTTTTTTTACTTTAGGCATGAACATTATTAGGAGACTGAGTTTGCACAGGGGGTCATTTACGTCCATTATGCCATAGTTTCTCTGCTTCTATATCTTTCCATGTTTGTTGGTAGCTGCTGTTCAGAAGAGTCTCTCATTTGATAAGAGTGTTTGTTTTGCAGTTGTCAACTAGCCATTTTGACGTATGATCTAAACTCTTACCCTTAAGGGCACTCAGATGTATTTTTAGTTTGTCTTTTATGGTGCAAACCCAGTCAGTGCTCTTTCGGCATCGTAGAAAACCCACGGTAACAATCATGCATGGCCACTTTATCTATTAAAACTGGGACCAAACGTTGTGACCGTGCCCTTTTGTCTCAGAGATATCTAAAAAAGAGGGGATGTTACAATTTTTAGTCACTCTTTAAAGAAAGAAAAAAGGCCATGCTTCATTGTAATTTTGGGTTTCCTAGGATGCTTAGCGACACTGACAGGGTATTTATGCTTGCCGAGGCTTTCATTTTTATATGACCTATACGAGCCTAACTACTTGGAACACAATTTGCAGCTCGAAATTTATTTTCTTTTTGCCCAAAAACTGCCGGTCGAGAATTGGCCGGTTTCAGTCGCGCTCACTCTTTTATCCATGGTAAAGTGGTGTTCAAACTACATGTACCAAATATATTCAAAGTCACGGGTCATCGAAGGCACACGTTCAATATTAAAAATAGAAAAGAATATGAAACCCATTTTTATGGCGTCAAAAAAGCTGCAAATGCATTGATAAAAAAAAAAAAAATGTTGCACAGATCACAGGAAGTATGTGTACAACGTCGTTCTTAATATGGCGACGTAGCGTGGGCTGGATGACGCAATGGCGGTGCACAACGGATCAATGTTGCGACGGATGTGGGACCGTTACTTTGGAACTGTCATTCTTGTTACTGGCCAATCAATCTTCATGCACAGTACATCGAGCGGAAGGGATATAAGTGTGAAACAATTGCACGACAGGCGGTACATGCAACTTCGTCGTTGTCGTCGTCTGCTTCTCACGCCGGAGGAGCGGAGGGAAAACAAAACTCGGTCAGGTGTAGCCACTTGACTTGCAGGCATGAGCTTCTGTGCTCATGTTTCGGTTTCAAGCATTTGGGCTTTTTTTGGCTTTATTAAAGATATATATGACTCTGTAGCAAAATATTGATAGGGTTGTCTCCTGACACCATATAATCACCTGGCAAAATATAAAAAATAAATAAGTAAATAAAAAAAAAATCATTTGGGTGGTGTCAATGTCCCTTTAAAGGGGTAGAGAAACGAAATTTCGGCGCTCATTTTCTAGCTTTAATGTGTTGCATGTTGCACCCTAACCTCAAAAACACCAGCCTTCCGTTGAAAAGCACAAGAAAACTAATTTTAAAGTAAATAAACAATCTTTCAATGTGCACCTGGTGGATGCATGCGGAGCCTATTTGGGAGGTAGTCTAGCAACGTTGTGGAATCTGCTACGTAGTCGTGACGTAGCAGATTCCTTCGGAGCAGCGCCGCTCTTTGGCATTTCAACGTTTTCCTTCTTAGCTTTCCTCCTGAACTCACAAATCGTGCATTGTACCAAACGGTCCAAGAAGACGGAAAGGAAGGACTTCCTTCTTTCTCGGACCCTCGTTCGTGCAACCGGAAACAGCCATTCTCCCCCTAGAAGATTAGCCCGTCGCTCAAAACTTGAACAAAAGTTGCTTTCCCCACCCCGTTCAGCCCCAAGCTGACAGTGTTGTGGAAGCTACGTGCTCCTTGGGCCAGCCACACGCTCGTCACCCCACGGGTACCCCGAACGGTTCGGTTGTAACGCGCTGACGCTACTGACAGCACCACAACGCTGACAACGCCACTAAGGGCAAAGCTGATAATCACGCCAGCCTTGCTACGTCACGAATGCGGGGAATCTTTTCTTTCTGTTTTTGTTTGCGCCGGATATCCCATGACGCATCACGCTCTCCGTTCGCTTCTCTTCGAGCGCTTGCTCGAGTGCACCGCTTGGAACGAAAAATATAGCCAGTCGTTCAAAATACAAACGTGCGATTATCATTTACGGTTATTATCCGTCATGCTTGACTCATCTCCGAACAAAATCGGAATATTTCAATTTTTGTTTCCGTACCCCTTTAAGGCAAATAGAGAGTGTTTGCACCATAAAGAAGCTAACTCGAAGTTTACTCTAGTGCCTCTAATTAAAAAAAAAAAGCAGCCTGGTCAGCATTGCATCAGTTGGCAGTGTGCAAATATGAATCAGTAAAATAAGCACCTTAAATTATTTTTGCTCAAAATTTATTAATCAAAAGTTGTGCACATCTATATATATATATTTAATATTGTCCCCATTCTGTTAAATGCATACGGTATCTTCCATTGCTCAATAAGTGTGTTAATTTCTGTAAAAATATCTTTTGGTAGCATGCAAAGCTATTTATGCATTGCATTTTGCACCTCCTCATCGTATTGAAAATGCTTTTCTCCGATTGTCTACTTGAGTGGCACAAACTTGTGATCACCAGGGGCGGTAACCATGACTGACGTTGACTAGTGGGGCTATTTCATTCATTCTCACTCGTCGATTTTACAGCGGAGCTGTTAAGGGCTAGTTCCCCAGTTTCGTGTCCGTGGACAAATAAATCTCGACACAAAACTCTGGACAGCTGCCGCCATCTATGAGCGACGGCAGCAACTAGACAACCGGCTTGCCAGTTGTCTGATTGCCGCCGTCGCGGTAACCAATTGCCGTTGTCGCGTCAACCTTTCCAGGCCTTCCCACTCTGGTTTTCACCAAAGTGTAAAGGCTGAATTTCTCTAGGCATTGTCCTAGAAGTCGCCCTTGAGATCGTCCTAGACGTCGTCCGAGAGGTTGTCCTCAAGGTCGTCCTAGAAGTCATCCTTGAGCTTGTCCTAGACATCATCCTTGAGGTCGTCCTAGATGTTGTCCTCGAGGTCTTCCTAGAAGTCTTCCTTGAGGTCATCCTAGGTGTCGTCCTTGAGGTTCTAGGCGTCGTGCTTGAGGTCATCCTTGAGGTCATCCTAAACGTCGTCCCTGAGGTTGTCCTAGGCGTCGTCCTTGAGGTCGTCCTAGACGTCTCTGAGGTCGTCCTAGGCGTCGTCCTCGAGGTCATCCTTGAGGTCCTCCTAAACGTCGTCCCTAAAGTTGTCCTAGGCGTCGTACTTGAGGTTGTCCTAGACGTCGTCTTCGAGGCCATCCGAGGCGGCGTCCTCTAGGCGGCGTTCTTGAGGTCGTTCTAGACGTCGTCCTTGAGGTAGAGTCAGACATCGTCCTCTAGGTGTCGTCCTTGAGGTTGTCCCACTATAGTACAGCTTCGCTGGTCTTCCTTCTTCACCAGAGTGAAAAGGCTGAAAGTGTTTCATTACGATGCCTTCAACAGCTGCGATGGACTCTGTTATCTTCACTCAACGTGCCTAAGCAGTCGAGGAGAGTCTATCACAGAACTCTAGCCATTGTGGAACCTTATAGTTCATTCATACAGTTGCTGGAGTGACAAAAAACCATCACCATGCTACAACTTCGTTCGATGATAAATTTTAATATTTTTCACTCCTCCACTACCGAAGAAACAGATAAGGGGAATGCTGCTCCTCTTTGGCGCATGACTCGAGTGGGGTAGCCATCTCTACGCTGCTGCTGTAACAAATTGCTGGCCGTCTATACTTTCGGTTGTTCGTTTTCGGGTAAAACCCAATATTACCTGATTTTTACACCCTGAACATGTTTCAGGAGAATCGGGTTAAACCCGATTTCTCCCCGAATTCCAAAACCACATAACCAACCTATTTATTTTCACGCCGCACAGAGTTTGCGGTGCACACGTGCTAGCTACCCTACCTCGGGACAACAGTGACCTATAGTTCATTTCGCAAGCTGCGTGTAGCACTGTGGATGCTACATGACTCTCAACCAACCGCCCAATGAGCTTGCCTAACTCGCTGTCACATTCTATGGAGGCCGGCTGAGGAAAAGCGACAATAGGCGATGGGTCCTCGGAGGGACATTTCCGTCCACCCGGTGTGCAGGTGAAACCGCCTCGGCACGCCATGTAGCTTCAGCCCTGCTGCACGCAGCTTGTAAAATGCACTATCAATCCCCCTTCGACCGCTGATGCCTAGCAGGACCTTTCGGGTAGCATGGCCATCTCGCTGGTGTCCAACCTTTCTCACGAACAACGTCCGATCCAGTTGGTCCCGTAAACAGATCGGGAAAACTTAACAGGTTTATTCCATAGCGAAATATCTGATCGAAGACGACTGTCCCTCGTACGGTCGGGGTTTTTGTTGACGCCTGAGGGAAAGGAGGATTTCATGGGTGGTGCTTCCGTTGAAGCGACCGACGGCAATCGGAGCTGGAAAACCCTGATGTCCCCCCGATTACCAGCTTGAAACAGACCCCTAATTTTAACGTGTTACCATTAAAAAACTCGTAAAATGCTCCTCAAAAAAAAAAAAAAAAAAAAGAGTGTAATTGTGATTACATTTGTAAATTTAACCCGAAAAAACCCGAATTTCGGAATGTGTCCCCCAAAAAACCCGATTTCTCCCTGATCGTCAGCATGAAAATTAGCACCCGATTGTTACCCCCCGAATTTAAAAAAATATAAAACCCAAAAACGAACAACCCTATCTATACTGTCCTGCCACCTGTTGCACTCTTTTAGTTATTGGTAAGAAGGTTGCCAGATTACAGTACAAATACACCATCTGCCCGACTCAGTAATTCCCAAACTATCGCTCGCTTATTGCGTAGCACTAATGCACTTTACCACTCCTTTTTTTCTCGGATGATTGTGAACTGGAATAACCTGCCCCCCTCCATCATATCACCCAAAAACCTTGATGCTTTATGCACAGAACTAGCAGCCTATCTTTTTTTTTAGATCACAAGGTGAAATTGCAGTAATGCATTTATTCTTTTCTAATGTTTTCCTCATTACTGTTTTTTCTGAGTGTCGTATGTAGATTCGCTATGCAGTTATATTCACTTGAACAGTCTTGATTGTAATACCATCATGCAGCCCCCCCCCCCCCCCCCCCTCTTATGTGGTGCCCCCAGAGAATCTGAAAATTTTAGCGACTATTTTACTGTATAAATGTAAACCATGTTCTGGCCACACCACAGGTACACCAATTTTTTGCTCGAAAGGCACCGAAACATTATTTGAAATGGACAAACCAGATGTCGTTACATCAGACTACCCATAAAAGCAGCGCTGCTCCACGGAAGTATGTCACCTCTTCGACTCCTGCGGGAACAGGCATTCCGAATAGCCTGGTGGTAATACGTTGACACCGCCAGGTGGCGAAGCTTACGACCACAGAGGCACCGTATCTCCCGAGATGCGTCGCACTTTCCGATGGGTGTACACTGTACAGTCAAACCGATTTGTAACAAACAGCAGGAAACGCTACGATCAGTTCCATGTAGCAAGTAGTTTGATATAGCAAAAACCATTTACAACGAACTTCCACGATGTGTTCGTTGCAAGACAAGAGCTTGTCTTTCTTTCTCATCTCTTCGCTTCCGCCTTGCAACAAGACGCTAAAAAGCCTTTTTTTTGTTTTTTTTTGTTCATGTGTGCAGCAGAGTGTCTTCTTTTAGCTTATCTCCCCTACTGAATCGCTTCTCCTCGTGGGTAACTACTTTGGGATGAAAAGTTTTGTTTTTCCTGTGCGTGCGTGAGTGTTTTTTTAGCTTTCTCCCCTTCTGAATCGCTTCTTTTCACTCAATTTTGTTCACGGCTAGAGCTTTCGAAATTTTCTTTCTTTCCTACTTTCTTTTGGGGGGGGGGGGGGGGGGGGGGGGGGAGGGGGGAGGGGGGAGGGGGGAGGGGGGAGGGGGAGCGAGAGCGAGCGAGCGAGCGGAAGGCTAGAAGACGATTGTATGTGCGTTTTTGAAAGCCTTCCCGGGTGAAAAAGTTTGATATAGCCAATATGTTGTTCGTTACAAAAAGTACTTTTAGGGGCAAAGCTCCTTAGGGTCTAGCCTTGTCCATCCGTCCGGCGTCCGTGCTCACATCGATTGCGCTGCCTCTGGGATCGGCCCACTTAAAAAAAAAAAACGCACGCCTGCACGGGGGTTTGAGCTCAGGACCGCTTGCTTACGAGGCAGGCGTCTTAACCACTACGCTTCACTCCAACGTTGCATGTAGCCGCTCAACTTCTATACAGGAGAGGGCGCTGCGGTCAAATGCGTATATAATCGCGTTAAACTTTGCATGCATTGGCTCAACGTTTATAGACGAGAGGGCGCTGCGGTCAAATGCTCAACTGCGTATAGAACCACGATCCATACCACATATTCTCTTCCTGACATGGACTGTTGACTTAAGCAGTGGAGATGCGTTCCCACGGCTTATAGCGAGTCCAAATTGATCCGCTAAAAGAACCACTGGCTCTGCATTTCACCGACCATAAAGCAGTAATAATCATGTTGAAATGCAACCTGGAACTTGGCACTACCTGTGAGCTATAAAAAAAAATCAGCACCATTAGCACTACCTATGAACAATAAAATGAGTATCATCAGCACCATTAGAGCTTTGCCCCAATCAACATCATTCACCATGTGGAGATGCGGCCTCTTTTTACATGCGTTTTCGTTCAAATTTTGTGTGTGTTCGATATCAAGAATAATTCACTGTACATGGTAAAACATATAAAATAGCGCAACAGAAAGACAAGGACAAGAAGTATACAGGACAGGATAGCGCTTGTCCTGTATACTTCTTGTCATTGTCTTTCTGTTGCGCTATTGTATATGTTTTACTAAGATGAACCAACTAGCCCAACAACGTACCCTACTAAACTGTACATGGGTTTGTTCTAAACGGGTTTCACTGTACTTAGAGGGCTTACTGGAATCAGTCGTTTGGAACAAAAAATATAGCCATCTATTTTAAATACAAGCGTGCGATTTTTTCGGCAGATAGTGTTGATCATGTTTGACTCATTTCTGAATGTGAGAGCTATATTTAAATTTTCATTTCCGTATCCTTTTAGGGAATGTGAATAAATGAGTAAATAAATATTTCGAATTGTTATTGCAACTTTAAGGTTTTCACTCGAATCACCCTCGTAGAAGTGCCACCCTGCTGTTCACAGCTGCTCCTCCACAGTTGTCCGACCTCTTTCTCAGGCGATGACGCGCAGGATAGCACACAGCCTGGATGCGGTGTGGCGCTCCGAGGACGTCGACCACGGGGATGACGTGACCTTTGACCAGTTCATGCTGTCGGAGCGCGTTCTGACGGGCCTGCGCAAATCCGGTTTTGTCAAGCCTTCACCAATCCAAGTCCAAGCCATACCCCTGGGACTTTGCGGTTTTGGTATGGCAACTTGCCCTTTCACTTTTCGAGACCCTTTTCTTGAGCATTCATCTTGATTTGCACTCATCTGACTGGCACACTTCGGATACTTTGTTGAAAAAAATGTTAAGTAGTGGGCCCTGGGTATAAAATATGAGCTCTGCAGGCTTGTTTCAATATTTCTAATTTATGCGAGCATCAAGGTGTCTATTAAAGTTAGTGGGTGCCAGACTAGCAGATATATATGATGGTATTTCAGAAAGAATTGCTGTCCGTTTCGGATTCAGATTGTGCTGCTTGGCGACCTGGTGGTGGCTGTAGCGTAATGTTCCATTAGTCATTCAATGGAGACTTGGCGAAAGGTTTTGTGACAGGTATTGAAAGTGAAGTACTTAAATTTGATCTATCCAATAATTCATAGCTCTTTTTTCAGCATACAATCTTCTTCAAACAACTTTTTAATAAAATTGCACAATAAATTCTACTAATGACCACTTTTGGAGATAGGCTTTTAACCTTTGTTCAAAGCTGTCCTCTATATAGCTCCTTTATTTTCCTCGGGAAAGCACTTCAGGGAAGTGGGCTACTGTTGGGCAAGGAGTGAATTATTCAGTATTTATTTCATTATGGGACCTTACCTTGGAATATCTAGGACTAGGGGATTACGTGGTGCAAAAATATAGGTTAATTGGGATCTTTCAGTTAGTAAGTTAAAGAAACATTGATTTTGAATGGCTTTTCTCATAATTATAGTTATAATTTAAAAAAATATTATTCCGTGCCATTTGTTTCTTTCTTTTGCCTTCTGTTTTGTCTCTGATAACTACCTTCACGTCTTCCTTCACTTTCTTGTGATTGCATTAAAATGCCAATTGCAAATATAGCACTTGTCCCGTCTTCGTTTTCTTTGTGCCTTTTATTGTTTAAGGTGTGAACTGGCAAGGCCTCATTTCATACTTAGTGTACAACACTTTCAAACCCACCAGTGCGAGCACGTGGCTTTTTCTAGCTTTTTATATTTGCATTTTTTGCTTCGATCGAGTAGTGTGGTAACGGATTGCAAACAATGACAAATATACACCGACAAATGGTGACAAATGTTGAAAGTATATACCAGAGCGTGTGCAAATCAACATGCATGCAGCTTTGGCGGCATTGTGCACCGAGTAGAGAACGAGGCGTGGGTGCCCAATTAAAAGGGTTCAGTCAGATGCATCAGCTTATCTACCTATTTATGGGCCCATCAGTATCACAATAGGCTGGGGAGCTAACATTGTATTCAATCGGATCTTGTCAAAAGGAAGTGATTGGGCCACGTGCAAAGTGTCTTTATGAGCATTTTCCTCCACTTTCCCGCTTTCTAGACCTGGTGGTGCAGGCGAAATCGGGCACTGGGAAGACCTGTGTGTTTGCAGTTCTTGCCCTGGAAGCTGTGGACGTGGGAACACACGCCGTGCAGGTCAGTGGGTGGTTGGAGCTGCTTGCTGGCTCCTGTTCTAACTTGTCCAGAAGCACCCGACGTTTAACGTTTGTGGATATATCGGCAGGTTAGAAAGTTCCCAAAGTTTTTCATTCGCTTATTTGAATGAAGAAATGTCATTACGAGTTAAAGGGTATCGTTGGTGTGCATCCCCTCATCACAGATGAGCAAAACACTCCACTTGGTTTGCACGGGATTTACGAGAGGAGTTTTCGTGTGCCATCCTATGTATAGGTCAGCTTCACAAATGTGGGATGATAGTTGGGACCTTCAGATGGTTTTTCATCTTGAAACTCACCCAAATTAACAGATTCACTGCGTCGTGGGTCACCGGTGAGTCAGATTGTATACGTCAGCTCTGCAGCCCCGAATATTCAGTCCTTTTGCATAGTGCAGGAGCGATATCTTCGAGAAAAATTCATGCGGGGAAAAACTTCATTTTGCATCTGATTCCTTTAGCCATCAACAATTTCTCCACTTCCAGTACAGCAGATGCTGTAACCGTAGAGAATTCGTCCTGTTTGGACAGCTTTCAAGCCAGCACCCGATTCAGCAGGTTAAATGGGAATAGCACCAATAGCCACTGCAACCTCATCCTCTGCATTTTTTCTTTTGTAATAATCGAGAGATTTAATAGAAATATTCTAGAAAAGCCTGGAGAAATCAGGGAATTTGAGTGAAGCAATTTAGTAGAAACGCTGATGAGACACAAAGCATTCTACAGTTTGTTGAAACTTAACAACAGCTATCGCCTACATTGACGACGGGCTACACATCTCAGTTTGGGAGGTGCCATTTCAAAATTTGTGCACTTAAAGGGACATACAAAAAATGCACAAACGTTTTTTATCTGCTTTGAAAAAAATTGAAAGAATAAAAACATAAATGATGTACGTGGGCGACCACACATTTGAAAGAGTGTGGTCGTCCGTGTACGCCTTTTATGCTTCTATTATTTTGTTTTGAAGTATTCATTATAACAACGCACTCGAATTAACTAGCGCTTGATGTTTGTGCATTTTTCAAGTTTTTAGCAGTTTGTGTCAGTAAGATGAGCAATGTCTTCAGCCAGGAGAAAGGGCAAGCAGTCGGCGACGTCTTCGTGCGAATCAGCTTGGTGGTCGGGGTGTGTTGTGCAAAATAAATCCTAATTTCGATTGGTAAAAAATTTCTTTCGAAGCTGGACATCGCCAGTGCCATGAACTGAAGTAGAGGTCCCATGCTCATCGTCTGCCTCGATCGCTTAGTCTGATTTGTCCAGCCCATGACTCCAGGGATACGATGCTATGTTCACAATTTCACAATGTATGTTCATTTTGTACCCAGTGCAAATTCTTGAAAATTTTTTTATTCCACATATTTTCCATGTTGAATAAACCTGAGACTGGGGCAGAAATTAACATACAAGTCTAAGGAACAGAAAAAGACGACGTCTCAAGTTCAGCTATTAGGTTTATTTAGTCCGCCTCCTTATATAGCCCACAATCAGCCATCACCAACACAAAGGGACAACCTCAAAACAGTCTACATGCCAAACCCTCCAATACACAAAGTAGCGCTATGGACGGCCTTCATGCTGATTCACAAAGATAACTCTACAATCTCCCCCAAAATTCAACAAAAGGATCAGTACCTTATCTATTCTAACAAAGGTTTACAAAAAAAAAAAAAATGCCCTCTCCACAATAAAAATCAAAAAATCTTTATGCCAGCGATGAAGGGAGGACACACTCTAAACCTGACACACATCCCGATTACAAAAACGTTCAGCTTTTCCACTCTCGTGAAGAAGAAAGACGAGCGGAGCTGTACTCGATACACTGTGTGCTTCTTCTTTGTCGTCGTCTGTTTTTCGCGCTGTTTCCTACGATGAATTCCCACCAACGCGCCCAACTATCCATTATTCTATGGTAGCTGGAAAGGTTGCCGCCATGTACGAGCGACGGCGGAAACCATACTGGTTGTGTGCTTGCCACCGTCGCTTATAGATGGAGCTAGCTGTCCAGGTAGGTTTGTGTCGACATACACGGACACAATCCTGGGGAACCTAGCCCTTAACAGCTTCGCTGTAAAAAAAAAAAAAATATATATATATATATATTTTTAAAAAGCTTTTGGAATTTTTGTCGACCTGTAAAGAAGGCTCACTTATGCAGCTACCTAGAGATTTTATCCGCACCGTCTCCCTTACTAGTCTTTTTGCATCATTTCTCTCCTTGTGAATGATTTCTGTCTCCGACCAAATCGCAGTGCAGTTTTTACATTCGTCGACATGTTTTGCGATTTCTGAGTTTGGTGCAACTTTTTAGAAGCCACAAAAAATTGGTTTCATATTCTTTTTCCATTTTTAATGAGTGTGCGCCTTCGATGACCCACAGCTTTGATTATATTTGGTGGATGAGTCTGAACGGCCCGTGACCACAGAGAAGAGAGTGAGCACAGCTCAAACCGGCCAGTTCTCAATCCAATATTTTTGGGAGAAAAAAAAAAAAAAAACAAATTTTGAGCTGCAAATTGTGTTTTGAATAACTGGGCTCTAATATGTTATGTACAGATAAAATCATTGGCGAGCACAAGTGCCATTTCAATGTCTGTTAAAAAATTGATATAGAAAGATCATATTGCGTACTCTGTCCGATGAATTCCGTGCTGTATTCTGGAATGCACAGACGTGTTCACCTTAGCTTTAGACAGTGACTTCCTTGCTTTGGGGCTTTTACAAATGAAGCGCTTTGCAGTATTACGCATTTATCTCTTGTATTAGAGTTAGCGCATAATTTGTGAGAGGTGTTTATGTATTTACTTATGGCGAATTCGGGTGGTTGCCTCTCTCCTCTGACCTTGATTGAACAGAGCTCTTCCTCCTGGTCGGCAGAGTTATTCGGGATCCTTTTCAGCTGATCTGAACTGCTGGGCTTAGTGCGCTCTGACATTCTGGGACCAGTCGTGAAAGTAGAATTTCTCGACATTTTGGTGATAGCTAAAAAAGATTTCTACAGTGTACATGATGTACACTCACGTACAGTCGCAACGTGATGAAATGACCACTCTGACAGACTAATGTTCTACGGAGCGGCGCGTTAAAAAAAAAAGAAGAAAATCGGCATCATATGCATTGATTTTTGCTGAACGGAAGAAACACCAACGTTCTGAAATAGTTGTCAAGCCACTGCATTTTTGACAGTGAACGCGATGTGATAGCAGTCATACAAAAGGCTGAACGGGCAAACATCAAATGTTGTAAACCGCATTTTTCTCACAGAGGAACGTGGTGCAAGCATTGCCCCCGGGACATAACATGTATTGCCATGTCGCAGTGAATTATAGTTGACTCTTTCTTTATTTTACAACACAAACCTTCAAATGCACCTTTATCACCCCCGACAATTCCACGTAGCGTCCACAAAACTCGGTAAAGCGGCTGCGAGCCGTTTCTTCATCGATTTGCCTTAGCGGGTTCATCATCATGAGACGAACAATCTCCTAAAAGCACTGGCATGCTGAGTTTTCCTCTCACTTTCGCGAGCAAATGTCATCTTGTTCGTTGTAATCCTTGCATCGTTGAACGCACAAGCACTTCGTAGAACTAGGTTTCCATCGCCGTCATGCCACACCCCGCACACCACTGCCGTCGCCGTCGTCAGCAAAACTATGCGACCGCCGTCCACGTATCACGTGACACCTGTGCCACTCCGCACGGCTAGAGACAGAGTGCTAGGGAGCGCTCCGAGAGGAAGGGGTGCCCTTGGAAAGAACCGGCAGTTCCTGTCGCCGCACTCCCTTTTGACCACCCCATCTCTCGCGCTCTGAAGGGAGCGCACAGAAAGCACCGCGCGAGTTCGTCGTTAGTATTTGGTTACCCTCAAGGTTTTACTGCATTACAGAGGGGAGCGGTTGCGGAGGAGCTAAACACAAACTAAATGTGCAGTTATAATAAGGAACAGCGTTTTAAATTAAATTTAAAGGTAGATGAGTCACGAATGGTGGCAATTTGGTAGGGGAGATAGTAACTGTATTTTTGGCGAATTTGAGGGATAAAAGGGAGGTTGAAAAATGCATTCATATTACACAATGAGACGTCAACCTCGTTTCGGTGATGTAAGCTACTACAAACAGGTGCTGATCCTGGCCCCGACACGGGAGATAGCGGTGCAAACGTGCGACACCGTCCGCTGCCTGGGCTGCGAGCTGCCCGGCCTTCACTGCTATGCCTTCATCGGCGGGGTGCCCCTGCCGCAAGACCTGCAGAAGCTCGCCTCCTGCCACATCGCCGTGGCCACCATGGGTCAGCCTTTTCTCTTGGTCTGGCCTAGAGCCGCTCGATGAGCTACATTTAAGGTGTCGATGCTCCATTAGCCGATCGTCTGTTGGACGCAGCCGTTTTATTGCCTGGCGCGTCCAGACACCGGCCGGCGCTCCCTCGCCTCTCATCACTACGCGTGCGTCGTCTGTGAAGTGGCGACGTAAATTTCCCAGAACAGATTTCTTTTTTTTATTTCTTTTCGAAGATTGTACTTGAAGTTTATTTTTTTACTTTTTCACCGTAAACTTCTACCATCAGCTCGCACCCATGTAGTAAATCGCAGTGCAATATGTTGAGAAATGTGATTTTTGCAGGCCGTCTAAAGTGCTTTAAAAGTGTTTGTTTACATACTGTGCAACGTATCTCTTAAATATATCGTAAAAACAAGCATCATCAGCAACAGTAATGACTTCTTGTGGCGGTACATTCCAATCCTAGATAATTAAAAAAAGAAAAAAAAAAAGTTGATTAGCATTATTGTAACAGTGATAGTAAGGTGATGCGACCTGCTGAGTGTGAGATACAGAGCCGGGAAGGTGTCATCATATTGCTTTGTCACGGACTCTTTTAACATCTGTGGAGGATGGATATATGTTTCCCACAATTTCATATCAAGCTTCAGATAACTTGCAACAAGGATTATGAAGTGTCGTTACTTCGAAGTGCGGCTTATTCAGTGGCTCTAGTTTGGCTCTCGTGCGTGCCGGGGACTGCTCTGGGGGACCCGGAGGCACGTGTGGCGGGAAGAGGCATGGGAGTCGGGGAGTGGGGTAAAGATGGGAGCGGAGCCTGGAAAATCGTAAGCACCGACATCGGGGATTCCGAGAGGAAGGACGAGAAAGAGAGTGCCGGAAAAGCGGAGAAACAAATCGTACTTCAGGCACAATTGTTTTGCCATGACACATTAGAGTTGTGCAACTGCTTGTCACATTTTTGTTTAAACGTGCCATAACAATTGGTGCTTGCTCTCGAGATGAAAAAACGGAACGACTCAGTATCAACTTTGCCAGTGGTAATTTACTGCTTCTGTGTGCTTATATACATGGCTCGCACCGACGTCACATTATTTGCTATTGTGGTGACCTTGCTGCTTAATGCGTGTACTGGCAGGTACCTTTTGGAGCATATGTTTCTTGTTTTTTTTTGTTTCTTGTTTTGTTGGATAGAACAAATATAGAAATAGTCACCAGCATTGTGCGATGATGTCACATGTAAAACATGTATTAAAGCCTCAGCTGCAGCCTGGGCCCACTGGTGTCTGCCTCAATGCTCCATTGTTTTGAGATGGCTTCAAATCAACAAGGTAGAGGGACTTAAGCGATAGAGTGGCAGCTGAAAGTGACCCCCACCTGGCTGATGCCGTGCTGCACATTTTTGACCAGTAGACATGTCACTTAATAGTTTTACGTCTAGACTCTAAAAAAGTACCGTGCACAGATAATTGCTTATTGATCTTTAATAACAGTACCGACGAGATATCTTATGTTTCGTTTGTTTTTTAAGTCCAAAATGGGGGGGGGGGGGTGCTTTTATGACAAAAACCTGGGCAGCTGTGCAATGGCTCCGCTAGACGCCGTCAGCCGCAGTGCTGTATTTTGGGTTTTTATCGGAGCTAGATACTGATCTCTGGGGCTAACTGACTGTATTGAAAAATAGTCTATCATGTTTTTTACAGCGATTGCAATACAAATCTCAGCTCAGTTTTGCATAAAGGCTTCAGGATTTGGTACGGTCACGTGTCCAGTGGTCAAAATTGTATAACATGGTGGCAGCCGGGTGGGGGGGAGTGGTCACTTTTGCCTGGTGAATGGGATTGCTTCAAATGCAGAGAGAGATGGCAGAACTTGGCCTTTTAGGGTGTTTGATTTTAATTCAATCAGATTTAATAAAAAAAAAGCAGTGAAAGATAGGTACACTGGTGCAGTCTGTGCAGGGGAGTTATACAAACAGGACCCACATAGTAACAGTAGGCTAATTGTTGCGTTAAGATGGATAATAACTGGAATTTGTTGATTCACCTTTTGATTAGTGAAAATAAACATGGTTCTAATTAGAAACTTGCTGAGCATCTTTAAAAACCACTAAATTGGTAAATTTGAGGAGGACTCGAAGCAAGTGGGAAGCACGGTGGTGTACTAAGGTTAAAAATGAGTAAGAAGGGATGAGAAAGTCATCCTTTGTTTACTCAGTTGTAACAAGGTCATCCGTGATGGCACAGCATTTTCAAGAATGGCAAACTTAATCAAGTTGTAAAGCAGCATTGTTCAACTATGCAATCTGCATGAAGTTAGTGAACAGCTAAGCTGTACCTTATGTCCCAAGGACACAAGTATTGAAAGCATAGCTTTTCAAAAGGCTTTGTTTGCATGAGCATTCACTCGAGCAAACCACTATCTAAGACCACATGTTCGTTATATTGTCATTGACAAGGCGAGAACAGCAGGGAGGAGCGTCGGTTGCCCCGCCTTCACTGCAAGCTTCCTACTTTCAACGGCGCTTCCACGTCTCATACACCTCGAGCGCGGGCGCGAAGCCCCACAAGGTGGAAGCTGGAGTCCGGGCGTTCGAAGATCATGCCCTGTCATTCTGATTTTGTCAGTGACCACGGTGTCTTCTACAGTGACGCTCAGAACTTAGGCGGAGTATAGTCGCCGATTTCGTGGCCTGTCTCGCATTTCGTGGCATCAGTCAAGTTTCTCACTCGAACCTGTCGGCCATCACAGACTTTGCCTGTACCACATTTTGAAGCGGGTTGCAAAGCGAGCTGCCATCACTTGTGCTACCCTTCACAACTATCGTAGAAGAGTCGGTTGTTGCTCTGGCTGTGCCAGTTGTATTTCTGAAATGAGAAAAGGCCTTGAGAGCATGCGAGTGTGCACATCACACTTTCCGGTGGACAGACGGTGACGGCGGTAGTCAAAACAACGTCGCTCGGCTTAGTTTGTGCACGAAGGCAGATCTTATTGTTCTGTAGCTTGAAGCCGAACAGGCATGCGGGGCAAACGTGAAGACTCCAACTTCGTTACGTTAGTGAAGCCGGCGAAGGAATTTGGAAGGACGGGCTTTTGTGCACGACCAATACCATGGTGTGCGGTCACGGCTGCCTCTAGGATGAATGGGGGGGCGGGATTCACGGGGCTTGAGCTGCCACCCCCTTTTAGAGGCAGCCACCAGACTTGGGGTCCGTGCGCAGGGCGGCTGTGTCAGCTGGTGCGCAGTGGGCAGCTGCGGCTGTCCCAGGTGCGGCTGCTGGTGCTGGATGAGGCAGACCAGATGCTGGGGGAAGCTTTCCTGGAAGACCTCAGGTGGGGCTCTCCCCTTTCCTGGACATCTGTGCTCGCTAGAGCCGCTGTACGCGGCAGCTGCCAAAGTAGCAAGACGCACAGAAAGACCTACAGTAATCTCTCATTAAGTCGAACTTGGCTATCTCAAAATATCTGTTAAGTGGAAAGATTGTCTTGTCATGGAATGAACTCTCATAGGCACAAGGCATTTACTCATTGTTTATCTTGAAAAGGTTTTGGGACAAACCTAAAATATCTCAAAACTGTCTAAAAAAGAAGAAAAAAAAAAAACAGGCAGGGCACAGCAAACAATGAACTGGAGGCCCAAACATTGGTGGAGGAAGAAACAGTGATCCCAAAAACAAACACAAAAATGAGAAAAGAAAGGGACAAAAGCTTCTGCATCATAGAAAGAAAAGTCCCGTGTCATAAGGAACGCCTGAAGCAGCGTGCGCCTCAAGGATGATGATTGCCTTATCCGCCCACCCCCAATCTTGGCTTGGCGTTCGGCACTGTTTCTTTCTCCCTCGCACTCAACATCTTCAGCCCAAAGTTATCTTCTTCTCTTTGTCTTTTTCTTTCATACTTTTTTTTTTTTTTGTATGTTTTTTTGGAAAGGGGGGGGGGGGTTGCATTTCTGTTTCTTTATCTCGCTGTCTCATCTTATGAGTGTTGCGTGTTGATAATTTTTTGTTAGTGACATGTTCACCGAACAACCTTGACACTTCCCCCTCCCCCTCTTCCTACATCATGAATAAATGAATGTTGATCATTTTTGTTCTCACCTCAATTGGCGCAATTGGAACGGAAGGGCTCCATTTCCACAATGCGCAGTCAGTGAAATGAAAATTCTGTACCTCGCTTACCTGGAATTTTTAACGCGATAGAACTTGAGGAGCTTGTGTCGCAGAAAAGCCGGCATCGGCGGTACTAGAAAATTCAGGGTTGGTCGATAGAATCATGATGTCACAGCCACATGACCTTGTGCGGGAATTTCAAACATCTCACGATGCTCACGTGAATTGTGACGTCAAGCGTGGAATGAAAATGATTGAAACATAACATGTAACGCGAATTAAAGGTCGCCGCATGTCTCAAATTATTTCACTTTATAAAATAATTAATTTGCCTTAAAGAAAAAATTTGAAGAATTTTAAGCGGAGACAGGATTCTAACCCATGACCCCTCGGTTGCAAGCCAGACACACTACCGACTAGGCTATGCAGACATGCTTGCACGGCTAGGGACGAGTGGGGATTTATATGTTTAGCTATCACTTTGGACACTGGGATTAACTCTGCAAAAATGTGGAAAAAAAATCAGTTTGAAGAAATTGGAAGTTGTACCATGCTTGGGTCTTTTTTCGTGTAATCACGAAGTTTCATTTTTAAAATCGAAGACCAAAGTCTTTCATAAACTGTACCCCGAAATGTGAGGGACGTGAAAGTGCATTTGCTTGACTGAATAAATTCGTACACAAGACCGGCTTGAGTTTCAGAGACGTCGCTCGCAGGGTAGTGCCACATCGAAAGAACAGAGACGTATTTTAAAAGTGCGTTTAATTTCATTTTCAGTTCGTGTCATCTCGGGGTAAAAACAAAAACCTAATGGCTGGCTGAACCTTGGCCAAATTTATATAGAAAATGGCTTGGCAAAAATTTGGTGATGCCAAACCAGGGCAGTCAACACCCAACATCTTGTTTGGCAAGGTCGCCAAATTTCCTGCTACAACAGACGCCTTTCAAAAGTGCGTCGAGCAACACTGGCAGTCGCCATTCCCTGGGAACAAAGCGGGTGACTGGATTCGAATCGTCACTGAACACCGACGCAGGGCTCGTTTTCGATACGATCGGAGCCGAGTTCACGCCAAATTATAAACCACATTTACTTACCTTCAAACCTCTGTACTCCAAAAGAGTCTTGGAATTCTGCCAGAATAGACCCTTTTTGAAAGTCCACTCTATCTAGTAGCTGCTGCATGAATTATCTGCATCCGCCTTTGTTTGGGCACACACTCTGAGCATGTGTTAAACACGGGGGCTGTGTCGGAGTTTGGCGTGAACTCGGCTCCGATCGTATCGAAAACGAGCCCTGCATCGGTGTTCAGTGACGATTCGAATCCAGTCACCCGCTTTGTGCCCAGGGATTGGCGACTGCCAGTGTTGCTCGACGCACTTTTGAAAGGCGTCTGTTGTAGAAGGAAATTTGAAAATGCCGGGGATTTCGGGGAGGCAACAGTTGGGGCAAACACCCCACGTGATGGCCGATCTCTCTCTGAGCCGTCCCCGCAGGGGGCACCTGTGAAAGCAGGTGTTTGGAGAGTGGCGTCTCCACGGACCCCGAGCCATGCGGGTTCGCCTGCCCACGTCTGGCTGTGCGTGGCTTTCCCGTGTCCGGGGAAAAGGGCATCCTGGTGGTTGAGTCGAACCCGGGGCAGGTTTGGACCCTTCGGGGCCCCCCGGGGGAGGCAATACACCACTTCGGCCCCCGCTTCTCGTAGACGGGAGTCCTGGTAAGGCCCGGCCAGGATGATTCAGTCTAGTCGCCACTTCTACTATCCCCTCTCTGCTTTCACTTTTGTCTGCTCCTCCTTTTCACTCATCTCATTTCTCTTCTTTCCTTTTTCAACTCCTTTGGCGGCAAGGGCTAACCTTGGGTGGCGAAAGACCTCTTGTCCAAAACCACACTTGGTTATAGAAACTTGGCAGCACTAATAGAGTAACGTCTTCAGCCAAGCCCATCTTGTTATGAACCGTTACCTATTCCCTTGTTGGGCTCGGTGGTGGGCGGTGCACCACAGTTTCCGAAAACCATTCCCCTCTTATGGGTTCTAAGCAAAAACAACCTGATCGGCCTCCGAAAAGAGGCCGGACCGAAGCACTATCCACATTTCTGAAACGAGACAACTCAAATGATCACTTCACAAGATTTTTCGTTCTACATTCCGATGACTCTTCTATGCCACTCTCAAGACTGTCCCCATTCCTAGTTCCTAAAGTTCTTCAAAACACACTCGGGGCAAGATATGAAGCGAAAAAGCTTTTTTCCGGTGATCTTCTTGTCGAGATTTATGAAAGGTATCAGGCAACTGCCCTCCTCAATCTGAATATGATTCATGATCTCAAAGTGACCGTATCTGCACACCGTACGCTAAACACCATTCGCGGTGTGATATCTGAGGATGATCTCATAACCAGTTCCGAAGAGGAAATCGTGGAGGGTCTAAGCACTCAAGGTGTTGTGGCCGCAAAACGAATTAAAATCCGTAAGGACGGCGAGGAACGACCTACGAAACATGTCATACTGACGTTCCAGAAAAACTCGTTGCCCCCTACCGTAAAGGCGGGTTACATTAACTGCAAAGTGCGGCCATATGTCCCAAACCCGCTCCGCTGCTTTCGCTGCCAGCGATACGGTCACGGTTCACGAGCTTGCCGTGGTCGTGAAACCTGTGCCAGGTGCAGCGGCTCTGACCATACTGCTGACGACTGCAACCTCGACTATAAATGTGCAAACTGCAACGCCGACCATCCTGCCTACTCTCGATCATGTAACCACTTTAAAAAGGAAAAAGAAATACTTGCTCTCAAGGTGAAAGAAAACATTTCCTACCAGGATGCAAAGCGCCGCCTCTCTGCTTTCCAGAGAGGATCTTTTGCCAAGGCGGTGTCCAGCAGAGGACCTGCACCGTCTAAGGTATCGGTGGCGACCCAGGTGTCTTTTTCAGACCACGGGAAGCCACTGCAGTCCTCTACGCCCAGGCTGAAGCTTGCACTTCCTGGGCATTCTATCTCAGCTGCGAAAGCAGCAGATCCACATAGTCGCACCAAGGACATAGGTGCCGCAGCTGCGACGGAGGTTACACCTTCGTCCCCGCCTCCTGGTCCCTCTCCTCAGGCAACGGAGCGAGTGTCTCGCTCCTCCTCCCTGGGGAGAACTTCCCCGTCTAGGAGGCAGCACGTGCCACGTGCAACAGACGATACCGGCGGGACAACGGGCCGACCTAGCACGTCGACCGCTGGCCCATCAGGTCAATGCAGGGGCCGTGGGTTGCCCCTACGATCCCTAGACAACTCTAAGGCCTCCAGTAGGCCTGCCAAGAAGTCCCTAGAAGCAGAAAAGACTGCAGAGGCAGGCGACCTTTCTGCCCCAGAACCAGATTCAGAGGATATGGAGTGGCAGACCCAGAAACCAAAACATAAAGGGAAAACACCAGTTTTCCCTCCTAAATGAAGCATCACATACATCACCCCTTTTTCCATCGCTCCTCTGATAGTTAAATTTCTATAAAGAATGACGGCGATCATTCAGTGGAATTGCCGAGGTCTACTGAGGAACTTTGATGATATCGAGTTCCTCCTGGAACAACACCGCCCACATGCTTTATGTTTACAAGAAACGCATCTCAGTTCAAAGCATACTAACTTTCTTAGACGCTACCATATTTTTAGAAAAGACCGAGAGGATGCGTGTATTTCTGCAGGAGGAGTTGCAGTGGTTGTCCCAAGGCACCTTCCCTGTTCCGAAATCGCTCTTAATACTGCGCTAGAGGCAGTAGCGGTGCGTCTCCTCCTTCACAAAGTAGTGACTGTTTGTTCTTTGTACATTCCTCCTTCTTTTACATTTTCGATAAATGATTTTAATGATCTTTTACTCCAACTTCTGGAGCCCTTTCTTTTACTTGGAGATTTTAATGCCCACAACTCTCTATGGGGTAGCGACCACGTTGACGCCCGTGGTCGACTGATAGAATCAATTTTAACGTCTCACTCACTTTGCCTTTTTAACACGGGAGAACCAACCTATTTTAGCCCATCCTCATTATCATCCTCGTGTATTGATCTTTCCATCGGTAGCGCTTCCATTTTTACTTCTTTTACGTGGGTCGCAGATACTAACCCACATGGAAGCGATCACTTTCCGATTTTCTTGAAAAACAACTTTTCCCCCAAGTCCGTGCCGATGCGGACTGCCCGTTGGAAGTTCGAGAAAGCAGATTGGTCTGTTTTTACCGAGTCAACGCAACTTGCCTGTACATCATTTGATAAAATCTCGGTGGACCAAGTTACAGAACTGTTAAGTGAGTCTATTCTTTATGCAGCATCTCTTGCTATTCCTATGACTTCTACGCATCTCCCTCGGAGACCCAAGCCGTGGTGGAATGAAGAGTGCACTGAATCGAGAAAAAAACAAAACAGAGCGTGGGGTATTTTTCGACGTTACCCCACGCAGAGTAATCTCCTCGCGTTTAAACAAATGAAAGCTCGGGCAAGATACATTTGCCGCCAATCTAAGCGAGACAATTTCCAGGGGTATGCCTCTTCAATTAATAGCACTGCAACACTAAAAGAAGTCTGGGATAAAGTTCATCGGATCGAGGGGCGATACCATGCTTTCGCAGTCCCACCTCTTTCCCACAATGGGATCTGTCCAGAGAGCCTAGAGGGTCAGGCCAATCTTCTTGGTCAGCATTTCGCTCATGTATCAAGTTCCAAAAACTCTTCCTCTGCATTTCTTCGATACAAAGAGCAAGCGGAAGCGCATGCCGTGAAGACCTCAGGTGGTGTTCGCGAGGCTTACAATCAACCCCTCACACAGCACGAGCTCGAAATGGTCCTTCGCTCAACTAAGCCTTCATCTCCTGGACCTGATGGTATCCACTACCGGATGCTTACTCACCTTCATCCTTCTACGCTACTCCTTATTTTGTACCTCTTCAATCGCGTCTGGCGAGAGGGTAGATTCCCACTGGCATGGAAGGTAGCCACAGTCATACCACTTCTGAAACCCGGGAAGGACGCTTCGTCCGCATCTAGCTACCGCCCAATTGCCCTCACCAGTTGCCTAAGCAAGACATTTGAACGCATCATTAATAAAAGGCTCATGTACTTCTTAGAAAAACAAAACATTTTAGATAAAAATCAGTGTGGTTTCCGTTCCTGCCATTCCACTGTTGACCACTTGGTGCGTCTTGAAACTACAATTCGTGAGGCTTTTGTTAATAAACAACACTGCGTATCAGTGTTTTTCGACTTGGAGAAGGCATACGACACAGCATGGCGCTATGGAATCCTTCGTGACTTGTATGAAGTAGGGGTACGTGGCAGGTTGCTTGCTATCATAAAGAGCTATTTATCTGAGCGAACCTTTTTTGTGAAGTTGGGCACTGCTCTCTCCAGAGAATTTGTTCAGGAGGCCGGAGTTCCGCAAGGCGGTGTCTTGAGTGTTACTCTCTTTATAATCAAGATGAACTCAATAGCCCGGTCTATACCTCCATGTGTGCAATATTCTCTTTATGTGGACGATCTCCAGATATCCGTTTCATCATGCAATCTTTCCATTTGTGAACGTAGACTCCAAGTTGCAGTCAACAACCTCTTGAAGTGGGCAGACGAAAATGGTTTTAGGTTTTCTCCTGATAAGACTGTGTGTGTCTGCTACTCTCGGAGAAGGGGAATCTCCGTAGAGCCTTCCTTACGAATGCACCAGACTCCCATCCCGGTAAAGAAGGAGCATAAATTTCTGGGTCTTATTTTCGACCGTCAACTGTCCTTCATATCTCACATAAAGAATCTGAAGATAAAATGTCAGAAATCACTGAACCTCCTTAAAGTTCTGTCCCACAAGACATGGGGCTCTGATCGTCTATGTCTTTTACAAATTTACCGTTCTGTGATTCGCTCATGTCTGGACTACGGTAGCTTTGTATATGGATCTGCTAGGCAATCAGCTCTTAAGGCACTAGACCCCATCCATCATCAGGGACTTCGTTTAGCACTTGGAGCCTTCAGAACGTCGCCTGTGCTCAGTCTCTATGCTGAAGGAAATGAGATGTCCCTTGACAGACGGCGTTTCTCCCTAGGGTTTATGTATTCGTTAAGGATACGTTCAGTTGCTCAGCATCCAGCCCGGGAGGTTGTGGAGAGCACTAGATACCAGAAGACATTCGAAAACAAGCCTAGCATTATCCCTTCATTCGTGATGAGAAACAGGAATTTGGCAGAATCTATTGGGATAGACAGTAAGCTCCCAGTTGATACAGTTGCAGGGATGGTGGCTCCATGGGATTTTAACTGCATACGTTGTGATTTTTCATTAACAAAGTTCAATAAGAAGGATACCCCAACTGAGGTCATGCGACAAGAATTTTTCGAACTCCACAAGGAACACAATTCTCATTCCCACTACTACACAGACGGCACAAAAACTGAATCATTTGTTGGCTGTGCCATGATTGGCCCTTCAGTAAGAAGTGTTCGTAGGCTTAATTCGTCCGCTACTGTTTTCACTGCTGAACTGCATGGCCTTCTGCTTGCAGTAGATCACATCATCCAAACAAGTAACTCTCGGTCAGTTGTATATACAGATTCGCTGAGTGCTTTACGGGCTCTGACATCGCTTGAAACCCCAAAGAATGCCCTCGTTGTTTTATTACAAAACAAAATAATAACGGCAACCAGGAAAGGATGTAATGTTCTATTCTGCTGGGTACCGAGCCATGTTGGAATCCCAGGGAACGAAGAGGTAGATCGTGCTGCGGGCACTTCTGGCTCCCGTTCTGTAGACATTAGGAGCATCCCGTACAGAGATTACTGTGCCCTAATTAAATACCATGTTAAAGCCCAGTGGCAAGCAGAATGGAGCCTACAGGTGTCAAACAAACTGCACATGATAAAGCCTTTTCTTAGTGAGTGGCAGAGTGCTAGGCACAGAGACAGGTTTTATGAGGTAGTCCTTTGTCGACTACGCATAGGACACACGCGGCTCACGCACGGACACCTCTTACGTGGGGAGGACCCTCCTGGATGTGAACATTGCCAGGAACCGCTGAGTGTCTCACATATCCTTCTAGAATGTCCTGCGTATGAAGAAAAACGCCTCCACTACTTTTTCCAACTGTACAAAGAGCACGTTCCTTTACACCTATGTGTGTTACTTGGAAATGAACCACTACTCCCACCCACCCAGGTTTTTAAGTTTTTAAAAAGCGTTGATCTTTTACACAAATTGTAGCATTATTTATAATGTATGGTCTTACTCTTATTTTATACATTTTGCAAATTACCAGCTACTAAAGCTCTTTCTTCTCCAAAATCCTCTTCTGCAATAGTATCATTTCTTGGCGCATCATAGCCTTAGCTGCTTTTGCGCCACAAAACCCCAATCTACTACTACTCTCTGAGCCGCACCATCGCCATTTCAGTGACCTGTGGGGGCGGCTCCCCTCGAGCAAGCAGGTGGTGGCCACTAGCGCCACCTACCCACCGGCCGTGGCACGCCTGCTCGAAGAGAAGTACCTGCACCAACCGGCGTTGGTGCGCCTGGGGGCTGAAGACCCTGCACTCCTCGGTAGGTGGCGACACCTTGGGCGGTTTGATAAAAATGTCGAGCTTAAAATGGGCCTTGTCTGCTTGTGGGCCACACTCCTTAGATGTCGCCGGTCTGTAATCTCTGGCGGTTTCCACCCGATTAAATACCTTCATCGCAAATCATTGCAAATGTCACTGGCTGTCATGGGAAGTTTTTATTTTTTTTTGTTAGAAACCAAAATATAAGTTGTTTTTTTTTAAAGGAAGCTGCAGCACTTTTTTTGAAATCTGTGTTAGGAGCAAGCTTTTATAGCTTTCTGTCCCGTGAACTCTGTTATCACACTTAACTTGAGCAGGAGTAAACGTAAACCACATTTATTTTGGAAAATGTGCGCAGCGATTGCCACAGGGCATTAGGCGAGCCTCTCTGCCACTTGTCCAAAGCGTCATGACATCGTCTTCACCCCCCAGCCAGCTCAGTGGCGAGCGAGGGACATCCGACCCTGTCGATGATGTCACTCCCCTTAGTTTTTTTTCTCCGCTCTCCTGCACTCTGTGCACCGCAATGGGCGAGGCTGTGTCGAAATTTTTATTGACGATTACGACGCTCCTACTAACGTGACGGACAGAAAACTTAGAGGCACTTCATTTTTAAGGTGCATACATTAAAACTTTCACCATTTTCTTTTTTTATTCAGGAGCCTCTTCAACTTTCCCGTAATTCAATGGGATGGCAAAAAAGTTAGAAGGAAAGGTTCTAAAAAGTCATCAAAGAATGGCGGTTGATACTCTCCCGTAGCCATCCAGTGACGCAACTGACCGAGAAAAGGGTCGAGATTAGTTGGATCGAATGGACAGAGGGCCTGGCACGGGACGCCATTCTGCATAGTCGAGCAAAGACCGGTTTTGTGTCAGAGATCGGCCTCCGCTCTGCCGAAAGAACTGCCGAGTTCCTATTGAGATTTCAAGGGCCGTACAGTATCGTGGAACAGATGACGGCTGGCCATATACCATTGCCTCCGTGGCTCTCCTCAATATTTACTTGTACAGTAAACTTTCGTTAGTTCGACCTCGTTCAATTCGACTCTTCGTTTAATTCGACCGTGTTCAAAAGTCCCGGCGAGCGCCCATACATTTCTATGGGAGGAAAAGTTTGATAGTTCAAACTCGGGAAGACTCCGCATCGAATAATTAGTCCCGAGCGATTGCGCGCGGGCTCACATTGCCACAGCACCACGGCAGAAAAACCACCTACGTACGGCGAAACACGGGCCGTTTGCTGCAAAGCCGAACATGTGCAAATATGCGCCTGCTCCTCTGCGCCGTTGAGATGGACCGTAGCGAATGACATGAGCCAGCGCAACCAATCTGGTGTGGAGTAGCGCAGAAAACATAGCACATGTTCGGGCGCAGAGACAGTACGCGCTCTCAAAGCGCTTTTCTGTAGCATCGTGTGCAGACCATCTTGCGCGTAGGGAAATGCGAGTTCTCTTTTCCTTTTTTTTTATTTTTCTCTGTCGCCGACGGTCTGGCTGCCACAGCTGCCAGGCGTCAAAGACGACTCGCAAAAACTTATCTTTTTTTTTCTTATATATTTTTTTTTTTGTAGTGCGCAATTTTTTGGGGACATGGCGTTTAGTTATGCTGCTCTCCGGAGCGCGCTTTTGGACACGCGTTTTAAGCGCAGATGGCAGCAGACCATCCGTGAGTACTGGGGACAATAAAAGGAAGTTTAATTTTAACCGTTTTTCTTTTCTTTTTTAATTCGGTCGTTCGGATAATTCAACCTAATTTCAAGGTCCCGTGGAGGTTGAATTAACAAAAGTTTACTGTATTTAGGATGACCCTCTTTCAGGGTTTGTCAATCACTAAAACTTAACCATTGGATGTTTTTTTTTAATGTAAGGTTATTAAAGGGGCCGTGCAAGGACTTTTTTACTGTTTTTTTAATTTGCACCGAACCTGAGCGCACTGAACGTAGTACCTTAGTGAAACTTTTCTTTTCTCGAAATTCGCTTTATTTTAAAAGTTATAGGCAAATTAGTATTACAAAAGCTAACAAAAAATAACCTCCCTCATGACGTCCTTGGTTGCTTGAGTGGTCGTGAACTAGAGGAGGGGTGTGAGTTCATCAAGTGCTCACAGCTGCTGCACTCCGTGTCGACGGCGCGGAGTGCGGCAGAGACCTTTCCTTTTACACCTTTCCTCGAGATGGAAAGGTGTAAGAAGCCCCGCTCCGGGAAGTTGCTTCGAGTAAGACGCAGGTTCCTCGAGATGCAAAAATGTAAAAAGCCCCACTCCGGGAAATTGCTTCGAGTGAGACGCAGGTTTCTCGAGATGGAAAGGTGTAACAAGCCCCGCTCCGGGAAATTGCTTAGAGTGAGACGCGGGTTCCTCGAGATGGAAAGGTGTAAGAAGCCCCGCTCCGGGAAATTGCTTAGAGTGAGACGCGGGTTCCTCGAGATGGAAAGGTGTAAGAAGCCCCGCTCCGGGAAATTGCTTTGAGTGAGACGCGGGTTCCTCGAGATGGTAAGGTGTAAGAAGCCCCGCTCCGGGAAATTGCTTCGAGTGAGACGCGGGTTCCTCGAGATGGAAAGGTGTAAAAAGCCCCGCTCCGGGAAATTGCTTAGAGTGAGACGCGGGTTCCTCGAGATGGAAAGGTGTAAGAAGCCCCGCTCCGGGAAATTGCGTAGAGTGAGACGCGGGTTCCTCGAGATGGAAAGGTGTAAGAAGCCCCGCTCCGGGAAATTGCGTAGAGTGAGACGCGGGTTCCTCGAGATGGAAAGGTGTAAGAAGCCCCGCTCCGGGAAATTGCTTAGAGTGAGACGCGGGTTCCTCGAGATGGAAAGGTGTAAGAAGCCCCGCTCCGGGAAATTGCGTAGAGTGAGACGCGGGTTCCTCGAGATGGAAAGGTGTAAGAAGCCCCGCTCCGGGAAATTGCGTAGAGTGAGACGCGGGTTCCTCGAGATGGAAAGGTGTAAGAAGCCCCGCTCCGGGAAATTGCTTCGAGTGAGACGCGGGTTCCTCGAGATGGAAAGGTGTAAAAAGCCCCGCTCCGGGAAATTGCTTAGAGTGAGACGCGGGTTCCTCGAGATGGAAAGGTGTAAGAAGCCCCGCTCCGGGAAATTGCGTAGAGTGAGACGCGGGTTCCTCGAGATGGAAAGGTGTAAGAAGCCCCGCTCCGGGAAATTGCTTTGAGTGAGACGCGGGTTCCTCGAGATGGTAAGGTGTAAGAAGCCCCGCTCCGGGAAATTGCTTCGAGTGAGACGCGGGTTCCTCGAGATGGAAAGGTGTAAAAAGCCCCGCTCCGGGAAATTGCTTAGAGTGAGACGCGGGTTCCTCGAGATGGAAAGGTGTAAGAAGCCCCGCTCCGGGAAATTGCGTAGAGTGAGACGCGGGTTCCTCGAGATGGAAAGGTGTAAGAAGCCCCGCTCCGGGAAATTGCTTAGAGTGAGACGCGGGTTCCTCGAGATGGAAAGGTGTAAGAAGCCCCGCTCCGGGAAATTGCGTAGAGTGAGACGCGGGTTCCTCGAGATGGAAAGGTGTAAGAAGCCCCGCTCCGGGAAATTGCTTAGAGTGAGACGCGGGTTCCTCGAGATGGAAAGGTGTAAAAAGCCCCGCTCCGGGAAATTGCTTCGAGTGAGACGCGGGTTCCTCGAGATGGAAAGGTGTAAAAAGCCCCGCTCCGGGAAATTGCTTCGAGTGAGACGCGGGTTCCTCGAGATGGAAAGGTGTAAAAAGCCCCGCTCCGGGAAATTGCTTCGAGTGAGACGCGGGTTCCTCGAGATGGTAAGGTGTAAGAAGCCCCGCTCCGGGAAATTGCTTTGAGTGAGACGCGGGTTCCTCGAGATGGTAAGGTGTAAGAAGCCCCGCTCCGGGAAATTGCTTCGAGTGAGACGCGGGTTCCTCGAGATGGTAAGGTGTAAGAAGCCCCGCTCCGGGAAATTGCTTTGAGTGAGACGCGGGTTCCTCGAGATGGAAAGGTGTAAAAAGCCCCGCTCCGGGAAATTGCTTAGAGTGAGACGCGGGTTCCTCGAGATGGTAAGGTGTAAGAAGCCCCGCTCCGGGAAATTGCTTTGAGTGAGACGCGGGTTCCTCGAGATGGAAAGGTGTAAAAAGCCCCGCTCCGGGAAATTGCTTAGAGTGAGACGCGGGTTCCTCGAGATGGTAAGGTGTAAGAAGCCCCGCTCCGGGAAATTGCTTCGAGTGAGACGCGGGTTCCTCGAGATGGAAAGGTGTAAAAAGCCCCGCTCCGGGAAATTGCTTTGAGTGAGACGCGGGTTCCTCGAGATGGTAAGGTGTAAGAAGCCCCGCTCCGGGAAATTGCTTTGAGTGAGACGCGGGTTCCTCGAGATGGAAAGGTGTAAAAAGCCCCGCTCCGGGAAATTGCTTTGAGTGAGACGCGGGTTCCTCGAGATGGTAAGGTGTAAGAAGCCCCGCTCCGGGAAATTGCTTCGAGTGAGACGCGGGTTCCTCGAGATGGAAAGGTGTAAAAAGCCCCGCTCCGGGAAATTGCTTAGAGTGAGACGCGGGTTCCTCGAGATGGTAAGGTGTAAGAAGCCCCGCTCCGGGAAATTGCTTTGAGTGAGACGCGGGTTCCTCGAGATGGAAAGGTGTAAGAAGCCCCGCTCCGGGAAATTGCTTCGAGTGAGACGCGGGTTCCTCGAGATGGAAAGGTGTAAAAAGCCCCGCTCCGGGAAATTGCTTCGAGTGAGACGCGGGTTCCTCGAGATGGAAAGGTGTAAAAAGCCCCGCTCCGGGAAATTGCTTAGAGTGAGACGCGGGTTCCTCGAGATGGTAAGGTGTAAGAAGCCCCGCTCCGGGAAATTGCTTTGAGTGAGACGCGGGTTCCTCGAGATGGTAAGGTGTAAGAAGCCCCGCTCCGGGAAATTGCTTCGAGTGAGACGCGGGTTCCTCGAGATGGAAAGGTGTAAAAAGCCCCGCTCCGGGAAATTGCTTCGAGTGAGACGCGGGTTCCTCGAGATGGTAAGGTGTAAGAAGCCCCGCTCCGGGAAATTGCTTTGAGTGAGACGCGGGTTCCTCGAGATGGAAAGGTGTAAGAAGCCCCGCTCCGGGAAATTGCTTTGAGTGAGACGCGGGTTCCTCGAGATGGTAAGGTGTAAGAAGCCCCGCTCCGGGAAATTGCTTTGAGTGAGACGCGGGTTCCTCGAGATGGAAAGGTGTAAGAAGCCCCGCTCCGGGAAATTGCTTTGAGTGAGACGCGGGTTCCTCGAGATGGTAAGGTGTAAGAAGCCCCGCTCCGGGAAATTGCTTAGAGTGAGACGCGGGTTCCTCGAGATGGTAAGGTGTAAAAAGCCCCGCTCCGGGAAATTGCTTAGAGTGAGACGCGGGTTCCTCGAGATGGAAAGGTGTAAAAAGCCCCGCTCCGGGAAATTGCTTTGAGTGAGACGCGGGTTCCTCGAGATGGTAAGGTGTAAGAAGCCCCGCTCCGGGAAATTGCTTTGAGTGAGACGCGGGTTCCTCGAGATGGAAAGGTGTAAAAAGCCCCGCTCCGGGAAATTGCTTTGAGTGAGACGCGGGTTCCTCGAGATGGTAAGGTGTAAGAAGCCCCGCTCCGGGAAATTGCTTTGAGTGAGACGCGGGTTCCTCGAGATGGAAAGGTGTAAGAAGCCCCGCTCCGGGAAATTGCTTTGAGTGAGACGCGGGTTCCTCGAGATGGTAAGGTGTAAGAAGCCCCGCTCCGGGAAATTGCTTTGAGTGAGACGCGGGTTCCTCGAGATGGAAAGGTGTAAGAAGCCCCGCTCCGGGAAATTGCTTAGAGTGAGACGCGGGTTCCTCGAGATGGTAAGGTGTAAGAAGCCCCGCTCCGGGAAATTGCTTTGAGTGAGACGCGGGTTCCTCGAGATGGAAAGGTGTAAGAAGCCCCGCTCCGGGAAATTGCTTCGAGTGAGACGCGGGTTCCTCGAGATGGAAAGGTGTAAAAAGCCCCGCTCCGGGAAATTGCTTTGAGTGAGACGCGGGTTCCTCGAGATGGTAAGGTGTAAGAAGCCCCGCTCCGGGAAATTGCTTTGAGTGAGACGCGGGTTCCTCGAGATGGAAAGGTGTAAAAAGCCCCGCTCCGGGAAATTGCTTTGAGTGAGACGCGGGTTCCTCGAGATGGTAAGGTGTAAGAAGCCCCGCTCCGGGAAATTGCTTTGAGTGAGACGCGGGTTCCTCGAGATGGAAAGGTGTAAGAAGCCCCGCTCCGGGAAATTGCTTCGAGTGAGACGCGGGTTCCTCGAGATGGAAAGGTGTAAAAAGCCCCGCTCCGGGAAATTGCTTCGAGTGAGACGCGGGTTCCTCGAGATGGAAAGGTGTAAAAAGCCCCGCTCCGGGAAATTGCTTAGAGTGAGACGCGGGTTCCTCGAGATGGTAAGGTGTAAGAAGCCCCGCTCCGGGAAATTGCTTTGAGTGAGACGCGGGTTCCTCGAGATGGAAAGGTGTAAGAAGCCCCGCTCCGGGAAATTGCTTTGAGTGAGACGCGGGTTCCTCGAGATGGTAAGGTGTAAGAAGCCCCGCTCCGGGAAATTGCTTCGAGTGAGACGCGGGTTCCTCGAGATGGAAAGGTGTAAAAAGCCCCGCTCCGGGAAATTGCTTAGAGTGAGACGCGGGTTCCTCGAGATGGTAAGGTGTAAGAAGCCCCGCTCCGGGAAATTGCTTTGAGTGAGACGCGGGTTCCTCGAGATGGTAAGGTGTAAGAAGCCCCGCTCCGGGAAATTGCTTCGAGTGAGACGCGGGTTCCTCGAGATGGAAAGGTGTAAAAAGCCCCGCTCCGGGAAATTGCTTCGAGTGAGACGCGGGTTCCTCGAGATGGAAAGGTGTAAGAAGCCCCGCTCCGGGAAATTGCTTCGAGTGAGACGCGGGTTCCTCGAGATGGAAAGGTGTAAAAAGCCCCGCTCCGGGAAATTGCTTTGAGTGAGACGCGGGTTCCTCGAGATGGTAAGGTGTAAGAAGCCCCGCTCCGGGAAATTGCTTCGAGTGAAACGCGGGTTCCTCGAGATGGAAAGGTGTAAAAAGCCCTGCTCCAGGAAATTGCTTAGAGTGAGACGCGGGTTCCTCGAGATGGAAAGGTGTAAGAAGCCCCGCTCCGGGAAATTGCGTAGAGTGAGACGCGGGTTCCTCGAGATGGAAAGGTGTAAGAAGCCCCGCTCCGGGAAATTGCTTAGAGTGAGACGCGGGTTCCTCGAGATGGAAAGGTGTAAGAAGCCCCGCTCCGGGAAATTGCTTAGAGTGAGACGCGGGTTCCTCGAGATGGAAAGGTGTAAGAAGCCCCGCTCCGGGAAATTGCTTTGAGTGAGACGCGGGTTCCTCGAGATGGTAAGGTGTAAGAAGCCCCGCTCCGGGAAATTGCTTCGAGTGAGACGCGGGTTCCTCGAGATGGAAAGGTGTAAAAAGCCCCGCTCCAGGAAATTGCTTAGAGTGAGACGCGGGTTCCTCGAGATGGAAAGGTGTAAGAAGCCCCGCTCCGGGAAATTGCGTAGAGTGAGACGCGGGTTCCTCGAGATGGAAAGGTGTAAGAAGCCCCGCTCCGGGAAATTGCTTAGAGTGAGACGCGGGTTCCTCGAGATGGAAAGGTGTAAGAAGCCCCGCTCCGGGAAATTGCTTTGAGTGAGACGCGGGTTCCTCGAGATGGTAAGGTGTAAGAAGCCCCGCTCCGGGAAATTGCTTCGAGTGAAACGCGGGTTCCTCGAGATGGAAAGGTGTAAAAAGCCCTGCTCCAGGAAATTGCTTAGAGTGAGACGCGGGTTCCTCGAGATGGAAAGGTGTAAGAAGCCCCGCTCCGGGAAATTGCGTAGAGTGAGACGCGGGTTCCTCGAGATGGAAAGGTGTAAGAAGCCCCGCTCCGGGAAATTGCTTAGAGTGAGACGCGGGTTCCTCGAGATGGAAAGGTGTAAGAAGCCCCGCTCCGGGAAATTGCTTCGAGTGAGACGTGGGTTCTTCGAGATGGGAAGGTGTAAGAAGCCCCGCTCCGGGAAATTGCTTCGAGTGAGACGCGGGTTCCTCGAGATGGAAAGGTGTAAGAAGCCCCGCTCCGGGAAATTGCTTCGAGTCCAGTGCAAACGGCCGGCGCTGGGCCCCGTGCAGGAGTCTCGCAGTGGTACCTGTCCGTGGAAGGGGCCTTCCTGGCCAAGCTGTCTTCTCTGGAGTCCTTACTGCGCCATATGCCCTTCTCCCAGTGCCTGGTCTTCGTCAACTCGCAGGCCAGGTGAGATTTCGGAACTCGTGACTGGGAAATTCCGCAGAGGAGGATGGCAAAGAGCATTGCTGGGCCCGCTTCTTTAAAGGGGTACTCAAATGCATTCCGAGAGATCCTCCGTTTATGGGGATGGCTCGACCTGCGGGCTCTAAGCTTCCTAAAACACCCGAAATTACACTCGTGGGCGGTTGAGTTGCCTATTAAAAATCTCGTCAAAGGTCTCGACACGCCCCCCTTTCTGCGCCTTGGAGCAGACACCAGAGCGCGCCGTCGGATGCCACTTTCGAACGATAATTGGTGTATTACGTCTTTTATGCCCAAAGATTTCACGTTTTTGTCAAAACATAATGCACAGCGCGGCAAAAAAGAGCAATAATAGTAACGTTTGGAATCTCCACGCAATTAACTATTTTTATTGATCAAATTTAATGGAGGTGGTGGGGATCTGAGGATGCCCCTCCCCCAAGAAAAAATAGGGCCCGTGCACTTCTATTGCTGAGTGTTTATTAGGCCGTCTTGCCATCCAGAACCGGTCATTTTTTATCGACTAAAGCCCAACAAACAATAGGCCATCAAAAACGAGCATCTACAAAAAGCGTTTGAGTGTCCCTTTAAGGGAAGCTTCGCTCAATTACCTTAGTTCCGGGATAAGGGCTGCTTTCAGATTGGGCATTACTCATCAACAGCCCGGCTTATCATCTTACTTCTGCTCTGCATAATCTCTTTTACACAAAGTTGAGTGTTCTGTGCTCTCATTCATTAAGCGTGATCATGAACAGAAACTGAAACTTCGGCTTTAAAGGGCAATATTGGCCTCGTGGGGTCACCGATGTGAGACACCCAGGGGGTGGAGGCAGTCACGCGATTCCCAACACGCGGCTCAAATGTTGTCTGCCGTAGTGCATTCTTCATATATTTGATGCCGAAAAGATTAAATTTTCGTAAGCTTGTATCTACCGTATTTATACTCGAGTAATAGCCACACTGCTTATGAAGAAACCCTGAGGGTTCGTTTTTCCGCAGAGCACTCAGATTGCCAATCACCGCGATCGACAGCATGATTCCAGCTGTTTACGGGACAGAGATAACATCTTGGCGCAAAGATACCATCTGTGAAGGTTGCATCTGTATGGAGACTCGTGTTCTTGATCTAGTTATTCGCTATGATATTTATGTGCAATGCAATGATTGGCTGTATATGTGTTCTGTGGGAAAGTAGATGCAAGGGCCTTGTTCATAAATAGTGTGGCTGCTACTCGAGTAAATAGGGTATATATGTCTAGAAGGCAGATTTTAAAATGCAAGTGAGCAGGCAGCAACCATTATAAGGATGTTCTGTTGAGCGCATAAAGTATATGCTGTGCTCAATTCTTTCATAACATATGAGTGCGGCATAGGGTGTTTGTTTGTAAGGTTACTGTAAACGACTTAATCTTTGCGAGGACCTAATTTTCGCGAATCGCCTACTATTCGTGAAAAATAGGTCCCGCGAACAATTCCGGTAAAATGTAAACACATTGGAATCCATATTGAGATCCCACCGCGTCGCGAAAATTAGAACCTGCGAATTATTCCAAAACTCCAACTTTGACCTAAATCGCGAAATATTGAGCCCGCGAAAAATAAATCGTTTACAGTATATCGTTCCAATAATTTTTTTTTTAGTTTCATTCGACGATCCTTGTTTAAGGGGGAACACTGGTCTTGGAGCTTTCTTCCTTATTTTTTGGCCAAGCCCAATGAAACAACGCAAGCTTGTTAAGACTTTTGTGCAGACTTCAATTTTTTTTATTAATTATAATTATTAATTACTTAGTTTTTGTTTCCCTAAAGCAATTGTGAAAAGTCAATAAGACTGCTGACTGGGCGAGTTGGTAAAAATCCATTTTTAAAAAAAATGATGTTTTAACATATGGTCAGATAGTACAAATTATGAAGCATACAATGTTGGAAGTACTTTCTAGATTGATCCAGTATTAGTGACTTTACAACACATTGAAGTGTGGCTACCAAACAATAAAACAAGAGTTCAGTTGCAAATTCTGCTACACCTATATATTGACAAATGGGACATTATATGCTTTGCACATTTAGTTATATGGTGCTGATATAAAGTTATATTTTTGTCTGCCCTAGATGCTGGGATATCCCTCCTGAAAATATTTAAAGAGCTCAAAATTTGGTCTTTGAGAATGTGTTGTTTTAGCATCAGCTTCGGTGGAATTTCAGCCCACATAGGTATTATAAAGCAATATTATGGCTCAAATATTAATCTTAAAAATAAGAAACTTGGAAGATCAAAAGAAATATAGCTGTGCATTTCAAAATCACCATTTCCAAAAAACAGTTTTTAGGGATCAAAACTCCGAAGACCCACGTCTCCCCTTAAGTAACACACTTCATCTTCTTGCTCGAGTGGGCAGACAGTGCATGGAATCGTTCACTGTGTGCTGTGCTCTTTAAACACATGTCCTTGCTCATGTTGTCTTTGTTCTCAAGTGACACAAAGTCATTCTTGCATGTTTTGCTTTCTCTGCATGGGGAGAGTAAGAGCAAAGGGAGCAATAACATAGTGTGTGTCCGTGGCAGCCCTGCATTGGAATTCATGCATGGCAAAAGGAAAGAAAACTGCCCTATCCACTCAAGGACAGCGAGATCTCTTCGTAAGCGAGAGTCACGTGGAGAGCTAGTGATAAAAATTTGAGAAATGAAACAATGTAATATTGAGCCAGGTTGACTTTTGCAACCAAGACTGCAATTACGTTTGGAACACTGCATGGTTCATATCCTAGTTCGAATTGATTTTTCGATTTGAGCTGCCACTCATGCCTAATTTCCTTTTTGCCTATAAATGGAAATTGCTAGGTCTCTACGTGCTGTACAGGAATGTACATTTGCGGAGTTGATTTGTTGAAGCAAATGTGAGAAGGGTGAAGCTCCCAGTATGCTTTTTTCTAACAAGATCATGTAGTGTTCATCAGGACGGCAAGCAGTTATACATACTTCAGTTGGGAGGTCAGATGTGGACAGAAGACATGTTGTTTCCTACTGTAATTTGGGCATCCTAATCGGCTCATTCCAACGTTTTTCAGGAGGCCACATCCCTTTACACGGGCTGTGCACTTTGTTGGCCTCCCGGGGTCGCACACAGAACTGTAGCTCCTTTGATGTTTGCAAAGTGAAAGAAGCTTGTGCATTGGGGTCCACACCGCTTCACTTGCAGAAGAAATCGGATGTTCTGGAATGTGGCGGAGATGGGTTAACGAGCAACCTAACTCTCAGCATTTCTCGTGAAGATGCTTAAAAATTTATAGTGATGCTGCGCCATTTGCGCCGAATTGTGCCACAAGTGCCACAAATGAGGGCCAGCAGCGTTTTGAACTAGAGTGCCATTTGTGCTAAGAACTGCGCCATGTGTGCAGCAAAATGGGCTTGTGCGTAGCAAAAAATTAAAATGTCTTCATATTGGTCGATTCTAGCATGCAGAAAAGTAGAAGGGAAGGAGTAATTTACGGTGCCTCAACTCGCCATATATACTTTGTTTCATCTTAGATCAGGGCATAGTCAAAGGCTCAAACTCGTGCAACCACAAACACACGTAATCAAAGTGCAACTCACGGGGCATTCAATGCACTTGATTGGTTTGGTCAATGAAAGAATACAAAAAGAAAGATGATGAACATAAGATGTTTCACTTTTGATGCTGCTTGATTGATCCCATCAGTTTGTGGCCCTTGAACCTTGTGGCTTGTGGCCCTTGGCCGGACCTTGAAATGAAACACTATAGATATTGCTCATCAACCGCACTGGCCTGTCATCGTCCGAACTTCCAGACAATGTCGGTGATTTCGGAAATTTGAAGTCACGGGAAAAATTCACAAAATAACAAGACGGCGACTGCTGTGGTAAGACAGAACCAGGGTGTTTTACTCCCGATGAGATTGCTCGATTATCAGGCCTGCCACATGCCTGCGTTCCACGGCTCTGGTGCACCGGCGCTTGCACCTTTCACGTCGACCTTAACCTCCTCACACTGGTGCGTGCGTGTCACATTTCACCGCTTTGCATTGTCATGTGTGTGCCGAGGTTCACCACTTTGCACTGGTGTCTTAGTAGCAGCAGCTGACATGGGGGAGCACCTAGGTTAGCGCATTGGGTTCAGAAATTGTGCTCAGTGCTACGACAGGTTGACACTTTTTGGCCTTAATCGTAGGTTGACCTCTATTTGTAAAAGAAGCTTTGCCAAAAGAGAAAAAAATGTGGATCTATATTTCAATGAATTCGATAGTCGAGGTTGTTCCTGTGCAGCGGTTCATGGAAAGGGCAGCAAACTCAGACTCCAACGACGCTGAAGCACAGTGTCACTTTTAGAGTGAAACTGTATGTTTTAATAATGTTTGTGGAGGGTAGTTTTTGCTGTTTTGTGATATTAGAATCTAGAGTTGCTGTTTTGTGATATTAGAATCTAGAGTTTGGTAGATTCAGAAGACTTGGGGGGATGTATTTTCAATGATTGACGTTTTTGTGGGTATGCTGCTCTTTGCCGGCATTTTCCAGAAATTATATTTACAGGCTCAATAAATTTTGAGTGTGAAGAGGGGAGGGGGAGCGGGGCTTTATTTATTTCAACTGAAGCGTTGTGCTGTGATTAATCTGTCAACCGTTTTTGTTTTCTTAATCCACATTGTAAAGGAAACCTACCCTGACCTGGGGCTTATAAAAATAAAGTTGATGTTCCTCGTACATCCTATGTATTCTTACAAAAGGTAACAAGTACTTTTGTTTCAGTGTAAAAGGGAAACTTGCAGTCATAATCAAAGATGAATGTATTCAGCGATTAATTTTCCACATTCGAATGACATGCCACCGTACGTTGGTATCTGCTCCAAAAGCGTCAGCAGCTGCTTCAAACCAATTTTTTGCTTGCCACAAAGCATGCTATGAAAGGTTGAATGCTGCTTCCATCACCAAATTTACTAGCATTTTTTGTGAAATGCTATTCGTGGTGCCCCAATATTATTTCGCTTGACCCGCACAATTTTCCAGTTGTGCACCCCTCATTTTTATTTGTGGGACAAGAAACAGTCAGGCTGAAAAATAAGAGTCCCAACGACCGTCCGAATTTTTTCAAATGCCTCCGAATTCCTCGAGTGTGTGCCAACTTCCGATTCCGCGAATGTTTGTCCTACGACTGGAATGACCAGAAATTGGGTGGCTGCTGTTCCCGTAACCTTTACCGAGTTGTTCTACGAGTGTTTGGGCAATGCTGGGCCATGCCGAACCCAAACATCTAACGGTAAATTTCTGTTAAAGGGACACTGGCACTCCTATAAAGTTTTGTGTTATGTTTGCCAGGCAATTCATTATGGTGTCAGAAGACTACCCAGTCAATATATTGCTACAGCATCACAAATATTTTTCATAAGATAATAAAATGCAACTGCTCGAAACCAAAACCGAAACTGGACTGGGAAGGAAGAAGAAATGTAGTGGAGGAGAGAGTTGGCGAAAGTCACGAGGCTGTGCAACTTTCTTGTTCTTCAATCAACATATTTGCGGTTCTTTACAAGCTACAAAAAATGGGCATCATATTTCTTTTCTATTTTTAATATTGAGTGTGTGCTTTTGATGACCCACGACTTTGATTATCTTTGATGGTCACGTCTAAACCTTAGAAAACGGCATGTGACCACGAAGAAGAGAGTGAACGCGACTCAAACCGGCCAGTTCACGACCGGTGAGTTTTGGGCGGAAAGAAAGCGAATTGCGAGTCGCAAATTGTGTTATGGGTAGTTGGGCTCATTTGCCATGTACAAATAGAAAACCTTGGTGAGCATAAGTATTCTGTCAGCGTCCCTTTAAACACGAGACACATACACCATGTGCGTCCAAACCATCTGATCCGACGCACGGTACACCGGGAAAATGGCAGCTCCGAATCACCCTACACTGCACTTTGCGACACGTCCTTGCGACCTAGCTCACGATGCACAGGATCAGTATTGTTCTGTTTGTCTCCGCCCAGTCCCAAACTTGCTAAATGAAGGGGGAAGGGGGTTGAGGAATTGGACTGGTCCTCGGGCGACGTCGACGGAACGTTCGTGCCTTCCGCTCTGCCGTCGGCTGCGGCCGTCCGGCAGTCAAATTGCCAAGCAGCGAATATCCAGCGAGTTGGTTGCGTGCGGGAGCGTCAGTTTTACGTTCCGGTAGAACTATCCTGCCTCAAGCTGCACTTTAGTGACGTACACCATTCTGCCCATGCGTCAAAAGTGGTCTCGAATCAGCCAAAGACGACATTGCAAAGGCCGGAGTGTCACGCTGTCGGACGTCGTCATCCCGGTGGTCGGGCGTCAACGTCCTGGAAAAAAGCGGGGGAGGGGTGCGAGTGCCTTCATCGTTGAGGCGTCCCACCTCCTGGCGGCCGAAGCTTCCACGAACCATCAAGCTGCAGAGCGACCTGCAGCAGAACGGGTGTCTGCCACATCAAACACCGCCACTGCGGCAATGCCGGGATCACAGCCAGAGACACCACGGCACTTTTATGACTCACTTCATCGGGCAGAAATCGAGGTCCCACTTTTTAGGGCACGATAAATACGCCAGTTGGAGACGTGTCCCAGGCACCACGGTACCGTGAAACCCGTCGGGTTGGGCCGACGGTTCGAACAAGTCGAACAGTTTCGATGCGCGCGCGTTTCGTGCTTTAGAAGCTTGTGTCAACTTTGGTTTTCGACGGGGTGCCCATTCCTTGTTTCTGTCCGTTTCCTCCAGGGCACGCTCCCTGTCAGAACGGCTCAACCGGTCCCTGGGTGGAGTGCAGCTCCTCAGCGGAGCCCAGGGGCAGGAGGAGCGGATGGCCGCCCTGGCGCGGCTCAAGGGATTCCGTTGCCGCCTGCTCGTCTCCACCGACCTGGTACGCCTCCCAGCACGCTCCGTTTCGGCGCGTCACTTTTTTTCCTACTAAGAGCACGACCGGGCGTTACGACCTGCCTCTTTTGCCGAGATGTCTCTTGGGAAGAGGGGAAATCAGGGCGTTTTGTCGCATTCTAAATGCGTAGCATTTGTAGGGCCGGCTCTCAGGGCTTTCTTGTTTGTGCCCGCGTCCCATGCGTAGCCTCGATGGAACGCGACCCCACAGTGTCCTGTCGTGGTGTCGACATGCCAGGAAAGAAGTAAGAAGGACAGGCAGAGCAAGGTGAAGGGGAACTATAATTTTTACTATGCGTTTTGAGCATCTTTACAATATACCAAAGAAAGGGGGCAGTCTTATCCAGCGGAGAAAAAAGCCACACAGGATCGTCTTTGCGAATTTTCTAGGATGCCGACGACGTCTATAGTTGGTGACGGGTTAGCAGTTCAGAGGAAACTCCTCTCACCTCTTACCACTTGTGCAGAGCAGACGCTGGAGAGGAGACGACCTCCTCTCCAGTGTCCATTCTGCTAAAGTGGAAAGAGGTGGTAGGACTCTTAACCTGTCACAGACTATAGATTGAGTTATTGCTGCAAAAAGGCTACCTCAATACCTACCTCAATGCCGTTTTAAGAGGGACGGTAAGTGAAACGAAATGGCGTCTGTGGGCCCCTGCCCCTAGCTGGGAGCGCCGGAGCCAGCTTGAAGCCGACACCTTTGCCGGAGTGTCAGGTGCGTGGTATGTATGTTGCAGGCCGCCCGGGGCATCGATGCAGAGCGGGTCAACCTGGTGGTGAACTTTGACCTGCCCTGGGACCTGGAGACGCACTTGCATCGCTCCGGACGGGCGGGACGCTACGGTCAGCGCTTCTCCAGGCTCGAGTCGTCCCTAGCCGCTTGCGCCTTTTATTATTTTATTTATACGGGTGCCTACAGTGCCACGAAGCATTACAGTAGCGGGAAGACAGTCGGGACTGAAGTAAAAGTAGTTGTATGACCGAGGCGGCAACATAAAAATCGCAATAGCAGAAAACTTGATATTAATGCAATTAATGGGAATGTGCAGTGAGCTGGACAAGAAAAAAAGTGAAAGCCGTTTACAACTCCCTGTAACACCGAATTAGAGCGCAGCTCTTGAGGAGGGGGAGGGAAGGGTACTGGGGGGTGAAGTGACCTGGGGGGTCACGTGACCTTGGGGAGTCACGTGACCATGCCGATGATGTCATCAGTGACGTCACTGATGACGTCATCAGTGACGATGACGATGCGGACTCCGATGACGTCATCAGCGATGATGACGATGACGATGCGGATGTCGGTGACGTCATCAGTGACGTCACTGATGACGTCATCTGTGATGATGACGATGACGATGCGGATGCCCCCCCGAAGTCACGTGACACCTGGGGGTGGTCACGTGACCTGGGGGGTGTCACGTGACTTCGGGGGGGGGGGTCACGTGACCTCGGGGGGTCACATGACTTCAGGGGGGTCACGTGACCTTGGGATGACCTTGGTTACGCCGACGGCGACGCCGCTCAAGCCGGGAATGGGCCCGTAAGAGCTGCGCTCTAAAACAATAATAATCTCTGGAGAGGGGGAACAAGTGGGGGACAAAGGGCAAACACAAATCTTCATACACAGCTAGGTGACTGGTGCGCGACCGAAAAGATCTGCCTGGTCCTGGTATTGAATCAGGGACTTTTCCAGTTCAGCGCTCTACCAACTGGGCTAACCAGGAGTTGGACGTCAGTAAAGTGAATGGGTTTTAACAGCTGCCACCGGTCTAGCACCAGCAGGAGTGAACGGCCTGCATTTTAAAAGCATGATGTTCCAAATTTATGCAAAAATACAGCAAGCTGGACAATAATAACGATAATAGCCCATTCACCTAACCATGCATGGAGATTTGCATTTTTTATTTGTCCCCCCTTGTTCCCCCTCTTCAGGGAATATTATCGCTGTATCATAAAACATTTTGAATTGTGCAGTGCCTGTCATATAACAATTGACAGGCTGTTCTAACTCAAAGGTGCAGAATATCTAGAAACACTAGGAGGTCAAAGCGGCGTCCACGCTAAAGAGCAATCCGCAGACGGGTGTGCTTGGAATCTCCAGCCGGTGCAACTCCCTGCTCAGCTTTGTCGTTCACACGGACAAGGTGCTAGTAGGAGGATTTTCAGCACTCTAGTCACTCACAAGGTGAGGACGGAGGGGCTTTGCTTGTCTCACCTCCGGTGCACGCTTGCTACCTTTGACAACACTCGGGTGTCTCGTGCACTCTATGCATGCACACACGACCAAAGCAAGGCGGAGGCACCAAGTGCGTTACAGAGACGTCCGAAAGACGTGCCGCTTCCGTTTCGACAGTGACCATTCTTGACATCAAAGCTTGAGCAACAAAATTTTTCAAAGTGATCCGACACCAAATTGGGAACTGTTTGTATTGTTAGAACATCCCCTCCTGCCCCTCTCTCGTGGCGCTGACGCGATCGTGCCATATCGAAAGCGTGATGTTTTCGTTCTGGGGTGCACACTCCACAGAAAAATCCCTCGGATTTCTTTCTTGTGGGAATACCGGACGCTTCACTTCCAAAATCCCTTTTTTTTTAGACTACATGGGTTGGTCACATGTGTCACAAAATTAATTTTCGTTGGAAAAATCAAACATTCACTGTAGTATATTGATAGATAGTCCACCTTAAATCGAGAGCAAATTGCATGAAAATGAAGAGTGGGTTACTTTCAGTGTGTGATCAAGAAAAATTTTGAAAAATTATTTTTATATTTTGCGGCCTGTCAAACCTCTTGTCACATAGAGGGTGGTGTTGTATAAGTGTAACTGTTCTTCCCAGTGAGCAATGTTCGCTTATCCCTTGTCATAGCTAAAAGGCCACCATTGGCCCGGTCACTGCAATAGACCACTTGCTAAATCCCCCAAGTTCCCCGGCCCACACTCGAGGAATCATGGGAACGGTGCTCAGTTCCCTAGTGATTGGTAATTTCAACCAATTTGATGCTTACACACTCTTGAGTGTAATCCGGAGTTGTCCCGGATAAGCGTCGTATATATTGCAGATACCTGTCATATCACTTCTAAAACATCTCAACAATGTAAGCGTTTTTGATATTACACATGCCACCCACCTTTCAACCTGCTTCAGCTGCAGAAATCCGCTACATTATTATCGTTCTCGCACAGCTTCAAAGACGCTGACATTAAAGGGGCGGTGCAACAATTTGCGAACTTTGGCTAATTAATTGCGGGAATTGATCCCGGCCACATATAAAACAAAGGACCGGAAACTATTCTTTCCTGCTTGCCCTAGTTTTCATTAAAAAAAATAAAAAAAATTGGTATCTCCGGCACCCCTCAACTCAACTTTGAAGCGGCACCAGCTTCGCCTGTGACGTCATTCGGAGTGGCGCTGGTTTCCGGTTGGGTTCTTTTGGCTTCCGTTTCCCCAGCGCTTGCCGGCTCGCCAGGCTCGTCGCCGCTCGCCGCTCTCCCGTCAATTCCCGACCAACATGGCGGCGCGGCGGAAGTCGAAGTCAAAGTCGAGGTCGAGACACCAGGAACAATAACGATACCACGATACTACGGACCACGACCAACGCACTCCGTCGAGCGAGGGAAAGACAAAACGTCCGGGTTGCTCGTGTAGCCGCCGTAGGCGCCTCGGGCGTCGACGGATGACGGCGACGGCAGGTTTTGTTGACTTGCGGTAGATGGCGCCACAAATAATTCATACCCTTTTAGCGACAATATTAGGCTTTTGAAGCGTTTCTGCATGCCTAAACAACAAGATTTTTTAAACTTAACCTTAAATCAAGCTTACAATTGCCTAACACTATCACTTACAAAAACCACTCCGAATGACGTCACACCACAGGTTCCATTTGCGGCCACCATCTGGCCGCAGGTTGGGAAAAAAAGGTTTTTTATTTTGCGATTACGCAGCGAAATAGAGGTATTTTGGGGTATGGTGGCACTTTTTCTCTTACTTATGCCGAAGTAAACAATATAAAAAATACAAGCTGCACATTTGTTCAGTGTTAAAATCATTGCACCGCCCCTTTAACTTAGAAACGCTAAAAATGCTATAAACAGCCCTGCTGACTCCGAGCTAAATCCTGGTTTTTGTTGTGAATTCTCGTCTTTTGAAGCAATTCCTGCCAAAACAACAATCTCGAGAATGATAATATTGTAAGAGATTTCTCCAGATCAGGCCAGGTTGAATGGTGGATCGCATGCACAGTATCAAAAACACCGACATTGACAAAGAAATTTAGAAGCGATATGACAGGTCTCTGCAATCTGCGACGCTTGTTCAGGGTGACTTTGGATTAAACTCAAAAGTGTGTAAGTGTCGAACTGGTCGAAATTACCGGTCACTAGGGAACTGAAGGAACACCGTTCCCATGATTCCTCGAGTGCGGGCCTGGGTGCTTTGGGGATTTAGTAAGTGGTCTATTACAAAAAGTGTTCATTGTTTTTCAAAAAATAGCAAATCATGCCAAAAATTGGGGAGGCGTTGTTATCTTTTGGGGGTTCGTCATCTCTCAGGATATTAAGGTAATCAAATCTTTTTGCCACGACGTACAATGTCAACGGAGCTGTGGGTCCATCGCACAGGCCATCCTCCTTGCCACCTATTTTCTCAAGTACCTTTTCTCAGTGTGCGGAGGGTGAAGGGGAAGGTGCGGACAGGGGTATGCTGCGGTGGGCGTACCTTACCCCGTGCTCCTACCAGCCAAAAGGGGCTGACAAAGTGACTTCTATTTTGACATTACTGTGACGTTTGCCTCCAAATGGAAGTCATTTCTGATCCGTCATACATCGTTCTAAATGGATTGTCCTAAGGATGACCCCAATACTCCCGAATATGAGTTCATTATATCAAGGTTTACCTGTGCACAAGACTTCAATGACTGAGTTCTTTAAGGGGGAACGTTACTCTGAAGAAGTAACTTTTGAACCGTTTGTCTTATTTGTATGAAATTTGCAGGGTGTACTCATAGCACTGAGAAAGGGTGCTATGCAACTTTATAAATTTATCCCACGATGAGTTACATAAAAATACATCATACAAAAAGTGCACCCACTGAGGAAAGCTATCATTTAGAAACGGTAATGCGAATGGCCAGTATTTTTGGTGCAACGCACTGTAGAATACTTGCTTCAGACGACTACAAAAAGAAATTACAAAAATTATAAAATTTTTAATTAAAAAATAAATATAATTTTTTTTTCTGGTGTGCATTTGATTAAAGATATATCAACTTTTCATTACAAAAGAGAAAAAATGCTGAAATTAAATTCACAGTCGCATTCCCCACGAAATTTTAATATAGAAAAACCCAAATCTAGCTACACATAATTCCATTATGAAATGATAGCTTCCCTGAACCGAGATTTGACATCAAAAAAGGCTCAAAGTACACCTAAGCACTTCTTATGAGTTGTGAATGCGAAAGCATGCAGATCATTCTTTCGCTCCCTTATTTCGTCTGCAGTGTATTTGCGTCGACGGCAGAGCACGCCCTCTCCTCGCGGCTTTGACCTTGGATGTCTCGTGTTAGTGGCGCGCTGACGAACACGCAGTGCCATGGGGTGGCGGTCGTTGAAACTGACGTGCAGCGGCCAATGGGATTGAGGCCGAAAATCCATCAGCTTTACTCCGCTCCTTTGGGATCGGGAAAACTCGGTGCCGTTTGGCTAGGCTTCTCGCGTGGTTTCATAGCTGGGAGCTGGCTTCACTTTTAGAAAGGATTTAAGGTGCCATTTGGTGCAGCTTCAAAGCTGATTACGTCGGCTTGCTCCATGGGACAGTTAATGCTTTCATATTAAAGGTGAAGCTGAGATAAACGTCTTTAAAGTTTCAAGATTGCTTTTTTTCTTTTTTTTTCATTTTGAACTTTGGAAGAACTTGCCAGCAGCATAGGTGACACCTCCTTGCTCAATGCTCTTCTGCTCCGCTGCAACTGCCCTTAGCTTCCTTCGTGTGTGGGCAATCTTGGAGGTGTCCGGTGCCTTTGCCTTGGCCTGCGTGATCTTCAGCTCAGTTGCTTTCCTCGTGTGCTCCAGATAGTGGCTTCCTTCATCGTATCGCTTGCTGCTTCCATTGACGCATCGTTCAGTTTTGCTGCTATGTTCTGGTAGGTCTTGAGGTGCATCGGCTTTGGTGCACTCATGCCTCCAGAAAAGTTTTTTTAGCTTTCTGAAGCTAATTTTACAGGCTCGACCGACAGCACAGAGGCACGCAGCGAGTTTGTTTTGCCGAGTCGTTTCTACGGGTACGGAGTGCAGCGCCTTCGCTATCTCCCCACAAGAACTATAAACGACCGGGAAGTGTGAATTCGCTCCAGTTGTATCTTCCGCCAACCCCAATCCGCTTCCCAAACAAGTGGGACACATCAAGGTGCTCACCACTGTCCACATGGCTGAAACATACACAAAGAGATGTCTGTCGAGGGATCGAGGTTGATCGCTGCCCTCGATCGGTTCACGCTCGGCCTCGCTGCGTTCCGAAAGCAGAATTTTCCGCTCGAAAGTAGTCATGTCATCAACTTCCTCCGTGAGTGAAGCATTCACAAAACACGACATAGTCGTGTTTTGTGAATGCTTCCGATGGTTGTGACGAAGTTGAACTCCATCTTGACTGCGCTTGCGGTGCAGACGACACCGGAGCTTCTGAGCCCTTGCGGGATCCGAGACCTCTCGGTTTCGTGAAACGAGATTGTCTGCCCAAGCTTCTACGCATATTGGCTTTAACTGCGGACATTTTTCGGGGAAAACAGAAGCAGGGAAGATAGAAGAAAAACAGGGCGAAATGGTCAAATCAGCGATAAAACGTGTTCTGCGCCCGCGCCCCGCCATGTTCCGCGCCCCATGCGCGGAAAATCACGTGACGGAGGACAGCCACTCGCCGCTCGGGTCTCATTACATCAGCCAATAGCAGCACCCATTAGTTTTTAGAGCGGCGTCGGCGTAACCGCGAGTAACCCTCGTAACCCTCGTGAGGGTTACGAGGGTTAATCTCACGAGAGTTACCCTCACGAGGGCTACGAGGGTTACTAACCCTCGTAACCCTCACGAGGGTTACTAACCCTCGTAACTCTTACGAGGGTTACGAGGGTTATGAGAGTTGCCCTCAGGAGGGTCACGAGAGTTACCCTCACGAGGGTCACGCTCACGAGGGTCACGAGGGTTATGAGAGACCCTCACGAGGATCACGAGGGTTATGACAGTTACCCTCATGAGGGTCACGAGAGTTACCCTCACGAGGGTCACGAGAGTTGCCCTCACAAGGGGTACTAGGGTTACCCTCACGAGGGTCATGATAATTACCCAGGTCACGTGACCCCTCCCGGGGTCACGTGACCTGGGGATACCCTCCCCGAGATCACGTGACCCCCCGTTGACGTCATCGCCACTGATGACGTCACCGGCATCCGGATCGTCATCGGCATCATCACTGATGACGTCATCAGCGACGTCACTGATGACGTCACCGGCATCCGCATCGTCATCGTCACTGATGACGTCATCAGTGACGTCACCGGCATCCGCATCATCATCATCATCACTGATGACGTCATCAGTGACGTCACTGATGACGTCATCGGTACCCGCATCGTCATCGTCACTGATGACGTCATCAGTGACGTCAGTGATGACATCATCGGCATTGGGGGTCACGTGACCCCCAGGTCACCTGATCCCCCGACGTCACGTGACACCCCAAGGTCATGTGATTCCCACAAGGCCACGTGACCCCCCAAGGTCACGTGACCTCCCCCGCCCCCGTGGTCACTTGACCCACCCCCCAGTACCCTTCTCTCCTTTTCCTCAAGAGCTGCGCTTTAACTCGGCGTTACAGGGAGTTGTAAACGGCTTGCATTTTTTTTACCACCAATTCCTGCCCCAGAATGAGCGCTTTTTATGGGGCTCTCTCCCGAGTACGGAGGGGTAAATAGATAAATAAAAAACTAAAATCGAAAGACTCCAAAATGACGCTTCGAACTATAGCCTGCCCACACCACACTGGGCCTAGTTCATCTCCCAGGATACGAATAAAGCTTTTCGGGAGACACATATTTCCCTTTCTGTTTAATACAATGATGCGGCAACAATACCTGTTGCCCCGCCCTTCTGCCTTAGGTACATTGCTTTACGAAGCGCGAGGCCAACATAACAAGCGCACCAGCCTCCCGCGTCGTCTGCTCCGCATACACCTAATTAGTATGGGCGTGCCTTGCAGGGGGAAGAGTGGCGCTGCATATGTAAGGCCAAACTTCAGCCGCACAGCCCTATGTGCTGCTTGCTAAGAATTAGAGAGGGCAGGGTTCGGTCCTTTATGTCGGCAGTTTCGAACGTCTTCGACAAGCCGGCCCACATGCTTTCTGTCCGACATTTTTGCAAAGGTAGATTTTTGGTGGCCCTACAAGTGGGACTGTGTGTCCGCAGGCAGCGCAGGAGATGCAGTCACCTTGGTGAGTGGTGCCGGGGAGCTGGAGCAGTTGCAAGTGCTGTGCCGTCCCATCGGTCTGCTTCTGCGCCCCCTGCCGGCAACTGCCTGGTCCCCACAATCAGGTGACGAAACCGAGAGGCCTCCAGCGTGGTGCACGCTCGTAGTGAAGCAGAGCACTGGGGCACTTCAATGCAGAAAATTTTTATAAGTGCTTCAGTGTACTATCTTTTCCGTGCACATATGCTTTTATTGCATGTGCCATATTTTATGGTCTAGAAGTTGCACCCCCCATAAACGGCCATTTTCACAAGAAAGTCTAGAGATAAGTCAAATGTTTGTATAAGTTGCAGTTACATATCTGTAAAATCGGCAGAGCAAAACTGCATTGGTAAGCCTACATGTGTGTAATGTGATTGTGATATATGCGAAAGCAGGAGCCTGTTTCGATATTCTCGCTATAAATCGGATGAGAAATATAACCCCCGCGGCAAATTTGTGTTGTTAACCCTTTGACGGTCGAGTTTTTTTTTTTTCCAAAAGATGTTTCCCAGTGATTAGGATTTGTTTTCAAATCAATATATGAAAGCAGGGTTGATAAACTGTTTTTTTTTCTTGATTATCTAGCGGGAACACATACAGTGTTTGCAAGCTGTTCGGGTTTAGACGTATCAAATCGAAATATTGAGGGAGAAAGGTTGTCACCTTTCTTCCATTCGGTTTCATTTTGGTGCGTCCACACCCACGACGTTCCAGCTAATTGAGATTCCACACCGGAGGTACTTTACAGGGTTTCTCCATCAGATGGCAAGCTCTTATTCTCTGAATTAAATTCTGAGAAGCACTAAAAGTCTGATTTAGAGGAACTCCAATCGCCAATAGTGCCAGGGCAGCCAACATGCAAAGTGACCATCTCATATAACGTGCGCAGAGCATCTAATTTCAAAACTATGAATAGCCCCAGCAAAGCAAAAGACCATGCGGATATAATGTTTTTTTGCAAAAGACAACAAATATCAATACTCCTGTGGTGCGTGTGGCTTCGCATTTAGGAGGGCACTTTCGTAAGTAATTGCCACCTTACATGCACGGCGACGAGCATCAAAGGGATGAGGCTCATACTTATGGAAAAGAAAATGTAAAGGCAATTTTCAGTCGTGTACGAATAGGAGCTTTTGAATTTTATGCGAATTCAAAGCGAATTGTTGTTTTGGTCGAATATTGAATAATTTCTTTTAGCCTTTTCCTACCGTGCATCATACTCAGAGGTGGAACAGTTGTATCATTTGCGCTAGACGCACTTGTCTGCGCCGTCCTGCGCCATGTTGCGGAAACTGTGCCACAGCCAATACCTCGCGCCATTATGCACCAAATCGAAAAACGTGCGCCAAACAAATTGTATTTTGTCTTGGTTTCTATCAAATCGATTGGCAACAATGAGCATGTTTAACTTGGTCAAATTTGCAATCCTTTGTTCTGTTTATTCTCCCTGTGTATCCTGAGTCAGAAGCACTTGAAAAACTTGGTGGGTCAGATTCCAAGCGCTACACCACCTGCGACTGGATTGTTATTCTTCAACCGTAAGTGGTTAAGCAAGTCGGCCGAGGTGAGGTCAAGTCGTTAAGCGTCAGATCGCCTGAGGCTCTGCGACCTGGGATCTGGACGTCAGCCAGTTGAAAACAAATGAGCAAACGATTCCTTTTAGTACTTCATCGTTAGAGGTTGGAACCGCATTCCGGTGACACACCCGTAGCTGAGTGTGGCGTTGCACGGTAAACACCGCTGTATTCGGTAAGTGCCTCCTCGAGGTTTCGCTCTTTGAGAAGTGCGAGCTGAATAAAACCTTTCAAAACTCTGTTGAATCTTTCTATCATTCCGTTTGAGTTAAATCAAGAAGGAACGCCGTCCGGTAGGTTTTACATCATCTTACAAGAAGGAACGCCTTTAGGTTTTACATAATCTTCTTCGTCTTCTCACACAGACTACTTCTTCTTTATTCTCTTTTGACACAACATTTCCCCCCTTTTTTTCAAAAGGATATGCATATGTCATATCAAAAAGGCAAAAAAAAGTAGTAATAAAAGAAATGAAATTAATCACTTAACCAAAATCCCAGTTCGCCAATGGCACTGTTCATGTCACATAGTCGCCAAATCTTCCCGGCTGTTGTCGCCGTCGGCAACTCCGACGAAGTGGTTGCGGTTCTTGTCGGTCGGTGTCAGGAACATTTGGCTGCGATGTCAGTCGCTGTTGTTCTCCCGCCGGAAGAGAATCGTGTGGTTGGAGTGCACCTTGTGACGGGTTCCACGAGATCGCAGGTGATATCCAATTGTCCTTCTCTGAAATTAGCTGTGGCAAGACCTCCCATGGAACTTTAGAAAGCTTGCTTGCGTTCCAGACCTTTCCATCGTCGAGTAGGAATGCGTTAGGTCCCCGACGATCTAGTATTTTCCTTGGTTTTGAATAACGCATGTTTCCTTTCGCATGATGTCCCGCAAGTTTCACACGGACAAAGTCGCCTTGCTGAAAGGCCCGTATACGTGCACCCCGCTTGTCGTCCGCGTACTCTTGTGAGGCGCACTGTCGCTTCTTGATTCGCTCTTTCAGCTCACTCATCGCGCTTGTCGGGTCCATGAAGAAGTTTTCTGATGGCCCTCCGACGATGTTCAGCTTCGTTCTGTGGTGCCGATTGTGCAACAGAAATGCTGGTGACACACCCGTAGCTGAGTGTGGCGTTGCACGGTAAACACCGATGTATTCGGTAAGTGCCTCCTCGAGGTTTCGTTCTTCGAGAAGTGCGAGCTGAATAAAACCTTTCAAAACTCTGTTGAATCTTTCAATCAGTCCGTTGGACTGTGGATAGTAAACCGATGAGAAGTTGTGACGAATGCCACGCTCCCGTAAAAAACCTTCAAACTCTTCCGATGTAAATTGGCTTCCGTGATCCAAGACAATCTCAGTCGGATAACCTTCACGGCTGAAAAGAGTCAGTAGGAAGCTGGTCACTGAGTTTGATGTTACCGTACTGGCAAAAGCAATTTCAGGCCAGCGACTGTAATAGACCATGACTGTGATGATGAAGCGATGACGTTGTGAGGCTCTCTCAATTGGACCCACAGTGTCAATACCAAGCTTGTCCCAAGGATGTGCGGGAAGTGGTATTGGATGCAAAGGAGCAGCAAAAGACTGCAGACTTGTCAGCAGTCTGGCAAGTTAAGCAACCATGGACCGCACGTTCTACAGCGGCATCCATGGCTGGCCACCAGTACCACTGCCTCAATCGTTGTTTGGTACGGACGATTCCTAGATGTGAATCATGTGCCAAGGCGATGATCTTGGAAGTCATTGCCTGGGGAACTACAATCCGTTCTCCCCGTAGAAGGAATCCATCGACCTCTGACAGCTCAAATCTCACTTGATGGTATGGTAGGAAATCGTTACCCAGCTTGACCTTTGATGGCCATGTCGTAGCAAGGAAGTGCAGAACTTTTTGTAGCACAGGATCTTTGGATGTAGCAGTCTGCATCTCGTCCTTGAAGATAGGCTATTGTTCTATGGCGGAAATAACTTCCTCGTCCGATGTGTCAGGTGACACTGCAGGTAATGGCATTCGGGAAAGAACATCTGCGATGACGTTGTCCTCGCCCCTCTTGTAGCGCACAGTGAAGTTGTAGTTTAGGAGGCGTGCTGTCCATCGAGCAATTCTGAACGGACGGTGACCCGTGCCTTGTGAGCTCAGTAATGCGGTTAGCGCCTGATGATCTGTGAAGAGGGTAAAAGGTCGTCCCCAAAGGTAGACATGCCAATGTTCTAGCGCCCAAATGCCCGCAAGGGCTTCTCGTTCCCCGAGCAGAATATTTACGTTCTGCTGGTGAAAGAGTCCTTGAAGCAAACGCAATGGTTTGCAGTTCGGATCCGTTTGCTTGTTGGAGGACTGCGCCAATGCCGTATGCAGATGCGTCCGTCGTAACGGGGACTGGCAATTCTGGGCTGAACATAGAAAGTGCTCTGCAGTGGGCGATTAGCAGCTTGATTCTTTCGAAGCACAGCTGAGCTCCGTTTGTCCAAACGAACGCTTTCTCACCACGCAGTAAGTCTCTTAGTGGCTCTACTTCGTCTGCGTAGTTGCGAAGGAACCTAGCGTAGTAGCCAGCAAGTCCCAGAAAAGAGCACAAGGAGCACAAGGTCCTTGGTGCAGGTGCCTCTTGTATGGCCTTGACGTTTGCTTGTAGAGGAGTGACACCTTCTGGAGTGACCGTTTGTCCAACGCAAGTCAATTCTGTTACTCCGAAGACACACTTGTCATTTAGCTCCAGACCAGTGTCTGAAATGAGCTGTAGAACCCTCAGCAGGTTCTTTGCATGGTCGTCTGCGTCGACACCGAAAATGATGATCTCGTCGAGATAGCAAAGAACTCCCGAACATCCGACAAAGATGTCTGACATCAATTTCTGGAAAGCGGAGGGCGCTGACGCCAGACCAAAGCACACTCTCTTGAAGCGGTAGAGGCCATCACGAGTGATGAAGGCGGTAAGGTCGTAGCTCTCAGGTGATAGAAGGACTTGATGGTAAGCTGATGTTAAATCCAACTTGGAGAATACCTTGGCTCCATGCAAGGCATTCAGCAGTTCTTCCGTGTTCGGTAGTGGAAAGGAGTCGACGACGATCGCTTTGTGTGGAGCACGGAGATCCACGCAGAGTCGTAGTTTTCCGTCCTTCTTTCTTGCAACAGGAGTCCGCCACAGGAGCGACTCCTTTCTTCACCTTGACTTGGTGCTCGTACCCTTTTGCAAGACCTATACCTGAAGTAAACAGGTGAGCATAGGTGGAGTCCACGATAGTTTTTAAATCAGTGGAAGTCGGTGCTGAGGTTTCCATGCACTGCAATGTAGATCCCTCAATGCGAAGTCGCAATGCTGAAAGTCCATCCAGTCCCGTCAGGGTTGTTCCTTGTGTCACGACGTAAAGCACAAGTTGGGCTGAAGAACCTTGGTAGGTGGCTGTTGCCACAAAACATCCAAGTAGTGGGATGCGTTGCCTTGAGTAGTTTTGTAGGTGTACTGCAGCTGGTTGAAGTGGATGCTGACTAGAAAATTTCTTCTGGTAGATGTCGTGAAAAGGATAGAAACTGCAGAACCAGTGTCAAGCAGGAATTTGACATTTTGCTGTTCTACCTGCATTGTCACGTAGATTCCGGTATTGCGAACTTCTGCAACTTGCAAGACTTTCGTGACCGGATCAGTTTCTTCTCTTTCTTCAAGCGAACTGAAGTTCCTGGTACTCACCACTTCCATTGCTGACGCTGTGCCGCGACAAACAGAGCTCAAGTGACCCTGCTTTCTGCATTTGGAACAGGTTTTCTTCCTTGCTGGACACGTAGTAGCATTTGCAAGGTGATCTGCTGATCCGCAGCGGTAGCATGTTCTCTGATGTTTGGCTGATGCGTCAACGCCTGGTTGGAATTTGAACTTCGAGTTCTTTCCTCCGGCTTTGCGAAGTTTCTGTACAACCGCAGGAGCGTCCTTTGTTGTTTGTACTTCTTTTTTGGACTGTTCCACGCTGCGGACCAATTTCAAAGCTCTTTCTAGGGTAAGAGCAGAACCTTCCAGGAGGAGTCTTTCACGAACGTGAGACATGGAAGCTCCTTCTACCAGTTGGTCACGTATTGCTTCGTCGGACGACGAGCCGAAATTGCAAGTCTGGGAAAGTCCCCGTAATGCAGTGAGGAATTCATCAATAGTTTCACCAGGTGCTTGAGTACGCTGGCGAAACTTGCGGCGTTCTGTAATGATGTTGTACGTCGCGGCGTAGCGTGCCTCCAGAGTCGCAATAGCATCCTGATACACGTCGGTAGTAATAGTAACACTTGATGTGGATGCAGCATCACTTGCCGTGGACGTCGTTGCAGTAGGGAGTGTAGGAAGGGAAGCGGCACTGATGTGAGGCAACGTGAAGAAGGCTCGCTGTCCTTCTGTTCCTAAGGCATGTAGTAGCAGTGCCTTTTTCCGTTTCGACGTAAGAGAAGCCTCATTGACGCAGTCGAGGTAGTTCTCGAACATGCGTCGCCATTGGTCCCATGGAACCGCGGGTCTTCCAGGCTGTTCAAGGAAAGAAGGGAGCGGCAGCAGCGTTGCGTGACTCATTCTTGTCTTCGCATGGCATGCGCTGCAGCATTAATGAAGAGAAATCCACTTTACCTCGTTGCCATTATGTGGTGTAGCCGAGTTAAATCAAGAAGGAACGCCATCATTCAGATAGGTTTTGCATCATCTTCTTCGTCTTCTCACACAGACTACTTCTTCTTTATTCTCTTTCGACACAACAGCAAACGATTCCTTTTAGTACTTCATCAGTAGAAGTTGGAACCGCATTCCCACAAGATAAATCGTGATTCGATAGGACTGAAACGCGGTTTGATCCGAAACCTTGCTGGCCAGCAGCTCTCAAGCAAGCGGTAGGTCTGCTCGGCGTACTTTAATCTTGCTCCTGCTAATCGCTTCGAATACGATAACTCTGTTAATCGTAGTCTGCTGCTTCGATATTGAGTTGCACAATAGGATAAACTCGAAGTTTGTTGCCCTGTTCCTCCGCACAACAGCACGTCCATTGCTTACGCACATCACGTGGTTCGCACGTATAATACTATGTCGAGCGTGTGTGGTTTGTGCAATGGGCAGTGCTAGTTTGCATTTTGAGCAACTGAAAGCCACTCTGAAATTATCAGGGACACTTTTTTCAGAAATATATGGTACTTGCTTTTTGGTTCTCATTAAGGCTCACGAAGTTTCAAGTTTTCGCATTTGTTATAATAATAATAATAGTAATCTTTATTTTAAGTGTCCAAAAAAAACCACATCGGTCTTCCCTTGGTGCACCAACACAAACAATAAAACCAGCAAACAAACAAAAAAAACCTAAACACACATTAAGTTAAGAGACAAATGTAAGATTATCCAAATGGCGACTGTACATTTTAACAGCTGCAGATATATCAAGGTGGGCTGGAGCGATGGCGTTATATGACTGAATCCAAGAGAAAGGTGAGGCATTGCACAGTGAGTGAACATAGAAGCAAACAAAATGTCTGGTTAGACGTGAAGGAACATGAAAGTTCATCCTTTCAAGGAGTTGCGAAGAATCAAATGCACCATTAGCGACCTTGTGCAGAAAAACAAAGTCTCGAACAGATCTCCTGGTAGACAGAAGTGAAAGTGAAAACATTTGAACTGTATGTTCATAATTATAGTGAAATCGCCTCTCAAACTATCTATCGTAAACGATTCGGATAACCTTTTCTGAACATTTTCGATTGTTAAAGCCTGTGTTTTAGATATTGAGTTCCCTATGACAGAAGCAAACCTGAGTCGTGACCTCACTAGGGAATTAAAAAGGTGAATCAATGAAAGGGTTTTTTTAAAGTTACGCGTCAAGCGCAATATTATTTCTAGTACTTTTAGAAGCATTTCCGACAAGTAAAGACACATGATTTTTGAAAGTTAAAGCACAGTCAACACGCACGCCAATATCTTTTACAAGAGGGACACATTGTATTGGCGATCCCTCAAGATAATAAGTAAAGTCAACAACAGCATGCCGTCAGCACAAGAAAGCACTTTTGTTTTTGCGGGGTTAAGCAACAATTTATTTTTTTTTTCTTTTACCATTGAAGAATCTTTGACACATCATTTTGTAAGATATCGCAATTTTGAAGTGTATGAATGCTTTTGAAGAACTTAATGTCATCAGCGAAAAGTAATAGATCAGACATATCTACGCAAGACACAATATCATTTATAAAAATCAGGAACAACAAAGGGGCCAGGACAGATCTCTGAGGAACATTGGAAGTTGTAAAAGAGATCTCGGAGAAACTGTCATCTACGTGAACAGTATCAGAGTGCAACGAAAGAGCTGTCAAACCATTCGCACAGCTCATGACACACTCCATATGAAAACAGCTTGCGCAATAGTAACAAATGACTGACTTTGTCAAATGCTTGAATCAACTTGTCCTCTGTTCATAACAATTGGCGCAGAAAATTCTAGAGACGAACACAAATCACAGAACACTGACATCTCATGACACCATGTCAACCATAGTATCTTGTGACACCCTGATGTCATGACATCATGACATCACATGATGCCTTGACATCACATGACACTGATATCACAAAACATTGACATCTCGTGACACCATGTCACCCATTGCGTCATGTGGCACCCTGACGTCACATGACACCATGATGTCACGTGACACCATGTCATGTGACATAATGACATCACGGGATACTGTAATCTCACATGATACATTGACGTCACGTGACACTGACATTTCAAGACACCATTGCATCATGCAACACCCTGATGTCATATGACACTGTAATGTCATGTGATACCTTAACATCACACAACAGCATATTATGTGACACTGACATCACATGCACTCATGATGTCACATGACACCGTGTGACACAAAACATGTGGTTTGCATCAAGACACTGCTCGCTGGTTTTCATTAACATGATGAAGGTAGTAATTTTTTTCTAGAATGGTGTTAAAATAAAAAATAATGGTTTTGTTGCACTCTTATGATTTTAGGACATGCAGACATACTTTGTACCATATGTATTTTGAGTATTGTAAAAAAAAAGTTGGGCAGAAACAGTTGGTCAAGTTGAAATTTTTATGAAAACTATAATAGAAAAAGATAAGCTTATGTTTCTACTTAGCACAAATAAAATCACAGTAGGTTCTTTATTCTATATATGCTGTATATACAGCTCTACTGTTTTTTTGTTTCAAAGCCTGTAAAATATATGTCATACATTGCAGGGAGTGCTGAGCAGAACAATATCGCCAATTCTTCAGGAACTGGGAACATTGCTGAGCACGCCTGTGAAGCAATTCAGAAACCCCCGGGAGAAAGGGCAGCCCAACCTCTCCAGCCTGCTCTTAGGCCACAGCTGGGCTCAGTTCTCCGGGACAAAAAGGCCCACCTGGGCACAGATCTAGCCTGGCCCCCAAACAGGACCCTCTGCACTGCACTCTGGAGACTTGTCCTGGCAGACAGGGATGCATTCCTCAACACCGGTGCAGTTGGGGAGGCGGTGGGTCCTCAGGACGCAGAGAATCTTCTGGAGGAAGGTGATCTTCTGGAAAAGGACAGTTCACGAGAAGGAGGTGGTCCTCCAAATGAAGATGGTCATCAGGATAGAAGAGATTGTCGGAGAAAACAGGCTTTTCTGCAAGAAGGTGGTCTTGAGAATGAGTATGGCATTCAAAGGGGAGACAGTTCTTGTAAGGGACATGGCCTTCAGAGAAAATGTGGTCTTCAGGAGGAGCCCAGTCATCACAGGAAAGACACCTGTTCCCAGAAGCTATGTAGCCCCCTGCAGTGGCCTTGTGCTGTTGGGACATTTGGGTGGCCTTGGCTCTGGGAACACTCCCATTACATGCAGAGGATGTTGCGACCTCTGGGGGATGGCAGCAATCATTGCTAATGCTTGGGAAACTTTGCACCTCCTCACGTTTGTGCCTTTGTGCTGCCAGGTATGTTGGACATTATTCTAATTGAGAGCTTACACTGGGATGTTAAGTGAGCACTGATTTGTATATAAAAAAATGAAAGATGTGTAGAAATCTCTGTAATGCGAAACTAGAGCACAGCTCTTGAGGAGGAGGAAGGGAGGGTACGGAGGGGACGGTGTACCCCTCTTCCTCCTCCATACCCTCCCCTCCTCTCCTCCTGCTGTTGAATTTGTTCATGGGTGACATGACATGAAGTCGTGACGTCATTTTCCCCGCTAAATTTAGCTGGGAAACTGAATTGGTGTTGAGTTCACGAGACATTAATTTCTCGTTAAATTTTGCAGGGAAACTTAACCCACTAAAGTTAGTAGGGAAATGTCCCATAATGCAACGCACACAGTTACGCAGATGCTGCTCAACCTGGAAATGGGCACCTAAGGGCTGCACTCTAAAATTGTTAAGTATTTGATTAGCAAAGCTTTTTTTATGATACAGTGGATTCTTTTTCTGGGTAGGGTAGAAGGCACTTGTAGTTATGTAGGCTGTAGTTCATAGTCTGAATTTATTGAAATAGTGGATACAAAGTGTGATATAGACCGTTCCACTAGGAAGAGCGGAGAGAGGAAAAATACCCTCCCCCTCTCACCTCGTGTGTCGTCTGCTCCGCCGAGTGGGCCGGCTGGCGTTTAAACTCTGTTTAAAATCGAGTCATTTTGGAAATTTCAAGTGCAGATGCATGGATTTTTGATATGCAAGGTATTGTGTAGTGCTGAGCTCGACAAAAAGACTAACCGGGTCCAATTGTGCTGGTTTTTGCTTGCAAATATAAAAAAAGAAATGGAAAAACTGTGTCAGAGTGGCCCTCTCCGGCAAAAAGTAAATCGGGTTGCTGTAGCTTTTTTTACTATACAAAGTTTGTACTGGTGTAGGGCTTTAGCGACAATGAGTGGAAGTCTGGAATAATAAATAAAAACGCACCCTCCTGACACAATAGACGCAGTGGTTGAGGGTATGCTGCCGGTTGACTCCACTGCTATTGAAGTAACGGAACAAAGATATGCTAGTTGATCATTTACTGAAATAAAACGACAGAGTGCTATAGGCTGATTTTGGAGTAGCTATAAATATTCTAAGAACGCGAACCACTTCACAACGGCAGCCACGAACGAGAGTTTGATGTTCGGTACAGCCCGCCGGTACAGCCCAAAGATGGAGAACAGTTTGTCGTCTGCTAGCAGAGTTGGGCGCGTGCCCTCTCTCGTTTTTCCCCGCCGAACCTACTGAACTTCCCAGATGTGTGGAGAGAGTGCTGAGAGTGTTAAATGGAATGATCTATAGTGGTTAGAACAAACAGCATAGCTGGTTTTCGTATAACTGAAAGGCTGTTATCAAGACTGCTTGTGTGCTAGAATCTGTTTATCTGGGGCATCAACATAGGCAGTAAAAGCTTGTTTCTCATTATTCTGAAGGAGTAATACATAAAAAAAGATTGGCTACAGCCTTTACCTTTAAAGTCCTTTAAAGCATGAAATGCAGTTTTTAGAAGCAATAACTTTAAATGATTGGAGGTAATTAAACCTTCTTTTCAGAAGTTTTTTTTTTTTTTTTTTATAAATTTTAGGGAAACTAAATTGGTGCATCGCATGACCAGGGAGGCAGATAAGGAAGTGGAGAGTGCACTGTACGAGCTTGAGAGGGAAGGGAGGAGAGAGAGATGAGGAGAGGGAATAGGTGTGTCATGTGAGATTTGTCTGCTAATTTAAGGAAAAAACTGATTTTATGTGTCATCTGATTAAGGAGGTGGAGTGTGGGACGATACAGGAGAATGGGGAGGAGAGCCTAGGATGGTGGAGGAAGGAGAAAAAGAGAAGAATGGGGTTAGGGAATTGGCATGTCACATGGCATATATTTTCCCGCTAAATTTAGCAGTAAAACTGAATTGGAGTGTTGCATGATATAGGAGGGGAGGGAGGCTATTGTAGGAGGAAGGGTGGAGGGAGGGACAGGTTGCTAACTGGAAGAATTAGGGGAATTGAGGAGAGGAGGCTGGCAGAGAGGACACCCTAGGAGAGGGAGGGGAAAGGGAGGAGAGATGAGGAGGGGAAATTAATACATCACATGACATATATTTCCCTGCTAGATTTAGCTGGGAAACTGAATTGTATAAGTCGTGGCGTCGATTTCTCCCGCTGAAGTTGGTGGGGAAACTAAATTGCTGCTTAGGTCACATGACGTCAATTTCTCCTCTAAATTTAGTGAGGAAACTGAATTTGTGTTTAGTTCACAAGACGTGAATTTTCCCTCCAAGTTTAGCGGGGAAATTGAATTGGTGTTTAGTACAGAACGTGTGAATTTTCCCTCCAAGCTTAACGGGGAAACTGAATTGATGTATAGGTGATGAGACATTGATTTTCCCACTTGCTAGGTCATGTGACGTCACTTTCCCCGCTAAATGTTACAGAAAATGCACGAACGAATGGATAAGACTTTGGGATTGGGGGTTCCGTTAAAAATCATTTCATGCTTTAAAATATTGGTGGTGCATTTACACAATGTCAAGTAGGATACATGCACTGGACAGTTTGAATTTGGGCAAGTTGTAGCATTCTTAAATCTTTCGAACATAAGTTTGTAACATTATTACTTCTCTAATGGGAAACAGGAAATCCTATTGCAAAATGTCAATTTCAAATTTGCCCTTTATATATGTGTATTGCATTTATTCTCTGATTTTGTTTGACATAAAAGTAGGCATGTGCAAGTAGTAGATTTTGATTTGGAAGCAAGTACTAATTTTGGCAGAATATTGTCGAATTGAATTCGAATACTTTCTCTAAGCTTTTCATTATTGCATGCACCATGCTTAAACAAACACCCAGCTGAACTTGTGGAGGTTATTCCGAAGCTTCCATTTCTCTATTTCTAAGCTAATTATAATTGAAGCTAATTTTAACTTAACTATATCATTCAACTGTTGCCTTAAAGTCCAATGCCTCCATTGGGATGGCAAGTGAACTACACATTTGACATAAAATAAAACCGATAGAGATTCCCAGCAATGCTTAATCGAGGGGTTTTAGTCTTGCTATATGCAAATATTTTTTCTTCAGTCCCGAATGATGAACGCGGGTTGTCAGGGCATCTCTGCCTAACATATATTCATACATAATAGCCAGTTCAATTTTTAAAACTTTACTGTAATGTAGATATCAACATTTTCAAAGTTTTTGCTTCTTTTTAAATACGCCAGGCATGTGCACCATTTCGTTTTGAAAGTGTGCTTTCCTCCTAAGCAGCAGCAGCATAGCACTATTGTAGCACTATTGCAGCAGCACCTTGCAGAAGAAACAAAGCTGAGAAAATCGCACTTGAAGTTTCTTTCATGTTAAGAACTTTTACTACTCAATTTATAGAAAAAAGAAAAGTTTTAGCATGCAGCATGCAGTCTGGTTATTTCTCAACAAAAAAAATACAAAGTTTACTCTAAATTGTTGATGCAAATGTACCTATTCAAAACCTCAATCGAACTATGGCAATTGAAAAAAAAAAAGTGCAGTAAATCACGTCCGAGTTTTTTGGCTGCAAGTGTTGGTTCACCCGACTCCTGGGCCCTGTCGAACTTGTGCCTCTTGGCCATCCTTTTCTTCACCTTCTCACTCTCCGTGCGAGTCTTGCCGGCCTGGCCGAGCCTTTGCTTGTCCTTCTCGGGGCTCCTGCGTGTCGGACGACTCCCAGTGCTGTAGCCGGTCTGCTCTGCTACCACCTTGCTGGTCTCCGTCATGCCCTGGCTGAAGCGAGACACTGCTTCAGCGACAGCTCTTTTCACAGCCAGCAGAGAGTCATGCATGCTCTCGGAGTTTTTGCCCCAGATCACAGAGTGTAGGCTCTCAATGGCATTCTGTGTCATGCCACCACCACCACAGCGCTTCTTGAGGACCTGGTCGCCCAGCCTCTGAAAGAGTGGCTCCAGTGCTGTGCGAATGAAGCCTGGCAGAGGGTTTTGTGCATTGGTGGCTCTTTGTGGCTGGCCAAGGTGCAGTTGTAGGAGCACCAGGAATTGTCACCTTCAAGACAGTGACTGTGGGTCCTCAGTGCGTATCCATAGTATTTTTTTTTAATCTTGTCCCGGGTCAGCCTCTTTTTCTCCAAGGAACTCCCCTTTTGCCTTCTTCTTGTGTACGAGGGTGTGAAGAAATGCCCCCCTCCGCTGCGCACATGGTTCAGGCAGTTCTTATCGATTTCGAGGCAGCCATAAATGCCCTCCTGCGTCAAAAGCATGGAAGGTGCAGCTGTCTCCGTCGGAAAGAATGGTCGTGTAACGCAGCCCATTCTTCTCCAGAAACCTCTTAAACAGGATCAGGGCTGCCTCGGCTTCCATTCGTCCAGCGTCGCAGTCGACATTCTCGAGGCATTTGTGGTTCAAAACCCACTCACCATAGTTGTCGTCACATGGGTCAGGTGCCCCCTGGCAGCCACAGCACTACCTGGAGAGAGCAATGTGGTCCAGTGCCGGGCCAGAATACAGCTCGAGTATGCACCTTACTGCAATGTATGAGTTGTGCCCACAAGTCTTCCATGTCCTATTAAAAATGATGTCCATGTTTTCAGCGAGGTTGAGAAAGTGTTGGTACAGGTCCTCCACCACCTGCACATATGCTGCTTCTGTGGCTTTTACTGCTGCCTGGGAAGCTCGTACCACGGTGTCCATCTGTTCCCCGTAGGTCTCGTGGTGAAGCCCCTGGTGGAAGAGGTTTGAGGTGGCAGAGAAGTCCGCGAGGGCAGTCGCTCCCTTTCCTATGCTCTTCTTCATTGCTCTCGAGTTGATCTTGGAGGACATGATCTTGGCTGCTCATGTGACTCATGGCAACAAAAAGTGGCGCTCGGTGAAATCGCAGCTGTAGCACGTGAGCAGTAGCTTCACTGCTAGTCCATACTGTCTCGTCACACCTTGAAAGCTCAACAGTGGTCATCCCGCACTTGCCGCATCTCGTGGACACAAAGCACTTCTGCGGCAGTTTCATGTCCACGATGACATATTCTGTGCTGCGATCGTTGTCTTCTCTCGCCAAGCTGACGTCGAGGAGCTAAACTCTCGCGAAGTCGCCGA